TAGTGGCGACGACCACGTGTAAATGTGGTTAAAGTTGGGCGACGAAGGGTCCTTGAGCAGGCGGAGGGTCGGCTCTGTCAACCAGCACAGCGAAGCGAGGTTCTTGAGCGACGTTAGGCTGAAGGCCTCGCCGTCCGTGCGGCCGAGATGAACATGAATTTCGCAGCTGTAGTTGACCGTGATCCTACAGTGTCGGTTCAGGGCTCTCACGACGGTCCTCAGGACGGAAAGTGTGCGAGGATCGAGGGCGGGGAGTTTCGGCGATGATATTTCAAGCGAAGCCCATAGACAGCCGGCCAATTCCTGCTCCTCCGGGCCGGGCTCGGCGGAATTTGATTTTTTGACGATCCAGTGGTCGGTCCAGAAATCACTTTCTTGCCAGCCCTGAGCCTTGATGTCAGATATCGAGATGGCAGGTTGCTTTGCGGAGGTGCGTAATATGTCGGTGATGAGTTTGTATGCCTGGTCCTGGAGGCGGTCCTGGGAGCCAGCGTGGGATGTGTACGCAATTGGTCGGTCATCGCCCGGACATGGGTCGACTGAACCGGCCAAAAGGAATGGCACAAGGAATTTGAATTCTACTCCAATGGCCAGGTTGGCGGGCGCATCCTGCAGCACAGCGACTGGGAGAGTTCTATTACCACGGTGTACGTAAACGTCGTCGCCGTCGTCATCTCTGGCTGGTGCCATGGTGATGGTGTGTGCATGGGTCGTTGGGTATTTGGCTCTTGATAGCGAGGACCACAGCTGTGGTATAATGGAGACATAGCGCCGCGGCATCATGCGACGAGGAGGGAGGTGTGAGGAGCGAGGGAATAAAAGCGGCGGCTGTCCCTTTTACACTAGGCGGCGTCCGTCTCCTCTTACTCGCTCGATGCGTCCTTCTAGTTTTGGGGCACGCGAAGGATTTCATCTGTTGCACTTATGAGTCCACGCCGTTCATAACCGCAACAAACGTGTGGGATGGGGCGGCGAAAAGTGTCATTATGAGAAATGCGAATAAACGGCTGCTGTCCTGCGAGTCTACGACTAGTCAGTCAGTTGGTGTTCGCGAGTAAGCCAGTGGGCTGGGCCGCCAGGACCCCCCCTCCCCCCCTCGGCCTTTTGGTGCTGGAATTGACGGTGAAGGAGCCAACGAAAGTGATGCGCACCCCTTACCGAGAGAGCAGGACAACCAGCGGGCGTAAGATTTTGACCAGGGCTCCTCCCCACTGGGACCATGATGGGTTAGTCCAATCTTGGGGGCCTGCTGACGCGGGCAGCCTCTTACGGGGGACGAAATCCGAGCGTGCGTATCATTCCAACGTCTTCGTCCATTATTGGCAGTCCCGACCACATGACTGGTCGTGAGAGCGGGCAATAGTCCCAAGTGCCGAACTACACGTCAGTTTTTGGGTTGAATTTGCGTGAGATGACGGGAGAAAGCGCGGCGGGGAGGGCCGAGGGGCAATAGGCAATGAGGAGAGGGGAGAGGGGACAGAGAGAGGGGGTGGAGGCGCAAGGACGTCGAGGAGGGTTCGAAAACAGGAAAACAGGTTAGACGAGGCTTTGGGAAACCTCTAAGATCAAGAAGTCTACGGGGTATGATGCAAGTCGATATGTGGACCTAATTCCACGATAGATGAGGTTGCGGAAATGGTTGACGAACCACGCCTAAGGTTAATGACTCGAGTTGCACTTGGCCGACCTTGAGACTTGCCAACAGTTGGGCTTTCTGTCATCGGTTGAACTCTGCGGCGGATACTCACAGTTGAGTCGTGCGAGTCGTGCAAATCCCATCAAATCTTACCCCACCTGTTCCACAAATAGACCATGATACAGAGCGGTCATAACTCGAGTGATGGGTTGGCAAGATCCCAGTCGTCAGTCGTCGCCCATGACCGCAAGGGTTTATGTACGAAAGCAGGCAGCGATGAGGCGTGGGGGCGGGGGCTAGAAGGAAGGATCATGAGAGACGAATCTACCTCTGTCGTAGTTTATTAGATTCCGGGCGGACGGACCAGCCACTCCTTGGCCAGGCCTCTCGTCAGGCCTGGGTCAGCCCCAGGAAGAGCCGCCGAGGATCCTGTGGAATTGGTTATGAGTCGGAGTCCTTGCCCCGACGTAGGTTACAAGCGCGTGAGAGAGACAGACGAACGATAGGTTCGTACAGATGTTTGAAGAAAGAGGAAAAACAATCATAATAGTGACAATAACAGGATTTGCTAACAAGTAAAACATGGAAGAAAGGGATACTTGACTGGAGTGATCCCAGTACGAAGTAAAGCCCAGTCAATTCCAATTCCAATCCCAATCCTAAGCCGGATCCATGCTCCTCCGCATTGAGCAAAAATACCTCCCAGATATAAGTACAGGATATTGATACAAGACAGTTGCGCCCACTCCGTTTCTATTCGTATAGGTCTGGGAGATGCCGTAGTGTAATGATACATGCGATTGAAATATGACAGAAATAATAATGAAGGGTATCTCGGGAGAGAGGTCCTGAATGAACAAGGTAGTCTAAGCGCTTTTGACACGCCAAATTGAAATCGCAAAACAAAAAGAAGAACTTCGTTGTAAATAATGTGCAAGTAAGAAAAAAAAGGAAGGCCGTCAAATGAAGACGAGGCTTTCTGAGAGAAGCCGTTTGGTCGAAGCAAAACAGAGTCGGCATCGACGACTGTTGTTACAGGCTCACTACCGCCGGCGGAGCTAGGGGGTGGTAGCGTCATCATCGTAGAGGATCCCTAGCCGGTAGAGAAGATCGGTTTGTTCTCCTGCGTCGGGTGGAGGGTAACACGTCGTCACCTTGAAGGCATCTTCGCGACGTAGAGGCGGTACGGGAGCGTAATGGGGCCGAGGATAGGCGTCGGTAGGATGGTATCTCCCTCGTGCAACAATGCGTTTGTGCGCCGTCCCCTGCCTTCTCCTGGGGCTGCCGGTCTCTTCCCTGTAATGGGAATCGGGTGTGTTGGGGCTATCTCGGGGCTGGAAAAGGCAGAGACGAGCCCCTCGTTGAGGAGAATAGTGCGCGCCGTCCTGGGGAGGGGTGCCTCTCGGTTCTGCGGGTTGAAGAACTGGCGAGAAAGGACTGCCCCTTTCGGACCGCGCAGGGTACTCGTAGGGGGAGGTTGGTAAAGAGGGAGAATTGTTATAACACGCGTCGACCATGATGGGTAGATGTGAATGCGGGTGTGCAGTGCGACCGTGCTGGTGGCTTGTTTTCGTTGGCAGGAGTGAATGCAGTGTGAAAGGCTGATTTGGTGGGAGAACGGAGAGCATGAGCGGCAGCTCGGTGCTCAGTTCAATTCGTTGTTTTCGGCAATTGTGAGAGATCTCGAGGATGGCAAGGAACAAGATGTCGTGGAAGAGTATTTAATGCCTTTTGCATCAAGAAATCGAACTTGGTTAAACTCAAGATCCCATCTCGCGGGAGGGTGTGGCGACCATTTGTCTTAAGTACGATGTGATTGACACGGAGCGCCCATGTCTTCGCCCCTCATTAACACCCGTCATATACATCCGTGGCTACCTGGAGCCTATTTTAGGTGGCGATCGTGGACGCTGGCGGCACCTTTCTCTTTCCGCCGCCCCAGAACAAAACGTGCAGGCACGATTGAACCCAACCTGCAGTTGCAGTCCATGGGTGTACCTGATACTCGCAGAGAAGGCCCGGTCGGGCGTGGCCTGGCCTAACCAACGGGTCGGGGGTGACCGGGGCCATGGATGGGGCTAGATTGGAGGCCAGATTGGGCCACACCAAACTGAGGCGAGATGACAAAGAGCCAGGCGCTGGCTCCGTAGTTCCCTTCGCAGCTTTCGTCGTAGCTGGAAGGTCGATATCGGCCCTCGCTATAATGATCAATTTGATCGGGTGACTCACAGTTAACGGCTTCAGCTGGCCCAACAACAATTCACGATACTTTGTGGGAAAGTGCCATCATTGATGAGTGTCGAGGTGCGGCCATTGGTGACGTCGGCGGTTGACGAGGGGCAGTGCAACAGGCTGCGACTACCCCGTACGACCATCCGTACCCCGTGTTGTCTCCAATTATGATCTAGTGCAATCATGGGATGTTGGTGCTGAATGTGAATAAGATTCACCTTCCTGGTGAATCGTAGAGGCAACCACCGCCCCACCACCTTGGGGGGGGGGGACTGGACCACGTCCGCGCCTTCCCACTCAGCACCACCCTATCGTAGTTTACCCCAGAATGATCGCACATGACGATCGATGATGCTTCAATCCATGTTCATGCTACGCACGTAGTTTACTTGGTGTTTGTACAAGTACATCACACTACACGTAATAACTAGTCGGAGAGATTATCGATCGAATCTCAGTTGCTCTCCCACCTCATCCGTGACAGAGCCAATGGGATCAGATGCTCAGCCATGGATTGGTTCTCTTGGTGTGCCCAAGCCTGTCAGGGACGCCTCCTTCGGATTTGATGAGTTTTTCCAATGTGTTGGATATTTTTGAACATGCCGACAAATCCAAACCTCTCATGTTGAATTGAGTTATCGCCCTCGGGGTAAATGCCAGCGCAAGTGGTCTCGACCCGGCCTATCACGAGGGATTTAGTGTCACTTGATCTGACTCCTGAAGTGTTGAGTCATTACTAGGGCAATTAACACCCAAGGCGTTGCATAGTAACGGATGTCCAACGCATTGTGGGAATGGGAATGGTCACAATTACGAATCCGGGCCGGGCAGCGCGAGGCATTGTGCCCCATCGAGATAGTAGGTAGAGATGGCTTGGGAGCTGGCCGTCGTGTGGTGGAGGTGGAGCGATATCCGAAGGATAGCGCCCAACACGAATCACAGACTTCCAACGGTGATACTAAAGCCAGCACACTCATCGCTGAGGATGCATCAATTCATCCGGTCCACTTTGTCCACTTTTGCCTTACTTGGCTCTTTGCAACCTGAGGAGTCAATAATCGCGAGGCGTGAGATCGAGGCGAAGCCACCGCCAAATCGCCCGAACGCTTGGTTCCCCGATCTGGGCAAGAGGTTACAAGTAATACCTAACAACAAGCCCCATCGCCAAAAGCCCCGCCAGAGCCCAGAACATAGTCAGGAAGGCTCCTTCTACCCATCGCTTATTGCACATCTCCTCACGGGCCTTCCATCCGCCTGACAGGGCGTTTGCATGTGGGAACGGCTTATCCGGCACGGCCTTGCCCAAGAATTTGCACAAAGGATCCCAACCCTCATCAACACTCCACTCCAACAACCGATCGGCCGACACTAAACCTTTGATCATGGCGCAGTGTTCTGTTTGCAATTATCAACCGAGGTCAGCCCTTGCGCCCACTTCATCTCGGGCTGTGGCATCTCGTGGCTGGAGTCGACTCTTACCTCTATACACCCATTTGCCATTCCGTTCAATGGCCTTTGCCATGTTGCCGTCCGGGGCTCTGAAGAGAAGCGGCCAGAGAAACCTTTCGTAGACATGCCACGCCCAGAAGCATTCTCGATTGAGCCAACTTGCGATGTAGAAGCCCCAGCTCTTATTCACCCCGACCAACGTCGTCACGGCGCTGCGGTGCCAAGCATCCATATCCCGCCTTACGTTGAGGATGACCTTTGCTTCGGGGTATGCTGCTATCATTTCGGCCGCGAAGCAGCTTGCTGCTGCATCTGTGACAGCGACGCAATGCCCTATCAATTCGTCAAAATCCTCCCTCGTGATCGTGGGAACGTTCAAGGCTGGGAACGTATGGTCCCGCCCTTCGGCGTACCATTTCTTCCGAGCGAGGCGGACCCAGCCAGGAGCCGGAGTAGGGATATCGTAGACGATGTCCCAGCCATGGTACGTATAGTCATAGCCTAGGTCTAGTAGTGCTTGTTGTAAGGATTCTGTGCCGGACCGAGGAGGACCGACGCAGATGACCTCCATTGGCTTGCTCCGTTTTCTCCGTGGAGGAGCCGGGAGGCTGTAGAGGCGTTCGGTGAACCACCATATCCAGTGATCAAGAGGCACCATTGGAGCCATTGTCGAATTCGGTCAGCGATATGGGCAGGGCAGAGGATCGAGAGGCTCTTGGAACCCATCATCGTTGGGGCCACCGCTTCCGTATATAGGATTCGCCCTAGCTCCACCCTGCTCAACACTATAGACCTGGCCATTTATTTGCTTCAAGCGTGCGCACAAGGTTCCAGAGTTGAGGCACACGGCAGGGCTGGTCGCAGTGACAAGAAAGGCAACTCTTTATTGTCTTGGATTAATCCTTGCGCGACTTGGAGCGGATCGGCAGCCAGGGTGGAAATGTGGAGCTGGATAATAGGCTCCAGGTCTCACGGTGACGTATTAACTGGCTGGACACTGGAGAAGACAAGGTCCGCGTAATCTCGACGTCCCGGCGCGCCAGCAATGGCAACGGCTGGGAGTGTTGGGGTATCAACTCGCGCTGGTATTGTCACTTTGCAAACCGGGAAGAAACTTCTTTTCTGTTTTTAATATGTCCCTAGATTAAGGAATAGTAATCATTCGATGTTAGGTCCCGTCAGCCGGGCTCGTGAGAGAAGCCCGCGACCTGACAGTTTTAGCCGTTCGATTCGAGAACCGGTTTTGGAGCTCATTTCGAAAGGCAGTACTGCTGAAGTGGTAACTTTATACGGCCGGTAACCAGATGAGGATAGTCGCCTTTACAGGGGCTTTCTTTTGATATTTCCCAAAACTCAACAAGTCGAAATCCGATTTCTTTTTCTTTCCTGTCTTATTCTTCCACAAACTGCAAGATATGATGCTCGATGCCACAGTCAGGAATCGGCACGGCACAGCACAGAAACTGCTTGATAAGATAACATGAGCTATTATTTTCTTAGAGCACAATTATAATACTGTGCAGTACAACGAAATAGGAAATAGAGCCGTCAAGTTAGAGTCCTCCCCATTTTGCGGGGTTGCGAAACCTTCACTGATAAGGGCTTTGCCTCGACTGCCTTTTTTTTTTTTCTCTTTTTGCTTCTTCCTCTTTAAAGGTAGTTCCCGAGTAGAAGACTTTTCAAGGTGACTCTTGCAGTCGAACCCGAAGGCGAAGGCAAAGTTTCGAGCGTAGCGATCAGCAACGGCATCCTGCCCGGCCCAGCCCAGCCCGGGGTAGCTCATAAGATAGCATCCGATCTCAAGTAGCGGTAACAGGTGCAAAGGGGAGCTTTTTGATACCCGCGACATCACCTGCTTCCTCATCTCCCTTCCCAAAAGAAAAGAAGAGAATATAGAACCCTTTCCCATCATGACTACCATGGCCTCGCCACCACAGCAGTCCCTCCCCCAGGTAACACCCGAACCCCTCCCATCCACCCCACCGACAGAAACAGACCCTTTACTCCCTTCCTCAACCCCAGACGAAAAGTCCCTCCTCTCACGAATCCCTCTCCCCACCCCCGCCCTCCGCATCATCGCCCTCCTCGCCGCCATCAACATCCTTGTGTGGCTCATCTCCGCCTACCCCCTCACAAAACACCCATCCCTCGCCGCACCAGCAGCCCTCTCCTACGTCCTCGGCCTCCGCCACGCTCTCGATGCAGACCACATCGCCGCCATCGATCTCTCTACGCGACGTCTCATAGCGGCAGGGCGGCGGCCCGTTTCGGTGGGTACGTTTTTCGCGCTGGGACATAGCACCATCGTAGTGGTTACGTGTGTGGCCGTGGCTGCTACGGGTGGGGTCTTGAGGGAGAGGTTCGGGGGTGCGGAGGAGGTGGGGGGGCTGATTGGGGGGGTTGTGAGTGCTGTTGTGCTTGTTGTGTTTTGTGTTGGGAATGGGTGGGTGTTGTATGGGCTTGTGAGGAAGGCTAGGGCGTATAAGAGCGCTGGGGATGGAGGGGATGATGGAGTGGAGATGAGGGGGGTTGTGGGGGATATTAAGCTGGATGATGAGCAGACGATGGGGTTCCTTGCCCGGACGTTTGGCAGACTGTTCAACCTTGTGGATAGGCCGTGGAAGATGTTTCCGCTTGGTGTTCTCTTCGGTTTAGGCTTCGATACGAGCTCCGAGATTGCCATCTTGGGAATCGCGAGCATCCACGCCGTTCAGGGCACGAGCATCTGGCTCATCCTCATCTTTCCCATTCTCTTCGCGTGTAAGTCAAAGAATTCCCCGAATAGCAAACCCTTCTCCTATTCCCGAAGCTCATGAAAATCAAAACCCTCTTCCTCCCCCATAAAGGCGGCATGGCACTCCTAGACACCACAGACGGCGCCTTAATGTCCACCCTCTACCTCTCCCCAACATTCGCCCGCGACCCCCTAGCAACTCTCTACTACTCCCTCATCCTCACCGCCATCACCGTCGTCGTCTCCGCCTTTGTCGCCATTATCCAGATCCTCAACCTCGTCGAGAGCGTTGTCAAGCCCGAGGGTCCCTTCTGGGATGGCCTCGATGTGCTGTCCGATCACTTTGATGTTGTGGGAGCCGCGATTTGTGGCCTGTTTGCCGTTGTTGGCGTTGGTGCTGTGTTTGTGTATAAGCCTTGGAGGAAGAGGATGGAGGCTAGGACAGACGAGCTATAAGTTACGACGTTTAATTATGATGAGGGAAGATTTGAGAGCTAAGTTAAAAGAGGTTATGGAGTTGAGGCTACCTATATAGACTATGGCAAAGTTGAGCTGAGTCGTATGAAGCAAACCAGACCATTCCAACAACAAAAAAAAAAAAAAAAAAAAAAAAAAAAAAGAAAGAAAGAAAGAAAGAAAAAGAAAACGCGCTTGACGCTAGACATCTCTATGTGCAGAAGAAGGGCACGCATAGCTATCTACCAACAATTCTTCAAAAACGCGGAAAACACACTGAAACACACTCAAACTCCTCGCAACTCCATCGCGCGAAATGTCCGCTTTACAAATCCTTCCATGCAGTAAACTAGCCTAGAAACTTATTCATCTCCTCGGACGGCGTGGAATCGGGCGTCTGCACGCCAACGGAAGACCCATCCGATGACACCTCCTCGCAGTCGACGTATTCTTCTTCCTCTTTCTTCTTCTCCTCTTCCTCGCGCTTCTTCATTTCCTGGAATCGCTTCTCCAACTCTTCCTCCTTCTTGCGAAGTTCCTCTTCTCTCTTGCGGAGCGCCGCCTCCTTCTCGTCTAGCTCTTCCGACTTCTTGATTATTTCCTTTTTCTTTACTTCTTCTTCATCTTTGCTAACATCATCTTTCTCGGACTTCTCCTCAACAGGCTTCTCCTCGGCGGACTCCTTCTTTTCCGCAGGTTCTTCTGGTGTGGCTTTGTCGGACGTTTCTTCCTCTTTAGGATTGTCAGCCTTGGCTTCGGATTTCGCCTCAGCGACTTCTTCCTTCTTGTCCTCTGTAGAAGCTTCCTTGTCGTCCTTAGGTGTAGGTGGAGTACTTTCCTCCTTAACATCCGGGTCTTTCACACCGTTAGCCTTATGAGATTCCTCTGGAGTGGCCTTGGAGTCCTTCCTCCTCTTCAGTTTCTTTTCCTTAGGCGCCGCATCGTCACCCTCGGACTCATCATCGCCGTCCTCATCCTCAGTCTGCCCTGCGACCTTGGCGTCGTCCTCAACCTCTTTCTTCTGCCCATCCTCATCAGTGACAACGATGGGATCGTACGAAGTGAAGGCGTTACACTTCTCCTCCCGCTCGCCCGCGGCGTTCGCCTGAGCATTGTCGAGGTCCTTCTCTCCCTTCTGACCCATGCCGCCCTCGAGGAGCGCACCTCCCTCCATGACAACGCGGAGCTCCAAGTCGGAGTCCCTAGAGTAGACCTTGAAGCCGACGATGCACACGGCGTTCCAGGGGTCGGGGAGCTTCTCATCCTCGGACGGGTACCGATCAGCCTCCGTCGTCTCCGGTACGGCCTGCTTGCGAGGCTTGCGGACGTAGTCATCGCTGCTGTAGATAGCTTCCCATTCCTCGACGGGCGAGTCCGAGGAGTAGTCGACTGCCTCCTCCACTGGTGGGGAGGCCTCCTTAGACGACTTCTTTTCCTTGGACCTCTTCTTTTTACTCTTGGATTTTGTGTCTTTCTTCTCGGGCTCGGCGATAGTAACTTTCTTGGGCTCCTCCGACTTGGTCTCGTTAGTCGTCTCCGTCTTCTCTGCTACCTCCGCCTTGGCCTCGCCAAGCTTTGGTTCGGATGATGCTGTCCCAAGTGTTTCCTCACTCTTCTTTGCTTCTTCGGAGGAGGCACTTTCGGAAGGAGCAGGCTTATCCCCAGAATCCTTATCCTCGGATGGCTTCTCCTCCTTGGAAGTCTTTTCATCTTTCTCTTCAGCGGGCTTATCTTCAGACTTCTTCTCCTCCGAAGGACTCTCTTTCGAGCTAGCATCCGAAGCCTTAGCCTCATTCTGGGGCTCCTTCGCGGCCTCCTCTTCAGAAGAACCCTCCTCGCTGCTCTCACTCTCGCTTTGGCCCTTCGCCTCCTCAATGGCCTTTTTCCTAGCAGCATCCCGCTCGGCGATCAGCCTAGCCTTCTTAGCCTCATTCTTTTCAATCTGCTTTCGCTTGATCTCCCGATCGGTGCGGCGCTTCTCCCAGTCCCTCCTCCTATGCGCCTTGCGGCAGGTGCTGGCCTTGGTCTGGTTCGCCTTCTTGCGCATTTCCTTGACCTTCTCGAGGTGGTGGTGGGCCTTGGAGTGGGCGAGGTCGTAGGCGTAGCCGACCTGCGCGAGTTTGTCGTTCTCGGCACGCTTCTTGCACTCGCGCTTCACGACTTCCTCCACGGAAGGCCGGCAGGAGGAGCGCTCAGCCGTCACGAGAATAAAGACGGTGTAGTCGCCCGCAGCCATGTTGGGAACTTCGATGGAGACGGACCGCGTCATAAGGTAGTTGCCGTGGGAGCGGACAATGTAGTCCTCAGCGCCGGGTCGGTCCTTCTCATGTACGCGGAATTGGAGACGGAAGTTATACTGGCCCTCGAGGCCCTTGAAGTAGCGGCGGTCAAGTTGGGAGAGGACGAGGACGAGGGGGGAGTCCTTGGTGAGCCTGATGTGGAATTTTTCGTGGTAGCTCGCCTTCCAGGGTACGTCGACGCCTATCCAGCGTTGGCAGCAACCCCAGTCGTCCTCACGGAAGAGGCGAGTGCGGTCAAAGTGCTGGTACTTGCTGAGGAGGTCCTCGTAGGAAATCCAGAATACGGAATCATTTCCAAAAGAGTGACCGAGTTCTTGCTGAACGTCAGTGGTCCATTCCTTGGAGCCGTCGGACCAGGGCCCCTCCCAGACACCTTTTCGGGTCTTGCCCCATGGATTCCTCAGCTTCAACAGACGCTGGCCAGACTTGAGCGTTCTAGCATCCATGACTACATAAGCGTGACGCTCAGTAATTCCATCTCGACTACCGTAGCCGCCGTCGAGAAGACCGGTAGAGCAACCGAACATGAACTCCTTGTTCACTTTTGACAGCTCATTTTTCCAGAAAGCATCAATGTCCAGGATATCTGAAGTAAGGAGTTCCGTCGTTACACCTCCAGTCATGTCTTCCAGACCTTCACCGATCCAACCGCCGATGAGAGACGCATAATCGCCGTGGGCCTTTGCATATGCCTTCTCGAGCAGTGGTAACCATGTTTCATTCTGGTCCTTATTCTTGCCGAAGAACAAAGCTTTGGATCCGGTTTGATACGTCTTTCGATAGTGGAGCTCAACATCCTCGCGGTCAATTTGCGAGAGCAGCTGACGCTGCATGCTGGGGCAGTCCCAGTTCGGAGACTTGAGGTACAGCTTGTCATCGATAATGGAGTAGACCCATTCGCCATCTAAGTTGACTCAGTTAGCAAAAAAGGTTCTGTTCCACTTTCAAACTTTCTTCAGAGCATATGCGAGAATGCAGTGTAAACCGTGTTATCACGATATCCAACTGGGGTATCTCAATGCCCCAAATAAGGTTTTACTCACCTCTATAAAAGACGAATCCATAGATACCAACACCTAGAAAACGCCACGACGAGTTAGAAACGATTCGAAACAACCATTTTCTCCTCTTACGACGTAGTGTCGCCAACGCCGCTCCGAAAACCGCAAGTGGCGTCAACAGTTTGGGGGGCGTAGAACTTGTGTACTTACGAGTATCGTGCGCGACGCAGAGTCGCTGAATACCGCCCACAACGTCGGCAAGGGCAGAGAGAGCAGCAACAGCCCAGCAGTTTCCAATGCTACCCTGGATGATCTCGGAACTGCTCACATTCTTCATAAACGTGGGGTTTTCGAAGATTTCGTGGACCCGCTTGACAGCCTTGGGAACAGTGGCGCTAGAAGACGGTGGGTAGCCGACCTCGAAGGTTTCTCGACCGAGATAATTCAGGCAGTTTCCCTTTTCCATCTTGAGGTCCCAGTCCTGTACACAGTGTACACAGTTAGCGCCATCTCCTTCCAGAAGGTCAAGTACTTCGTAGGAAGTAGCTTCGTGAACCGCAGCAGTTGCGACCAGGCGGAGCATTCACATTCGGCAGCTACGATTGGCAGACAGCGCGAGCACACCCAAACTTTGAGACAGGTGTCTGGCAGTGCAGCACACAGCCAGCCAGGCGTCGTCACTGCCTGGCGGAAGAGGTGGGCACACCGCTTGTTTTTCCACTGACATCGCCCCCTGCGTTGCACATTTGTGCTAAACACCACCCCTGAAATCTGGCAGGTCTCAGTTGAGCCTGGTGCAGTCCTCGACTGCACCGGTGGCGCCGGAGCATCTTCCGTTCTCCCACCATCCTGTCCGGTGAACGCAACGAGGTTGGTTGGGCCCATTTTTTGCCTCGCCGCTCTGCATGGCTTATATGGGGGGATGCGGACATGGGGTAATAACGCAACCCCCTTCCATGTCAATGACACCTCAACATCCTTGCTTCGCCCAACTTTCGGTGTGTGTGCATATGATACCAAGAAATCCACTTTCTCAACGCCGCCCCGAATCGGTGAGACCGCCAAAAATAGACGGGGGAAAATGAACTTACCAAATCCCAACCTGGGTCTCGATATCGAGTATTCACCCGGTGGCACTCTTCGATTATCTTGCGGACTTTCCGCCGGCACTCCTCCGCCGCCCTCTCGTACGACGCAGCTGACGATTCATTGGCTCTATCAGGGCTCGCTGGCGGAACCACAGGGTCGAAGGGTAGCACGGCGAGCGGTATCGTGGGCTGTCTTGCCTGGAGTTTCTTCCATATCCGGTTGATGGCGACTTGCGGCGGGGGCTTCTTCTTCTTCTTCTTTTTCTGGTCGCTCGTGGTGCTGGAGCTCGTGGGCAGCACACGAGGTCGTTTAGGGTCTTCCGACTCTTCTGAAGAACTGTAGCCGTGCATGTTTGTGGTGAATTGTAGTATCTAACAAGACGGAATTGTTCAAGGAAGGTTTGGGCGGGGATTTATGTGTCGAGGGATCGGAGATCAGAGATGTCGTTTACACGGCGCGGTTCGGGGAACGTGGCGGGAACTCGGTATGTGGTCTTGGGTTCTCTATTTGGTGGGTTGAGGGAAGGACCCGCTCCCGTCTCGGTCTATCAAAGAAAAAGGCTGGCGTAAGACCCAACAGAGAGCCATTAAGAGGAAGAGGAGAAAGGGGAGGGGCAGGGGCAGAGACAATGCCTCTGGGGAGGAAGGGACTGTTTTATATCTTCCAGAATTGGGAATGAGGCGCTCAAGCTGGCACTAGCAAAGTGGACATCAAGGGACAGGACTAGCCATCTTACAGCAGGACTTGACGCGGTTAGCCATTTCTGTGTCACACCTGGGGATGGCAACGGGAAGGCTTTTTTTTCCTCTTTCTTTTTTTCCTTTTTTTTTTTTTCTCGCTAGCTGGAAGTTTAAAGCCCCTCGCCCCTAGCGCATTGCGCGAGGAGGCGTTGTCGGGAGGGAAACTGAATGTTCTCCGAACCTACTCCCACTGACTAGGGGATGGATTTACAGGGGGGAATACCAATTCTAAACAACGTTTGACTTTGTACCTTGTGGCGCACCCGGGTGGATGGAAGATCCTTAACAAGGAGGGTGCCAAGGAACGAAGGAAGACGAAAGGATTGATAAGAGTTCCGTCTTGACGAGGCTGACACAAAAGCTTGCAATTGGTTTCTACCTACTAGGCATCAAGGAGTCTTTCAGTGGCAAATTCCTTTGCTAGACTTCATCCGACCGTCGTAGTAAGAGTGTAGACTTGATTCATTAGTACAAGAGCCGATTGTACTTCGTCCAAGTAGTTTAGTTTATGTAGACGGCTACAACTGGACAATTGGAACGGCTGGGCGGGTCCGAAGACCGGGGCAGCCGGGGAAACACCAAAGAATGTGCGGTCCGGGAACAGAATCTGGGGGCGCTTGCACCGCTCGTTTATCCAGATAAAATCCTATTTCACGAGAACGGCCCAGACTCCGCTCCCAAAGGCATCAATAGCTGCCCGCTCACATTGCTAACACGGGATATATTGATGCAACCGTTCACTCAATGCATGGAGCGCTGCAGAGCTATCCGAGTCGTACTGTAGAAGCGTAAAGATCGGCCTTCATTGACTGCTTCGTACGCAAGAGGACGATAGAGCACTTCGTATTTCCCCGATCACATTCTCTGTGTCTTGCATCATCGCCACTCACCCCCCCCCCCCCCCCCCCCCCCAACCTCCAGCTCAAAAGTCACCGCCCTTGACGCCCTGACCCCGACATTCTTCCAACGCAATTGCTGGCCTAGACGAGTGGAAAAGGCGGTGATGATCCAGGCCAGGGAGTAACGGGCGCTAGAAGGCAAAACAGGATCGTGGTATGGATGACCTCATGTATGGAGCATTAATTCCACTTCGGCTGCTGGTCAGCTCAAGGACCATAAAGGGGGTGTGGTGCGGTGGGAAGCACAATACGGACGGACCAACTGGGCCGGCAACATTTAAATGCATGTCGATAGATTAATGCTCTGGATGCACTGCACCAAGCCGAATTATTCTGATTGATCAATCTACTGGTGCCCTCCTGTGCCTGCGCCCGGAAGGAGCCTCAAACCACTGGCAAAGCCGTGAAGCCTCCAACATGGCATCGCATCATGGATCTGGATCAATTCCATTTTGAATACATTTTCGACAACAACTGCATCTTCCCTGAGCTTCCTGAGCTGGGACTGGAATTGATCTTCTCCCTCCACACCTGTAACATGTAGTCACTGGGCATCGGTCAGGCTCTCATGTTGTACTTGTATCAACGCCAGGCGACATGCATCGAATTTGTTGGTGCACTAACACTGCACTAACACTTCGTACCTCCTGCATCTCTCGGACACAGCATCCGGCATCATGTACAATCCAACCTTCAATCCAACCCTCCGAGCTCTCATGGAGGCTGGAACTGTTGGGGACTCAGAGAGCTGCCCAAGCCGTTGAGACGGGCTACTACCGCCCGTCGTCATTTCCCAGACAAAGCACTTTCACGGAATCAATTGATATTGATCCATCAAAGCTAGATTGCTTAAGAGGCCATCCGGGTGCAACTCATTACCACCAAGGTCCTCTCCTCTATTTCCATGGCATTGGCGATGGGTGAGGACAGTTTCTGAGAGTCGGTGGAACTCTTATTCTTAATCAATCTCCGGAACCAAACACGAAAGAGTTTCAATCTTCGCGGCCCACTCTCCCAGTCCTCTCATCAGACAATGTGGTGTTTACACGCTGGAATCAATCAGTGATCGGTCTCTGCTGTATAAATCAATAAACTGTCTGATGAGCACTGAAGGCACCAATCGATCCTACTTGGTATTTTCATGGAGGATCTCATGCTTATACGAGGGACCCTCTCATCCTCCAGCGATCCGGGAAATGATTGAGATTGGCCGATCATCGATGCAGCATAGCACCGCCCGCGCCGCGATCACTACGTAGTAGACATCGCTGGACCATCCACGACCAAGAATTTAACCAACACTTGTAAGACGTCGATTGATAATAGAAATAGAATGTTTACGAATGCAGTCCAGACTGTTTAGTGACCGCAACCCGCCAATATCAATCCCCTGCAATGTACCTCCTCAAAGCCAAGATACAGCCTGGTGGTGGACCCCTTCTCGAATCCTAGCCCCTTGCCTCTCCCATCGACGTCCCACATGCGTTTTTTTCTTCTTCTTCCGAAAATTTACAAAGTAATATTATATTGTACGAGATTGGAGCCTAGTTCCATTCCCGCAAGTGCTTACCCATCCTCACTACCGCCCGCTGAGCTCCGTTCGTCCCGTGGCGAACCACAGCCTGGTCACGAAGCTTCAACAATCCATCGTTAGTGGTAGGCAGCCTACATCTGACGGGATAGTTCGGACCGAGATGGGAACACGAAAAATGGGACGCGGGAGCCCTTTCCGAGAATTACTTCGTACAGCTCACGTCAGTAAATCCCCGCTATCTTGTCCTACGGCGGACGAAATAAACGACTTCCCGCATCTGAGCACGAGGATGAGGGCTGCTCGACGAGTGGATGCCTAGAGATGTAGTGCAATCCGATTGAACGCAGCCGTGAAGAAGAGTGACAGAACATACGGAGTAAAGGGAAAAATTGAAAGCGTAGTAAGCCCAGCTAATCAGAGCTACTTTAGTGGCGATGCTGGACGTTGGTGTGGTCCAAGGTCAGGTTGGAATGCGCACGCGACGTCTGCGCGGGCGTTGGAAGGCCGGTCAAAGCTGGCCAGGAGGAAGCTCACCCACCCTCTTTACAGATTTTTTCCATTCCATCTCCTGACCTTTGTTTTCGGGATTTGCGTCTTCATTCGCTATTTGACTCCGATCAGCACGCGCAATCCTACAGATGCGGTAATTCAGCGAGCCATTGAATTTGGAGGTTCGCCCTGCTTTTTACATTTTCTTCGGGAGGCTCGGTATTTAAGGAAATCTTGGAAAGGGGACTTCGATATTATTAACATTCCTTAATTATTTTACTTACTTTATAATAAGTACTTATATTTTTATTAATTATATTTATTTAATATTATTAATAAATTAATATTCTATTTAAGGAGGCGAGGAAGTATATGAGCTACGTTTAGCTATTAGTTATTTACTTTGTCATAAGTCTAGATTAAGAAGAAGATCGTTGTAGTCGTAGAGTGTCGATACTAGGAATCTTTCGACTGGAGTCCTCGACAAGCTCAAGTAGCTGGTACTGCTCGAAGGACGCATGGAGAATAGGATATCTGATGGCGAGGGGTAGCGTAAATCGACGGCTCATCTCGTTTCAGGATGCGGGGACGGCGCGTCTCTTCAGAAATGTCTAGTGGCCAATCCGTTACCGGAGACTAGATGGGGAGTCTGTCGGACGAGAAGCTCATCACAACTACTCGTCCCGAGCTGCATCCGATCGCAACGGCTGACGCGGCCACGGCCGAGCATACCGGTCGGAACTCGGCCGGTAGCCAAAGCAGGTTCTTTCCGTGCCACGTGACCCAGCACGAGTCGGTGCTAAAGCCGTACTCAAACCGGCGCTCGGCATGGCCGCCACCGTGGCCGGTATCCTGGTCGTTGCTGTAGCCCTCTCCAGGACCGGTACCGAAACCGTCTTCGTAACCGGAACCGGTACTGCTATCGTCGGGACGCGATATGGTCGAAGCACTCTTCTGACGAGGCTCCGAAGCAGTATTGACGACTATAGATGGATCGACGATGATGGCACCAACATCCGTAAGTACATGTAAGCCGTCCGGCTCAAACGCTAGGCGCTGACTCGCCACGCCAATATCGACTGCTTGGACGCACTCGCTCGTCTTGACCTGCCAGATCCGTACCGTGTTGTCCTTCAATGCCGAACCGATGTGTGTGCCATCGGGGGAGAAGGCCACCGAGCTAACGGCCTCATGGCACTGGAGCGTCTGTACACACTCGCCCGTCTTGACCTGCCAGATTCGTACCGTGTTATCAGATGACCCCGAAACAATGTGCATACCGTCAGGTGAGAAAGCCACCGAGTTAACAGCCTCGCCATGGCCCTTGAGCGCCTGTATACACTCGCCCATCTTGACCTGCCAGATCCGTACTGTTTTATCCCATGACCCCGAAACGATACGCATGCCATTGGGCGAGAAGGCTACCGAGCTAACGGCCCCATGGCCCTTGAGCGTCTGTACACACTCGCCTGTCTTGACCTGCCAGATCCGTACTGTTTTATCCCATGACCCTGAAACGATGTGCATGCTGTCAGGTGAGAAAGCCACCGAGCTAACAGACCAGCGATGGCCCTTGAGCGTCTGTACACACTCGCCTGTCTTGACCTGCCAGATCCGTACTGTTTTATCCCATGACCCTGAAACGATGTGCATGCTGTCAGGTGAGAAAGCCACCGAGCTAACAGACCAGCGATGGCCCTTGAGCGTCTGTATGCACTCGCCTATCTTAACCTGCCAGATCCGTACCGTATTATCCCATGACCCCGAAACGATGTGCATGCCGTCACGCGAGAAGGCTACTGACGTAACGAACCCGCTATGGCCCTCAAGTGTCTGTACGCACTTGCCCGTCTTAACCTCCCAGACCCATACCGTATTATCCAACGACCCTGAAACGACATGCATGCCGTCAGGCGAGAAGGCCACCGAATTTATGTCCCTGCTACAGCCCTTAAGCGCCTGTATGCACTTGCCCGTCTTGACCTGCCAGATCTGTACAGTTTCATCCCATGACCCTGAGATAATGTACATGCCGTCGGGCGAGAAGGCCACTGACGTAACGTCCCTGCCATGGCCCTTGAGAGTCTGGACGCACTCGTACTCACCTGTCTTGACCTGCCAGATCCGTACCGTTTTATCCGACGACCCTGAAACGATATGTGTACCATCGGGCGAGAAGGCCACTGACGTAACGTTCCCGCCATGGCCCTTGAATATCTGTGTGCACTCGCCCGTCTTGGCCTGCCAGATCCGTACCGTATTGTCGTCCGATCCCGAAGCGACCTGCGTGCCGTCGGGCGAGAAGGCCACCGAATTAACGTCCCCCCATTGGCCCTCGAGCGTCTGTAAACACACACTCCACTCCGTATCCGCTTTTGGCGGAAGAGCTAGCCACGCAGGAACTCTATCTCGGAAGGTTTCCTTCACTATGCTCATCTCCGGGGCAAAAACAAGGGCTGAGGAGTAAGCTTGAAGTGGTGCTGCCTTAATGGCTACAATGTTTGCTTGGACAAACCGGGTCGCATCAGCGAGAAATCTTGAAATCGACGTGCTAGCTTCGGGCTAAACGAAGTAGTTATTAGCGTATAACCTCTTCTATAATATCTATTTATATCTATGTAAAAGAATATCTGCTTAAAGCATACCTTGAGAAGCGCCTCTAGCGCTTGAATTAGGGTAATGGCCTCCGATGCTTGTCCTATAAGGCTAAGTGCCTCTAGCCAGTGGAGGAAGTGAACGCGGAGGAAGTTGTGGGCCTGGCCGCCGTCTTGAAGGCGATCGTTTGCTTGCTCCGTGTGGTATACCCAATATAGGCTTGCATACTGGACCTCAGCCAGTAGGGCTTTATTAATCGTTTGGGGATCCACGGCTGAGCGAGCTGTTCCGGGCCATTTCAACGCGCAAACGTCTGCGCGGAGGTGCTTGTCCAAAAGTCGTAGGCAGTTTGCTGCCAACCTTTTGTGGGTCTCCTTCTCATCCACCCAGAAGGGGTTCGTCGCGCGCTTGTTAGGGGCGACAAGGAACTCCCGGAAGGACAAGTGGAACGTTGTGATGGGAGTGTCGATATCGGGCGATATGCTCAGGACGGAGTGGAGCAACTGCAACCGGTCGTAAATAACGTCCCTGCGAACTTGGATAAGGCCTTCGAGAGAACTGGGTGAGAGTGGGGTTCGAAGAAGAACAATTGGGCCGATAAGCTCTCGAAATCCCTCTATCACATCGCTCCTCTCGGAATCATCGACACGCGGCACCAGCTGATTCAGAACCGGAAGATATGTCGCGTCGAGTTGGGACATGGAGCGATACCGCAAGAATTTTGCCAGCTGTATCTCTGGAGACTCGTTTCCTTGGACAAAACGACACACGGTGGCGGCAAAGATGAACAGGGGAACGGCCATCGTCACGAGGGTCTCGATTTTCGACGGGCCAGGCCAATCCGAGGGGAGCTGAAAGCCACTAAGGGCCATGACGTTGTAGCGATCTCTGATTCTCGCGAGCTCAATCGTGAGAAATGCTCGAATGTCTTTCTCGATTACAGGTCGGGGAATCTCATGGAGAATTATACCGTCGTACGCATCGTTAACAGTCTTGAAGCCGAAGCGAATGTGTAGCTCAGGCCGACTCGTAACGAAGATCTTCAGCTGCACCGACTGCAGTGTCTTGACGCGAAATAAATGACCAATCATGCGACTTACCTGGTCATTCTCGTCATCACACTCATCCAGCGCATCAACCACAATAACGAGTCGCTGTGACCTCCGGGCGTCATGGGGGATCTCGGACAGCGGTGCCAGAATGAGCTTCTCAAACTGCTCTCCCATTGTCTTCCCCAGCACACCAGAGTCGATCGCATTGCGGACATGCGCGGCCATTGCGGGTTCCTTTAGAACAAGCTGGGCCGCAATTGTTGTGAAGAACCGGGTCGCCTTGCCGCGGTCACCGTGGCCCCTCTTGAAGAGGAAGCTGGCCCCAAGCTGTCCTTTCTTGAACATAGCTCGAGCGACGGTGCGGGAAATGGTCGACTTTCCGGTTCCAGCCATGCCATTGAGCCAGAAGATAGCCTCGGCGGTTCGACTGTCGGCCCACTCGTCGATCTGGCTAAGAAGATGGACTCGGGTGCTGGGGTAGCATGTCGCTCCCTCCCCCTCGGCGTGGGAGTCGAATGTGGCACCGTCAGCGACAGGGAGTTTGTCGAGCGCTCTTTTCTGATCCGCGTCGAGGATGAGAGCCCTGAGTCACCCATTAGTTGTGAGGACCACCAGGTGCAAGCGAAAAGCTCTCACATACGCTTGTAGATAGGAAAAGATGGCCTGCCTCCTATTCCCGAGGTCCTGGGCGATTTTCTCAACGTCCTTGCTCTTTAGCGGCCATTCCAGGGAACGAAAGCCGAAACGACTCATTGCCTTACGTCCTTTCCCTGGGTCAAGCTCCTTCACCAGCTGGTCAAGTTGCAATCGGCTGTCGTTTAGAAGATCGCGCATTTCTTGGGCGCCTTCGAGGGTTGCCCGGTTAGGACCATCCAGGAGCCGCTGGACCCTCCTTGACGCCTTGTCTAGACCATCTGCTCCCCTTTTCAGCCGTTCAATATCGTCCCGCGCACTCCTAACGTCCTTGGAATATCGGATAAGGGCCGAGGCGACCTTCGCCGACAGGTCGATGACGGCGATAACGCTTGCCGCTACGCCAAGCCCTTCCATCGCGGGATAGAGTAGGGCACCGGAATCGGATACTGGTTTGGCATGACAGGCCCTGAAGAATAGCACTGACGGAAGGGAAAGACTGCCCAAGCACTGCTAACCCTAGGTTGCCTGTCGCTGGAGGGAAGGATGGTTGTGGGAGGGGGAAAGCTGAGGATCTGACAAGACCAGGCGAAAAGCGCCTTGGCTGTCGACGGGTACGCACGGGCCATGGCTGCGGCTGCGGACATGCTCCAATCACAATAATAGCCGTTCTCACGCTGGGCGCTTGAAGTGCAAGTGCTGATTTTATATACTTATAAAATATTATAAACTAACTTCATAAAAACCTAAAGTATAAAATATAATAAAAAATATTATAATTTTAATACTAGCTCTTAGTATAATAAATATATATAGTTACGTCTTTCTAAAATAGAGCCCAGTGGTCGATACCAGTCTCCAAAGTATAGACTTTTCGAGGGTCTTTTCCCAAGCAAGGAAGGCGTTCGAAACCAACGACCTTCCATACCATCAAAGGTTATAGCCACGTCTTTGATCTCGACGACGCCACTGCAAAGTCCGCTTGTCAATCGAGTTCTAGTGCAATTGATATCGCGAGATTGATTAGCAAGCAATCGTTTGAGAACAAAGACTCTTTTTAAAAAGAAGAAAGGAAAAAATAAATAAATAAAACAAGGTATCAATTGCGGACAAATAACCCCCTCGCCCGTGATATCGCCAAACATTCCTTGCCTCCGGCCAGTCCGGAGAGTCTGAATCCAGGAGCGAGGTCTGTAGAGAGACAAAATGGAGGGAGAAGAGTCACTTTATACAATAATTACTATCTATTGACGCCACGCAGCCTGCCGCCCGGCTCGGAAATGCTTTGAATAACCGGCATGCTTGCCCGCGCTGATTGAAGCATTCGACGTGTGCCGTCGGCTCAGGGACGGATCCGCAATCGCGGACAAACAGCACTTTCATCGGCATTGCCATCGGTTCTTCGAGCTATGCCTCTTTCGTATCCCGCACGCGGCTCCACACATTCTAAATGCAAACGTGCATTCGCAACGACACGATCTCACAAGCGCCACGAGGCGGCAAGTCGGCAAGTCATCATCGTCGTTCATTTTATAGACTATCCCCAAGTCCCAACGTTCCGCCAGTTTCTAGATATTGATACCAAACCTCCGAATTGACGACCCCTCGTGAGCCCTTTTTTTTATTTTGTCTATTCACCCATACCGGGACCCGGAATTGAACAACCATAGTATACACCCATGAGCCTACTCCAGATTAAGATATCAAGCATTATTCCATCAAATCCCCGCCCCGTTACTCCTTAAGGCGCCGATTAGAAGTAAAACCCGGATTGCGGCGGCTGCTGCTGTCCAGGTGGCGGTTGCGCCATGAATTCAAAGTTCATAGCATCAAATCCAGTATTATTATTGTTCCATGGTTCGGGGGATTCTGTGGTAACGCCTTTGTTAGACTGACACTGACAATAGCGTTTTTGGTGGTATGTAGATGCCAAACTTACCCCACCAGATAGAGTCGTAGAGGTCTAGCGGAGACATGTAAGGGGTGGGATCCATGCCAACTATATTGTCTAGATTCACACCGGATACCGGCTGAGTCGGCGATAGGCTATTACGCGGCCCGAGGTTAGTGCTTGCAAACTAGGTGACAAAGGAAGGATTAAGACGGTTTGCTATACCTAGTGTAGTCGGGAATTGGCGCGCCGCGCTGTTGCATCTCCGCCATCGTACGCGCAGCATCCTGGTGTGCCGGATCGATACCCGCGAGAGGCGGCGGGCGGTACTGCGCGTCTTCGATGTTCGCGTTAAGGGATGGAGCAGTGAAGGGCTGGGCGGGAGCCACAGGTTCGGTGAGGGTGCTGGGAGTGTTTTCTACACCCTCTCTTTTCACGGAAGTGCCCGTGATAGAACCGTGCTTATACATATTCTTTAAAGCCATCAGGGCCCTCCACAAAGGACCCGATAATTCGATATCCTTATCCGTCTTCTTGACACCCCCCGAAGGCGAGGGCTGCTCCTTCGCCGCCGTCGCCGATAGAGCTGCGATTAAATCGCCTTGAAGTTGGCGAATCTCCGGGTCCTGCTTGGTGTCGACGAGGATGCCGAGGAGCAGCGCCGAAGAAAGTCCGTTATACGTAAACGCCCAACTACGCGTTGGGATAACAGAGAGTTGATGCATCGAGAGGAACATCTTAACCGTCGTAATAAGATTGGTCTTGCACTCGTCGGCGATAAAGGCTTTTTGCGATTCATCGAAAGGACAGTCTCGGCGCAGCGCAGGTCGGCAAGCGACGGATATGGTGAACGCAAGATGCAGTTGAATGGCAAAATGTTGTAGTCTGTCCTTGACAGTACGGCACTTGTCCTTGAATTGGATTTGCGGTACGACTTTTGTTCCGAGTTCTCTCACTGAGTCGCAAATATCTATAATTTGATCGTAGGTCGCACCTGCTATGAGATCGGGAGAAAGCCGTCTGCATATTATGTGTGTGAGGTGATACATGGCTTCTAAGTACGTGTATTGGTCGGCCGTCTGCGGTAGGATACTGGTCGGAATATTCGTTACGGGATACCTGCCATTTAATGCTCATGTTAGCGCTGAGTAGGAGGGAGAGAAGACCGCGGGTGACCATGCCTGTCGAATGATAAGGAAATAAGAGTATCATGCCAGGTGCATGTCCACCACAGTTTCCTTCGAATCACTTCTTTCGCCTTGGCCTCAGGTGTAGTGAGTTCTTTTCCGTCGTGGGGTGCCGGCCGATGAAGTCCCAGAGACTGGGCAAGGCGGCAAGTTAGGCCAAGGATGGCCCAAGAAGCCTCCGCCTTCATGTCGTTGAGCAAGACGAAACTTGTCAGGAGTAGAACTTGAATAGAATCATATGTCGGTCTGGTGATGTGGTCTATATTAGCAAAAATAAATGGGCCGGGGACAAGGTAAGGCTGGCTCGAAGGAATAGGGACCGCACCGGAGTAAGAAGTTGGCTAGCCGCAAGAAGTGGAAGGAAATCTGGATATATTTCTGTGCATCTCTCGTTCGAATATGATACGGTGAGTCATGGTACTGAGATCCGACGGCTAATATTGCGAATAGGATGGCGAGCCAAGTTGCTGAAACGGGCTTGGGTGAGACATTCGCGCCTCTCACTGACCGGGCTCGTTCTTCCAAGTATGCCATCAACTTGGACTCGAACTCGTCGAGATCAATAACGAATCCCCAGAATGGTTGTGTCACCTCTTTGTAGGTTCTGAAGAGTCTGCCACACCCGAACGTCAGTCGCCACGCCTTGCATTAACATGGGCGCAAGGTCCGTCTTACTTCATTACTTCTCTGTCAGAGGGGAGCTCGGAGGTAATCTCCTGCGTGAGTCGGTCAAGGTGTTTCGTCGACATCAAGGGAAATGGTGCCGACGTATCGAGGCCGAGTATGGGCCGCATGTCTTGTCGAAAGTCGCTCACATCGCCCCCATTAGTCGATCCAGGTTGCTCCCTGAGCAAAACGGGGATGCTGTTCTGCCCCAGATACCTTACGGGCTCTGGTGCGTCGTTTTCGTCAACGCTCGTAGCTTCACCTAGTCAGTAAACAGGAGGGAGTCACAAAGGAAACAGCAGCAAAGCGGATGATGCGTACTGAAAGTCCTCGGCCAGCCTCTGCCGTCTTTGCGACCGCTGTCCGCGCTTGAATCCGGCGAATGTGTTCTTTTCCGTCCAACAGACCTCCCAGATTGACTGGCGGCCTTTCCGGAGGCACGTTGGTTAGGTTTATATGAGCACAGCTGTGGGTGCTCGCGCTTCACGCAGTTCTCACACGGCTGCTGATTGTCGCATTTGACTTTGCGTTGCCTGCAAGGCCAGCATGCCGTTCCTAGTCCCCAGGAGGTGAGTGCGAGTCAGCGAAACGAAGCCGGAACGAGAAAAGAGCAACGGCGCAATATAAAAGTGAGGGTAAGAAAATATCTGCAGCCCTTTTCCCGACGTGCCACAAGGGGAAATATAGAGATGGGAAAGGCCAAGACGTAATATTTCTGCGAGGGGCAATGCAGACAGAGGCAGACATACCGTATCGCACCTTGCGGTGTGAATGGATTATGCGGCTCGCCTCCTCTGGGGTCAAGTCCTTGATGGACGCGGTGCCCTCTGGGGGATCCAATGCGTCCTCCATGACCAGAAACGGGAATCTTGGGAAGAAGTGTTACGAATGAATGCCGAACACCGAGACAGGTGCCGCAGACATCAGAAGATTTTCAAGGAGGGGCACAGGTTATAAGCTCGCCTGTAAAAAGTTGAGAAGGTGTGACTGGCGGGAGGGGTGTGGAATGCCACTCGGCACGGCGCCTTGGCACTGTGCACACCGACCAAGTTCCTTGGCATATCCACAGTGTTAATCGGAGGAGGCATCCTCATTTGCCAATTCTTTGACGCTAACTCGGTAGCTCCGCGGAAGTGGAAAGGGCTCAACTCGACCAGTGTGAAGCACGTTGGAGATCGAGCAATTGCTGCGTCATAGCCAGCAAGGTTTTGTTCAAGATTACCTCACCACGGGCATTGTCACGTGGCCGAATCCCATCGTTCCAGTGTTGAGGGTGTTCAGCCAAGGTACTAAAGTACTCCTTGCAGTATGACGGAGGAAACCGTCAATGGATTGGAAACGGGGAACGGGGGTCCAAAGATATTACAGGGGCTTTTACCTATCAGTGCTAGAGACAGTCTGTTCCATTAGATGGCTTGGAGGCGGCTTTGTTCAGAATTAATGAACATCGAAGGATTTGAAGCTCCAATGCTACGATTGTAATATTCGAGGAAGCTTGGACCGTCGCGAGAGGAAGGGCTGTGCGACGCACGACGCGGGAATCCCCTGCGCAGTCAAGGCCCAAAAAGGAGGGGGCGTGGGGGGGATTTGGCAGGCAAGGCTGGCCCTGGGCTGAATTACTTTCAATTCGCGACGATCCAACGATTCTCAAGCATCAAGGTAGCAGTGTCTGACTTAGTCTCCGGCCCAGCGACTCTTCCTGTGTGCCTTCGCTCCGATTATGTGCGAGAGTTCAGCGGTGTACAACTCGATCCTCCCTTATCCTTGACCAGAGACCGTTCGACAGTGCGCATTGGCTGCTCGAGCACGCATTGATGTGACTTTAGGCTAAGAATTAATTTAGCTTGTCTGGTGCTGGCGTCTCGTTGGCCACACGAGGACAGTCAACGCGTCACAGAGAGAGCCTAAGACCAAAGAGAGTATCTGACACCATGGACCGTCTCCGGCCTATACCATCGGTACACACTACACCAGTGAAGCCAAGGGCCGAGTGCACGTTTATCGAAGACCTCAATGCAAAGTATAGATTAGGCATTGAGTTCCCTCCTCTGCGCCTATCTCCTAGAAAACGCAGAGAAGCCCAGACAACCGAGGCAGCACGGCGGGCAGATGACATACGCGGACTGACCCATTGCCTCCATTACCGCAGCCCCGAAATTCTGTTGGCCGTTGAACAGCAATTCCGGAACGAGGCACAATCCATCTGCTCCCAGTGGGTCCCGAAGCCCCAGGCCGTGCCGGGACTCATTCCGGTCACCGACGCCGTGCCTCAGGCCACAACTGCTGAGCAGCAGCAAGAACTGCAGCAATGTCTCTTGGGCCTCCTTCAACGAGCGGAGCGTGACAGTCCTCGTCGCAAACTCTTCGTCCCTACCTCTGACGCAACCACGTCTTTCAAGGGACCAGCGGAAAAGAGTTCCACTCGGCCCACAAGGCGAACCTTTCGGAAACGGTTGTCAGATGAGTTGGAACCCCACGGAGATAACCCCTTCGCACAAGACGGTCCCTCGGATAGCAAGCGTGCAAGGTCTGCCCTCGATCAAGTCCCCGTCCGTGAGAGAGAACCCGTCTCCAGACCCAGCCGAACCTTTGGTCGGCTCGGGTCGAGAGGGGACCTATTCTACCGCAATAATGAAAACGACAGCTTCACATCCGTCGCTACAGCAGTATTTTCAACCACTGGTCGCGTTGGTGACGATACGTTGCTGTCCGATTCTCAGCTGACCCAACCATTCGATGATGATGAGAATCCCGACCTCAAGCCCGGCCTCATCTCCGCTAACACCGCGTTCTACATCCCCGTCGACCCACCTTCCCCTTCCCCAGTTGAACAAACCGATGTCCTAGCCTCGGATGGAGCTCACAACGGTCCTAACTCTGTCTTAGAGCTAGGGACATCGACGGTGCAGGGATCGCACCAGGCTGCAAGCGTAGGTCCCCTGGCTCATATGCAAGCAGAAACCGCTGTTACCTGGGAAACAGCCCGAGATGCAGCGCCTGGGCTGCTCGAGACAGGCCCATTAGCCCGGCAGCAGCAGAGCATCCCTGAGTTGCCAGTTCGACGCTCACATCTTGCCGACCCGCCGCAACTTGACCTCCCTTCTTCGGAGATGCCATTCAGAGATGTGCTGAGACGCAGTCAGGATGAGCTGTCCATCATTTCGTCATTTACAAGCTCTTATCATGTAGATTTTGAGCCAGGAAACCCCGTGGTTGGCCAGAATTCGAGCCTTGACGCTCGATTGAGAGACTCATGGCGTAAGTCCTAATATGTTCCTTCTTGCACCCCACTCTTTATTCTTTCTACGCCCTCCCACGAGATTTCAGCATCATCATTAACATTGCCCAAGCCAAACTCCCCGAGTCCCTAATCAATGCCCCACTTCCTATTATCTGGGAAGTTACTAGGGCTGCCCTTCACTGCGGTGTAGAGTTGGCAGACCTTGAGATAAACTACAATGACGGGTGGCGCGACCAAATGATATTCAACCAGGAGTTACGAAATCATCCGGCATTCATAGCCGCGTCCAAACCCCTCCCTGGCATGTGCGATCCTAGAGCTTGGAAGGCGGCGTTCTCTACTTTCCGGCATAACGGACGAACGGTTACTTTAGTGATGGAGGCCAAAGCTAACCCTGACAACAAGGGACCTCTCTTTCTCTTCTCCTTGGAGCCTCTCAAGTTCGACCTCGGCCATCGGCTCTGCAGACGATTTGGTGCCGATAGGTTCCTAGAAGTTATCTTCCCCGCTCCGTCAACAGTCTCCAAGGATGCAGAGACGGTGGATCGAGTAAATCGCTGGCTTTTGCAAGTTCCGCATGTCGTGCTCAGCCGGGTTTGGCGCGCGTTTTTCCTAAAGGACGCGAAAAAGCAGATAAAGGAGGACCAGTTCAACTGGGTGCGGAAGACGTATGTACAACAGTACAGGGTGTATTTCTTCTGTGAAGATGGCGCCAATTTTGTGCACAGAAAACGGCATGTCCATTTTCCTCCAAAAGAGCAGGCTTATAATGTGGAAACCCGGACGAAGATGGGCCTATCCCGTTTGCTGGAATGGGCCATTGGCCTCTCTCGTAGCAAATCGCAGAAATCCCTCAAGCTTTTCTCTCGGCTCGCGCTAAGTATGATGTTACGCATTTCCTTACTTGTTATATTTTCTGACGGTATCCCTCCTTAGGTCTGACCCCAACGACTGCAACAGTAGTCCTCCAGAAAGAAGAAATTATTTGCCATGAGGAGGATATACTATCTCCTACGGGCAATATCATGAATGATGGTATTGGTCGGATGTCTGGTACTTTAGCCCAAAAGATACGCGATAAACTCGGCCTGGATGCGACGCCAAGTGGATTCCAGGGACGCATGGGAAGCGCAAAAGGATTTTGGATTGTCGACGTCGACACTTACGATGAGAAGGATGGCGAGGTCTGGATCGAGACGTACCCATCCCAACGCAAGTGGGAATGTGACTTTGAAGATGAGGATCATCGCACGTTTGAAGTGAAGAGCTATTCACGAGAACTGAGGTCGGCTGCTTTGAATAAGCAATTCATTACCGTCCTCGAGGACCGAGCCATAAACCGTAATCGCATGAGAGAAACGCTTGCCGAACTCCTGCGTCGCGCCGTGAGCGAAGAGCTCGGGGCTCAGATGCTCGCGGCCAATGATCCCATGGCCCTACAACGATGGGCCAGTCTCAGTCCCTCTGCCCGAGCAGACAGGATTCTCCATGGCGAGGTTGAGTTCCTAGCCGGACTGCCGAATGCCGACGAAGAAATTATAAAGTTCCTCCTAGACGGCGGATTCCGCGTATCGGAGCTGAAGTTTTTGCGCGAGTTGGTCTATAAGGTTGCGAAACGCAGACAGGAGAAGCTACAAGAAAAACTCAAGGTCCAAGTACCACGGTCGACCTACGCATACATGGTAGTTGATTTCTCTGGACTGCTGCAGGAGAACGAGGTGCATATTGGATTCTCTTCGAGGTTCCAAAGCGATGGCGAGTCGAAGACATTGTTGCATGGTATTCCGATTCTCGTGGCAAGAGCTCCGGCACACTTTCCGAGCGACATTCAGAAGGTGAAGGCAGTCTACAAGCCCGAGCTTAGTCACCTGACAGATGTGATTGTCTTCTCGTCGCAGGGCAACGTGCCGTTGGCAGACCTGCTTTCCGGTGGCGATTACGACGGAGACCAGGCCTGGGTATGCTGGGATCCTGACATTGTCAACAATTTCCGGAATGCACCTGTGCCCACGCAGCCTGATCTCATCGAGGACGGATATCTCCATGTCGACCATGACACTTTTGACCAGACGCTCACAAGATACGAGAACAGGTTAGAAGTCGCATTATCGCACTTCCTCCACCAGAGTTTCGTTTTCAGCATGCAGGGAGACCTGTTGGGACAGTGCACAAACTACAAGGAGAAGCTCTGCTACAGGACGAACAAAATCAGTGACGAATCCGCCGTGCTTCTGAGCACACTCGTCTCAAAACTAGTGGACAGAGCAAAACAAGGCATCACCTTCACCCAAAAGGATTGGCAGGGACTCATCAAGGCCAAAGGCCTTCCCAACATCTGGGCGCTCGAGGAACCCGCCTACATGAAATCCGATTGCTCGGGACACGATAAACACATCTTGGACTGGTTAAAATTCAAAGTGATCAAGCCTAAGATCGCGGAGGAGCTTACGGAACTTGAGTCATCTCTCGGGGACGCTCACCACTGGGACAAGGATCTAGCTTTCTACTACGACGAGCTGGAGGTCCTGAAAGCTAAATCCAGGACCTATGATGGTCTACTTACCAAGCTGTCCAAGGACCTCCACGGCATCCACTCTAAGTGGAAAGAGATTCAGGGAAATCACCAAATCGGCTACCACGAGAAGGTGAATAAGGTGTACCAGGCCTACCTTGACGTGAAGCCGCACCAGTCGGCACTTAAGACGCATGCCAAAACCTACCTCTACGGGACCGACGAGAACGCCCCCGACGGCGTCAGCAGGTGGGGACTAATCAAGGCTTCCTGTCTGTTCAAGCTGTTCTACCAGAAAGGTGCCAAGTTCGCCTTCACGATGGCGGGCGCGCAGCTGCAGAGGATCAAGGCCGAGAGGTGCGCTGCCAGGAATCCAGGCACGGCTTCTTCGAGACCTTCGGCTTCGGTGGTGGCGGAAATGTATGCTTGCCACAGGCCTGACAACAAGATCATCGACGCGTTGATGGCCCGGAAGGGCATGGGCGGATATTGCGAGAGTTTGGCCGACATTCATGAGGAGCACTTCTTCGATGCTGAAGGGAACGAAATCGACGACGCATAGCACGCGGACTCGAAGTTCGAGAGGGTCGGTTGGTTGGGGGGCCAAATAATTGTCGGCGTGCCCTGAGGTTCCGGCGCGCGATACCTTTTTTTCCTCCTCTTTTCCGTTGGAACTTTCCCTACCCTTCTTTTGACTGGGTATTTCCCCATTTTTGTTGAATTCCGATCGGTTTTGTTTTCTGCGTTTTCCTGTTTTTTAATACCTACTCCTTCTCTCACCGCTGTTCTTGCGCTTGACTTCGTAATTATACCCAACCCTCTTGCCCGTCCGACTTGCGTCTATTCTTGGATTTGTCCTGTCTTTCGATTTTTGTCTTTTGCATATCACATTTTGTAGATGGCACCACGCCGCAGCTCTGCCTTCGGTACTTTTGGTCTATATATTTATGGTTGGCGGAAGAATTGGATACTTGAGCCAAACTATGAGCGCTGGACTACGTTTAGGGTTGAGGATCTGTTGGATACGATTTGGGTTTTGGATTTGTCGATAATAGTCCAGCGCGTCAATATGACATCCATAAGTGTGTTAACAAGTAAAATTGGCCGACTAACTGATCAATTGATGTATAAGAAGTCCATGAGGTTTTACGCTCTTATTACCCTCTGGCCGAACCTACCCCTCTCGGGAGACTCATCAACTAGCTCAAATGCCCATCACTCATCCGCTTCATTCATGTCGTTTCTTCCTCGTTCACCACCAACCCCTTAACCCCATCTCCGTATTGTGGGTTGCCCTCTATGGAACCAACCGGAAGCAACCTTCCGACCACGTTAAGCATGTACCAGTGGCATAAATCCCGTGTCGCAATGGCGTCCTCCAGGGCATTATGGCTGCCGACCTGAATTTCACGACCAAGCCTGTCCTGAACCAGCGCCTTTAGCGTAAAACTACCCGACTTGCGCTTCTTGTACTTAGGCTCCGCACCGTTGACGGGCACGCCACCGTCCTCGTTTCCGACTTCTTCTTTTTCTCGCCCACCGAGATTAACGGTGTCGATACGGCACCTCTCCACTATACTCTGCTCCAGAATCAAGGTGTCCACCACATTTGTGTGAATCAGCCTCATCGAAGTGAGGTCCTGGTGGAGCGCATGGCCAACAATAATCGTCTCTGGTCCGATGAATGAGTAAAGGGCCGCCCTCGCATCGTCCCTACCCCAGAAACACTTTCCCGCTCGTCTTGCACGGTTGAGGTCGGAGAAACGGATTCCAGAAAAGGGCGAATTGTAGTGCAGCATGCGCACCTTGGGAAAGACGAGTTTGTTGATGAGGACGGCGCCAGAGAAGTAATCGACTACGGCGAGGCTGATGAGCTCCGAGTCACCTGTGATAGAGACGCCCATCTCACAGTCGAGAGCGACAGCACGGCGGGGTTGGGGGAGACGCCACGGGTCGACCGTTGGAGTTGGATGATATTGCCATTGGGAGATGAGCCACTCGATTTTGTGATCGGTGGGCCGGTGAAATTCAGCAGATTTGCAGGGTTTCGAGAACTGAGAGTGGCCGTTGCAGCAAGACCAAAGCTGTTTGCTTGTTAGGGGATGTCAGTTTGATTGAGGGCACCCGGATGGACTTACGCCTCGGATTATTCGCCCATCGTGAAAATGGCATGCCATGACCACTGTTTTTTGCTTGGGTGGGCGTGAAGCCGTGGCGTTGGTGGAATCTAATTTGGCAAGCATACGTCAGTTTTCGGTCTCTCGTATCACTATCGAGCAAACGAGGCGCCGCATACCTAGTTGGACTGCTACGGAGACCGTGTCGCCAGACGTTGTAGGAGGGCGAAGCAGGACTCCTCCTGAAGACGCTTCATTCTTGCTCGATACTTCGGCCTGCTCGGTCTTCTTGTTTGGAATCTCATGCTTTTTCTCCTTCTTCCCGCCTTTGTTATTGCTCCTCCTCTTACCATTGCTTTTGTGGAGAGCTAGAACATCGGTTAGTTGGCAGACAAGTCTACCGAGATCCGTGGCTTGTTGACCTACATCGAAAGCACCGGGAACAACGCCTCTTATTCTCGACCTCGGCGAGAGTTAAAGGCTTGCTAATGTATCCATTGTGATCAAGCATATCTTGCGTATGAATGAGGTCCGTAAGCTGTTGCATATAGCGCTCGGTGAAGGGAATTATAGCAGCCATCGCAGGGTTGTTATGCTCCGCGCAGGTCCAGTATTCCATCAAGGGTTAGCCGTTTTCGATCATACCAACAAGTGGCATTTGTGGTATGTAGCGGTGCGGATTGGATTTATTTGAGGAGAAGTTCTTGCTCTTTTGCCAGGCCAGGCGAGAACAGCTAAAGAAGGCGGCTGGAGCAAAGATGAAGAAGACGGAGTGTTGAGCCCTCAGCTGCCCAAGGCTCTAAGTTTCCTGGTCGGGGTAGTTGACTGTCCCTCCAGTCCAAAGCTGTTCCTTCCGTGTTTCCCATACATTGGATTAGCGGTGATTCACATGCTGCAAACTGTGAATCACAGCTTGAAAGTTGTGTGTTGGTTCGGGAAGGATCAATGAGTGAGGCTTGCTTGTTCGAGTTGTGGTTGACCGAGGTGGAGTGTGCTGCCTAGAGCGTCAGCCGCCAACACTTGGCAAGGGAAAAGTCGCTAACCAGTGGTCTAAGCGCTGAAGGGAGGAGGAACTAGAACAGAGTGAGCCACCAAGTTATAAGAGGAGATATCAATTGTAAATGGTTGAAAAGATTAATGTTGATTAAGTCTATGCGTGAAGGACAGTAAAAAGTTCTATGGGAACTAATATGAAAAATTCTAATGACCGTTGAATGCCGATGCCACCATATGTCCAGAATCCATCAAGAAAATAATGCAAGATCCATGCCCCAAGTCTAATGAAGGAGTGTACCGCTGCTGAGAATATCTATGAAGGAGAAAAAGATTGATGCAAAGAGTCGCTTAGATACCAGCGTTGGGCTGGGGGTTGGGGATGCGCGAGCCGCCCTGGATATCGGGCTGAGAGACACCAGGAATATCAGCCTTGATAGCGTTGTTGCGGAAAGCCGAGAGGTTGTTGGGGGAGTCAGGGTTCTGGTTGATGGAGCCAACCATGCCCTGCGAGCAGTGTTTGCCCTGGCTGCAGTAGAACCAGATGGGCTTCTTATCCTCAACAATGATCTGGAAAACCTCCTCACTCTGGCCCTCGTTGACGGGGAAGAAGCCGGAGAAGAAGGAGTCAGCGTCGCGGGGGACGCAGGGCTTGTCGAAGGAGGACTGGACGACGGAGTGGTTGAGGGGCAGGTAGTGGTACTCGACGATGTCGCCGATCTCAGCGAAGATGTTGTTGGGATCGAAGTTGAGACCCGCGCGGCCGACGGCGACGGTGTGGGTCACGCCGGTGAGCTGCGTGCGGGAGACGATGTCGCCGGTGGTCTTTGTGGGGGCTGCCGAGCCGAGAGCGGCGACGGTAGCGAGGACGACGAAGAGCTTGGAGAACATTGTGGATGTGTTTAAGAATTCTGGGAGAACAGTGTAAAATATAAGATTTGGTTTATGAGAGGAAGTTGGAAGATAGTAAACTCTAGTTTGAGGTGTATTTGATATTGATGTGTTTGTTGTATTGTAGATTGTGATCGATGCTTGAGATGATGGTGATGATGAGGAGAATGGAAAGAAGATGATTCCATGAGGGATGTCAACATTTAAATACATTTTGAGAAATATCATCCGTCCTACCTTTTGAGATTTTTTTTACATCGTGAAAATTATTTTATTTCCTCTCACAGCCTTCCTCTCGAAGCAATCGCGGCTGCGCAAAACCATCTGGGGGTGTAGTGCGAAGCCCCAGCAAGATGGTCGTTGCCCAGGTGTTCGGATCGTTGGCGCTGCCGAGATCCAAGATTAGAAACAAAAACGTTAGTAATGCTGGAGCTCTAAGCTCCAAGCTTAATTGTTTTGCAGGCGCTAGCGTTCGGCCCAGAAAGTTGCCGGTGGTGTGCACAGCCCGGTTTAGACGCTGTGAGTCTTTTGACTGGGCTTGTCGGTTGCTTGCCGGCGCAGCCAGACCAGGCGAAGGGGGCTGTGTAGCGCTTGTAATATCAGAATCTCACAGCCTTAACAACCGCAAAATGCACGAAGGAGCCGAGGACACCTCCACGGCATGGCTCTTGCGCCGCGCAGGTGCAGATGGAAATTTCCATGGAATCATGGATGCCGGTTATTTTTGGGTGATCACAAGCGATACCTATTCTTGTTTGCTTCTAGGAGGGTTGGGTGTTTTGTTTTGGAATCGAACCAAGATGCGACAATCCCGGATCGGACGTTGGCCAACAGCTTGGAGTGCCCATTCTCGTGGCCAAAGATGCAAACGCATGAGACTGGTTTGCTTCCTGAAATTAGAAATCCTCTTTCGCAATCTATTTCCGTAGAAATATGCCTTCGCCAAGAATTAGGATTCAACAGCTTCCATCTCGTATACCGACGACGGCAAGGGAAAGGGATGTCTCTCACCTCCGCTCTAGGATATTAGTGAGATAAGCTCATCCCACCAATTGTGACATTACCCCAGCTCTTATTCCACCAGCTCATCTCTCATAATAGCTCCGAGAGCAGACAACGTTGCATCTGACATCGGGCCTAACATACCCGGAGTCTGCGGTTGAGTAAGTCCAAGCCTCGACTTGCTCATTACTTCATACACTTTCTTGGTAGCTTAGCCATGCTTGCGGAACTGGACAGCAGTTGGCCCGGCCACAGCTCTCATCTCGCAAGGGACCCAATCAGATGGAAACACAAATTGTAGGATTGATCAGGCCGTACCCGAAGGCCCGGGTAGTATTCTAGGATCGGTACGCTCCATGCTGTATTATAATATTACTGAGTACATGGACCACAAACGCGGTGATAGGCCGCGACGTGAATCCTCTTAAGTGCTTTGTATTTGATCTTCCTGCCTCTGACCCCGCCAAAGTCACGTGAAAACTACCCCTCCTCCCCCTGGCACGGCGGGGCCGAGCGAGTCTCAGAGTCTCAGGCTGCGCTATTAGCCTTGAATCCAGCCAGGTCTATGTCAATGGGCAGAGCCCAACTGTCTATCTCCACCCTCATCCCGACCTTCCTTGACAATCTCTTGTCCTACTTTCATTCTCGGTTTACTTTCTTATTATAGATTCCGAATTGCCTGAAGATGCAGTCAGGAATCTCCGGTAAGATGTCTCCCGTCCCCCTCTCCGCCCGCCTGATTGGGACGCCAGCTGACTGACCCCTGTTCTTAGCTTCCAAGGAGCTAGTCTCCCAATTCAACGACCTGCTCACCTCCGTCTCCCATTTCGGTCTGCTCGTTAACATCGCCAATGAATCCCTCTCCCCGTTTAAGCTCCTAACCTCCGCATCCTCCGACTTCGACTCCAACCTGTCTCTCCTGGCACCCCACCTCCAACCCAAGGAAGCTCTCTACATCATCCTCCGCCGCTACCCCACCTCCCCTCGCCTCGTCGCCATAACCTACGTTCCCGACACTGCCCCTGTCCGCCAAAAGACCCTTTTCGCCTCTACTCGTCTGACCCTGGTCCGTGAGCTCGGATCTGAGCACTTCCGCGAATCCATATTCGCAACCACCCCGGAGGAGTTGACGGCTGAGGGCTTCAGGAAGCACGATGCCCACGCCAAGCTCGCGGCCCCCCTTACTGAGGAGGAGGAGAGCCTAGGCGCCGTTAAGAGGGCGGAGATGGAGGCCGGATTTGGAAGCGGGAAGAAGGAGATTCATCTGAGCAAGCACTTTGCTATGCCAGTAAAGGAGGATGCGCTGGCTGCCATCACCGAGGTGGGGCAGGAAGGAGGACGCGTGGCGGTCATGTTGGTGAGTTACCAAAATAAACATAAGAAAAACCCCTTCGCCCATAACAACAAAGCGTGCCACGTTGTTCGGTGCAGATGCTGACGAGGGGACCAAAATAGAAAATCAACCCCCAGACCGAAAGCGTGGAGCTCGTACAGGAGAACCCGAGGCCTAATTCTATTAATGAACTCACCAGGGTCATTTCGGATACTGAGCCCCGCTTCACTTTCTACCGCTACACTCACACGCACAATGGCGCAGAGTCTAGCCCGGTATTATTCATCTACACCTGCCCAGCAACCGCTGGCAATAAGGCCATCAAGAACCGCATGTTGTACCCCCTAATGAAGAGGGCCGTCTTGGAGGTTGCTACGTCGAACTGTGGCCTTAACATCGAGAAGAAGTTCGAAGTCGAGGAGCCGAGCGAGGTTACGGAGGAAAGCGTCTTGGCGGAGCTGCATCCCGTCGCTCAGGTCAGGCAAGGTTTCAGTCGCCCCAAGCGCCCTGGTAGGTGAAAGGGGAATCGCGGCTCTTGATACGTGCCTCGCGATCCTCGTCTGAGGCTAAAAAGAAAGAAGTGATGACAATGGTTACTCTATACTATCCACCATAGCCTCTCCCGCCACTCTTATTTCCTTTTCCTCCCGAGTTTTGTGCTCCCACAAAGTGTTTTCAATGGTCACGAATGGTCACGGCCTCCTGTATGATCATATCCCCTCATTGTCATGGCAATTGTTCTTGTTAACCTAAATTCCATTGTGCGATGTTATGCAAGGCTCCGAGAAGGTATATATGGACGCAAAGGAAAACAAAAAAGAAAAAGGAAAAAAAAAACAAAAGGAAAGAAAACCAAGGCATCTCTATATGAGCTTTTCCTTTCGCCCTTTGCCCTTCCTCCCCACATCCCGAAAACCGCACCAAAATGCTTTAAAAAGAAATGCTTTGTTCTTCTAACCACACAGCAGCGCTATCCGCCCAACTTTATGTTTCAATGAGATCCCGAAAATGTCCTGTCGTATCCTTCTTCGATGGTATCCACCGGAGGGTGGTGATGAAGGGGGCTGATATATGTACTAACGTATGTATATATAATATTTTTTTTTTTTCGTTAAGGGAGGGTTGGCGTATATTTACTCCTCGTACTGGTCGCCGAGGAGGGTCGCCTTTTGGGTCTTCTCAATCATTTCCCTGAGGTACTCGTACACGGTGAAGGTGACGGCCTGGCCGGGGGCAACACGCATGACACGGGGGGTGATGCCCTTGTAGAAGGCGTGGAATCCCTCTTGCCTAGATTTACCGAGTCAGTAACGGTCTCGGTTTCTTTCACATCCTCTCTCTCTCGACGTTCACAAGTCGAGAGATGACTAATCGCGACGATTAACAGCAAGTGTCAGAATGGGCACAACTCACTTGAACATTTCCGCGGAGATGGCAGTGATCCTCTTCCAGGCGCTAACACCGGGCTCGGCAGCCCTCCTCTGAAGCCTGGTCTTGATGGTATCGATAGGAGCGTTGGAGAGGGGACCCATGGCACCGGAGACGAGACCGATGAGGGTAGTCTGCCAGCTGGGGAGGTTCTGGCCGATGTACTCGGGCTGCCACTTGTAGAGGGAGTCCTTGAAGTAGCTGTAAGCGGTGAAGTTGACGGCCTGGTTGGAACCCTGTCGGAGGGCAGTGAGGGAGACACCACGGTAGAGGGCGCCGAAACCTTCCTCCTTGACGACGGTGTAGAGGGCGTGGGCGGCGTTGCGGTACTTGGGGACGTCGAGGGGGTCGGACATGGAGTGGCTCTGGGCCTGGAGACGGATCTTGATGACTTCCATGGGGGTGACGACGGCGACGGCTTCGGTGACACCAGCAGCAAGACCGGCTTTTTTGAGAAAGAAAATATTAGCCTTTCTTTGCTCGGCTCACACAGAAGGATGTGTTTTGACAGCAAACAAAAAACTTACCGAAGAAAGTGGCCTTTCCGCTGACCTTGCCGGTCTCCTTGTCGGCGAGAAGCTGCTTATAGGCCTCGAAACTGGTGAATCGGATGGCCATCTTAGGGACGATACCGGTCAAGACGGCGCCGAGACCCTTGTACAGGGCGAGGGGGGACTCCTTCTTCACGATGCCGATACCGGTGTTGATGAAGCCGCGCCTGGGCTCGCCGGGGGCACGCGCCCTCTTGGAAAGCTGCATTCGGACCTTGATGGTATCTGGATTGCTGTTTAGCGATCAATTGGCTCCTTTTGGAGGCTGTCCCGCACTTTCTTCAGGTGCGAGAAGAGGGCGGACTTACCGAGAGGATGGCACACGAGGGCCTCCATCATACCAGCACCACCACCGGCTGTTTAAGAACAAAACAACGTTAGCATGCTCCCAGGGCGCTTGAAGATGACTCTCCAGTTGAGAAATCGACTCAATCGCATACCAATGAGGTTGGTGGCAACCGTGGGCGGCGCCCTGCCGTTGTTACCCGCTTTAGAAGCCATTGCGAACGTTCAAGATGTGTGGATGAGAACAACAAAAAATGAGAATAAAGAACAGAATATATAAATAGAAATAAACACAACACAAATTCGGATCCCCTCGACTTTTTCTCTATCAAAACCCTTTCCTTCTCACTTGGGGGGCGGGGTGGGTAAATGTATGAACTCCGGAAGAGAGAGACGATCACAAGCTAAAAATCGATTTACACGGAATCCGGAGGAAAGGGTTTTTTTTTTGGACTTTTCTGTGGCCCGCGGTAAAAGGACGATGACGGAATAGGCGCGAAGCTGTAGATATCACCAAGAGAAGCTCGAAGACCCAGAAGTGTTCCCAAGGAAGAGGAAGGGGATCAGATAAGAAAAAATGTCAATTGAATCGGGGAGTCAAAGGAAAAGAAAAAGGGAGAGGAAGAAAAAGGAAGAGGGGAGGAAGGTTTAAGAAAAAGAGGTGGTAGGAGATGGCGGCAGTTATGAGATCACGACTAGCTTGCCGGCTTTCTGGACCAGGTTACTTCTTCACACTCCGCTCCGGATCGGAGAAGTTCGAATTTAAGAGGGAGCCACTTTCGCGCTTGGGAGCTACAGGGAATAAGGGTATAATAAGGAACAGACACAGAGAGAGAAGCGAAAAAATATATCCTCGGCGCATTTTCATCGCTCTAACTTCCAGGTATATTTCCTTTCCGACGCCGCCCAGTGGGTATGTTTGGAGGGGGCGCAATGGTCAATGGGGGGAGCAAGGTTCTGGGGGGGTGTGTGATTTTTCGGTCGCAACAGCTTGCGGGTACATTGTACACTGCCGAAGAGGACCTTGGATGGCTTTCCCTAATGGAGCATGGTGCTAGGCTCGAGTTGGATGATTTGGACTGAGAGGAAGCTCCACTGAGGTTTTGGGAAGCGAGGATCAATGATACCGTGTCGGCGTGTTGTGCGCTTCCGATCCTGCATACACCGAGCGGTGCCGCGGGGGCTGGCATGAAAATCAATGGCACAGTTTCCTCTCTGAAGTACGAAGTAAGGCTACGAAAGCGGAAGACGATTCGAAGGGAAGACACGAAGAAGGAAGAGAAAGCCGGACGGGGGAAGAGCCAAAGTTGCTCTCGAGAATGACGCATCTCGAAGTCTGCGACTAACGAACCCCACAAGATCTTGTTCCGTACACGCCCCCCGGAAGAACGGGGACCGAGATGGTACGGCGAGAGAGAGAGAGAGAGCGTGAAGAGAGCTGGTAGACTACCAAGTAGCGTAGACCCTGAGCTGGGACTGTCATGTGCCATTCGCTTCACCCGCGGCTACCTCCAAGAACAAGAGCTCTGGGTTCAGTCATGACTGTGACTGGATGTATATTGCGGTTGGGTTTTGCAAACCTAACATGAAGAGTGACCTTGCCTCATCGACGAATGAGAGAGCGTAGGCCCCGGATCGGATATAGCTCGAAGCATTGGCAACAAGCCGCAAGTCCAGTCCAAGCCTGCCCTCTCAAGGTGAGTCTTTGACGTAGTGGAGCATGAACGAAGCATGTGCCACAAGTCCCACAAGCCGGCCGCAAGGAACCGGATACTCACAGGACCATCCTTCGGAGAAACGGGGAAGGAAACGTGGGCTGTTCAGGCGTGTGTTTAGGGTCTAGATTCCTGGCGTGCACTACTTTTTTTTTCTTCGCCTCCACTGCCGGCGAGCTACCAAAATTGCTGGGTGTGTAAGTCGCGTGTACCTACATGAACGGGGTGGCAGGCAGGGAACCTTCGAGCCGGGGCTCTCTTCTCTCTCGATCAGAGTGTCATTCCCCTCTGTTTCCCCTTCCCCACATCGACCACTTACAACATATCATTGTACGGAGTGTGTCCCACAAGGGTCCATCCCCACGAAAGAAGCAGATCCATACTGGTTAGTGTAGACCTAGAGCGAGGTAATGTAGCAGAATACCTCGCTATTAAACAAGCCGAACGATCGTTTTCTCCAACTTTTCCCCCAACTGCTTCTCCGCTCGGAATCCGAACGCCTAGAGGTCTTGTGGAAAAAAGAGTCACACTCCCCTCATGAAGCCATTTGACATATCCAAGGGTATTGTACCCTATCCAGTAATCCCACTCTACATTTCCCTCTTCCACACACGCCCCCCCCTTGTGAAAGCTTGCTTGCATCTCTCTGCCAAAACTTCCTGCAAATTATCTTTCTCTCTCATCTTTCCCTCTCCTTTGCCGAAGACTATGAAATGCCCGTGATTATGACGTGGCTCGGCTATCGATAAAAGCCCAGCTAACGAATAACTGGGTACCTCGAGTATCCAAGTCTCGTGGTGGGAGAAAACCGCGACCCACGAGAGTTCATTCGCCGTTTTGGATCTACCCCTCGGCTTACCGACCACGAGCCGAGCTTGTGATTTTGCGGGTTGGGGGGAGGCGAAAAGATGAAGGCGTGAGTTTCTTAGATAATCAAGAGCTGCTGATTGGAAAACAAAAACAAAATGAAAGTCAGAAATCAACAATTGGCACCAGATCGGTACGTACTTTGTAAGTTCAGGATGCAGGTTGCAATCGTTGGAAGCGGAGTAGCCTGCGGGGCAATTTTGCCCTGACTTTTTTTTTGAGAGAGCTCGTTCCCGAGAAAATGTCTTGGAAAGAGCTCGGAGCTCCTTGAGCTGCACTCGGCGAGGTTCCGACGGATTATCGGCGGGGCGTTTGCCGGGGGTTTGCCGAGGCATTGGCAAAAGAGAGAAAGAAAACACGATGTGAGAACCCGCACCAATGACAGCCATCAATCTCAGGACCTCCAGCTGGTAATGATAACTTGCCAGCTGTAAAGCCGTATTGTTCACGTCCGTCTCCGTCCTGCCAAGGACGATGGCGACATTGATGGGCGCGGCTTAGGGTTCGGCGGATTGTCTGAGGTCTCATGTCTATGTCTCAGAAGTACATTGGCGTACGAAGTATTATTCACAAAGGCAACAAGCACAAATCCATCTCCAGTCTCATCATCTTCATGGTTTAAGCAGATATGGCATTATGCTCTCGGACTAGTTAATAAACCCGAAGCTTCAAATCATAAGAAATCATCGCCATCAATCCCAATAAGACTCCTCCATTATCCCAAGCCAAAGAAATAATACTGGTCGATAATCCGTTCTTAATAAGACGCCCGTTTTCCTTCCTAAATTGTTTTGTCTTTTTCGTCAAAAAACTCCTTCCTAGTTTTGTTTGCAAAAGTAACCGACCATCAATATGACGCTATCGAACAAGGGGGAATAGGAAAATCAAAGAGATAAAAAGGGGTATCCCAGACTCCGAATACCCTGAAATAGAAACTAGCCAGCCGTTGAAGGCGTCTAACACGGTCTGTAATAGCAAGAGAACTCCAAGCGCCGAAGAAAGGAAAAGACGCCGCGCTAGGAAAGAACATAGATAGTAATCGCGTGTAAAATGGGTTCAAACTAGGCCAGCAAGACCCGATCCGCCAAAAGATGAATGTCTCGAAGGCAGACATTCTAGGCCGGGGTGCCGTATTCCTCCAGGTTGTTGCCGTTTCCTTCAAAGATGTAGATCCGCACCTCACCGTCCTCACTCGCGCTCGCCATCCGGCTATCGCTCAGCCCCACACATGTGACCGGGCCAGCATGCCCAGTGAACGTCCTCTCACATTTTCCGGAGCGGGCGTCCCACACCTTGATGCTCGAGTCGTTGGCGCCAGAGACGAAACGCAGGGTATCTCCTGCGAGACCCCAGATTCCCTCGAGGTGGCCGAACATGGTCCTGATGCACCTGCCCGTGGCGATTTCCCAGAGGCGGATGTTGTTATCATGGCCGGCCGTGAGCATGTATCGCGGGGGAAGCGGTCGCTGAGAATCGTATTCGAAAAGAGGACCGAAAGCAGCACGATCTTCCTGGTGCGGAGTCGGATCACGGTGGGAGTGGTCATGGCCATGATAGCCATGGCGCTGGGACCCGGACGGTGTTCCTCCACGGCCGCTAGTGACGGAGACGTTGTCCATCGTGTCGGTATCCTCGTCCGGCTCGAAGTCATCGGGGAGGAGGACTAGTTGCTGCACCTGGCCGAGGTGGCCGGTGTATGTCCTAATGCACTGCTTCGAGTCCATATCCCACATCTTGATGGTGCAGTCGTCCGAGGCGGAGAACACTGTGCGGGATGGCAAGTCCATGCGTACTTCATTGACCCAGTCTTCATGGCCCCGGAAGCACCAAGTTTGACGCGTCTCGAAATTGAAGACCTTGACACTCCTATCTATGGAGCCCGACGCGAGATACTTGTCCTCAAAGTGGACCGAGATGACTCCTGACGTGTGGCCCTGGAGCGTATTGACGCACTCGCCCGTCTGCCAGTTCCAAATCTTGATGGTGTTATCGAAGCTGCCACTGATGAGTTTGTTGTCGTCAAACTGCAGCGTGCGTACGGCACCAGTGTGGCCGGTCAGCGTCCGGACTTCCTTGCCGGTTTCGATGTTCCAAATCTTGATGGTCGAGTCGTACGAGCCGGTCGCAAGAACGTTATCGTCGAATTGCAGACAGAGAATACCGTTAGTGTGCCCCTTAAATGTCTTGATCGCGCATCGCCCGTACTTCCAGTTCCATCCAATCTTGAAGCGGTCGCGGTATACGTCCTTGAAGGGGCGGAACTTGGGTTGCTTCTCAACAACCTCGACAGACTGTTGTCCGTCCGAGGAACTGTCGCGGCGCTGTCTCTTTGCGGGCCGGGCATCTTCGCTGTCGGCACCGTCGGCCTCTCGGGTCGCGCGGATGCTGTTGGCCAGCTGTCGTTGCCTCGTCCAGTCCCGCAGTCGCTTGCGCTCAAGCAGCGGCAAACCCCAACCGCATGCCGTGCACTTCCTATCAATATGTTGTTTGCACATCCGGTGCCATACCACATCGTCGTCAGCCAACGCACGCCAGCGTCGACTGACCTGTGCAGCCTTACATAGTGAGGCCGTGTCGAGGTAGCAGAGGATCTTGAAGGAAATTTCGGGCGGCAGCGCTGTTAGGAAATCGATCTTGAGTTGTTCGTGGACCTCACGTGCGACGGTGGAGAGTTGCGGGAAGCAACATTGTGTGATGATTCCTTGCAGCATCAGGTTTCGATGCTTAGCAGGCGATGCGGAAAAGAGAGACCAAAAGTTTGAAATGGCTTCTCGATCACTGGAGGGAAGTGTGTCGAGTTCCTATATACATCGGAGTTTGTTAACGTGGGGGTCACTCCACCCTGGTACATGTATTATGGCATACATAAAGGGCTAACAGAGAACGGCACCCGGAGAAAATCAACTCTTAACTTACCCTCTGAATCATCGCCATCTTTGTCTCGTCTGCCACTCTTCGACATTTCGCATCGGGCCGGTGTCTGTAGCAGTATTTCGTATTCGAAGGTTGTTTCTCGGCGAGCAGTTCCATCGATGATGTTTGCTGATCTTGTTGATGACTATGACTATGATGGTGATGGTGATGGTGATTATGCAGTTGCTGCCCCTCCTGCTGCTGCTGTGATTTTCCGAAGGGAGAGTATAGTCCGGGAATGTGGTCCCTTAAGAACGGGGTTACTGCTTTGCCAACCAGCTCTGGCGCAACGGTAGGCAGTCGTAAGGCAGACGAATGTTGGGATCTCCGACGGTCACAGTTGTCTCGTGAGGGTTGATCGATAATGGCGGCGGGCATATTGGACAAAGAGGGTGGATGTGAGGTGGAGGAAGAAGATGTTGTCCCAAACGTCTGGTTTTGATGGGAAACCATGATGACGAGGCTCTTCGGGAAAATGAGCCACGGGGCTTCCAGAAGAAAGCAGATAAAAGGGAAAGAAGAAAAGACAACGACACACACGCAAGGGGGAAAGGGGAACGAATTGGTAATCCAGCCCTATGGCGTCGTCGAATGCCAAAGAAAGGTTATTGTTCACGCCAGATTCTCGCAACCCGGAGGGGCTATGTTGCCATTCGCCGTGTGGCCAGGTCAATCATTTGAAAGACACTGGCGGAAAGAGACACACTTCTGATCCAGCGAACTTGATAACAATGGCGTGCTAGGAATTGGGAGGAAGGACAAAGAGAGAGGCCCCGGCGGGAAGGGGCAGTACCCGTCTCGTACCGTTTGTGTTAAATCTTACGGGGGCGGGCTGATCTGTCGTCGAGGTACACAGAGGGGTTGAGCAAAGCCGGGCAGCAAAGCACGCAATCCCCCGGAAGGGTGTATATTACTTCGACTTGTTAGGGGCGGGCGGATGCCACGGCGATCCGAGACGGTCGGTTGATCTCCAAAACGGCTGAGGCACAAGGGCAAAAAAGAAAAAAAGAAAAAAGACTTTCCCGGCCACCACTAGCTCGGAAGCGTTTGGCACTTTGGGAATTAAAAGGGGCCCAAGGATTGCACTAGAGGTCGCAACGGAGTTATGATATTGCCTCAATAGAAGTGCACGGAATGATCAAAGGCTGGGGTGGTGGTGCCTTGTTGTCGGGAATGGGCACCTCAGACGTAACGCTGTGTCGTCTCGAGTGGAGAGGAGTCATCGCGCAGCCAAGTAGCAATATCCTCAGCTTTTTGGGTGCTTTTGAACGAAAATGGCGTTATTTCCTTTTCGGTCACGAGCCTCACCGCGCCGCAAGTGGTATCAACTGCCAGGCTGATAAAAAGCTGGGGTATGCGGCTGTCAAGCGAACCAATGAGTGGAGAAGGCTTTGCTTGGCGTCCAAGAAACTTCACAAGTTTATGCTTTAAAGCCTTATGTAAACCTCGCTAGTGGCAAGACATCGGGCTTCGTATGGTCCCCGGGGAATTAAATTGCTCATTAGTGATGAAATCGGGGACGTCCATTCGGCGATAATGTCGAGTCTTGTTATCTTTAGCTTTGTCTTCTTATCTGGCCCACTACGCACCAGGCACAATCAACCTTTTAAACTACTTATAGATAGAGGCTATCTTCGATGGTCATAATACGAAGCAATCCCATAGATATGAAAAGCGACGAAAGCCACCAGCTCTTATTTTCGACAGATCATATTTGGCATCGCATAAACAGGGTGGCCAGCCCGAATGTGTGTGCCCAAGAGTCAAGACAACTAACATGCCAAACATTTGCAATTTCATATCAAATACCTGCTTAGCGACGGCCTCAACAGATTCCAAAGAATCAGATCCTCCGTTGAGGCAAAACACCATCGATCCGTTTTAAAACATACGGAAGATCACGAAATTTTTTCTCTCCGTTTCGAGCCTCTTCCCCGTCGCCGATTGGACTGCAAGGGCAAGCTCCTGGCTGCCCTGCCCGATTGCGCCATCATCCCTCGCAACCTACCAGGGGACCCCTCGAAGATATATCGGCTTACCTTCCCTCCAAGTCAGCTCAAGGGACAACTCAGCGGTGACACCAACATCATTTTCCGGGTTTCCGAGCACTTTCAGCCAGTGACATTTCCTGTGGACCAGTCGAAGATTGAGAAATCGGTCAAGAGCCCTTGACTCATGTTTCATGAACAACAGCCAGCCGTGTTCCTCTCCTTTTTTCCCGCTTGGTGCAGCAGTTATCTCGAGGAGGTGCGAGTTACTCTCGAATGAGAGCCTGGCATAGGAGAATACTCGCGTCATTCCAAAAAAGCAAGCCACCACCAGACTTATAGCAACCGCAGTATGCGAGTAGTACTTCGTGCAATTCTCACATATCATCGTAGCAAATAAGCCGCAGCAGTTATCTCATTCACTCCGACTTTTCGTAATTTGCCAGAGGCATTCAGACCCAACAAACAGAAGAAAAATTTTGCTTCTTGAGAGTTTGTCGCTATTGATTCGTCATCTGCTCCGGCGGTGTGTCGAGATGTGGCTCTACCGTGTACGAGGAGGTATGTTGCAATCATGCCTGTCGGCACTTCTGATTGCCAATCCGACGGATCCGTTCGTAGCCTGAGCTTAGACCTTGCGCTTTATCTTGGATCGGTGATGCAAGCAAGGGAGGCTATGAAGAATGTTTGACATTGATCACCAACCCAATGCGTGGATATACCGAAAATAATTCCAATACATTAAAAAACTGCTTGTAAGTGGCACCTACTGCATACGGAAACATGATTGATTCCAGAAGCTTGGATGGTGGGCAAACGGACATTCTATTCATGTAGGGAGGGGAGGTATACTTCCGAGAGACACGAAGAATACAAACCTTCAATCTCCTCTTGTCCCGTTCGTAAATAGATCACAACCAGGTATAGATTTTCCTTGTGAAAATATGCACTCATGGCATGTGCTATGTAGTACGACGTACAGGACAAACAAAGCCCCTTTGGTCTCGGCCCGTCGCATTTAGCGCCTCATGTCATCATCGACGACCATCACGACTTGTTTGAGACATGTTGGGCGCCTCATGCCAGCAATGCAATGTGTCTCAGTTCACTACGCGAGTGTGTTAGCCAGCCACAGAACAACGGCGCAAGGAGGCGGTTTAGGAATGCAGAACGCGAAAGCTTTTTTCTTTTTGATTTCTTCGGCCGGGCACACATACTTCTGAACTTGTTTGCCCACTTTCATTGGTAGGTATTCTACCTCCTTCCCTTCATCTCTCCCAATCTGAAGCTGTTGGGCACGGATCTCCTTGGCCTTTTCAGAAAGTTGCGGAATGGGCACCAAATCAAAATCAGACGACAGGTGCCAGAAGAAGGTCGAGGAGATGCGGACCAGAGGTCGTGCGGGGTAGTCGACCTTGCGCTGGGCGATAACGTCCAGAGTCTTCTCGTTCACGACAACTTCATGATATCCAGCCTTAACGAGCCCTCCCGTGATGTGCTCAAGCTGCTTTCCAGCCTGGACTAAAAGATAGTTTCCTGGGGGAATTTTTACGGCAATGCGCTTTCCGGTGTTGCGGGCCCATATGTGGAGACCGGGGTATCGCGAGCGACCATGGATGGTCAGGAAGTTCAGGTCGGTGTGGAACCCTGCAAGTATCGTGTCCTTCTCGCCGTACTTTTCCAAGTCGGAGGCGGTTGGGGCTAGCAGGTGAGGCCTAGACTCAGGAGGAAGGACATGGGGTATGTCGTCAGCAAGTGAATTAAAGCAAGCCACAAAACTGATCGATCCTTCGTAAAAAGGTCAGGGATCGGAGTTCACTAACCCGTACTTTCCCGCTGCGCTAAATGTTTCCGCCGGGAGGCCGAGCCCGACGGCTGCCATCTCTGCAAGACCGGTAACCCTAATCGCCCGACCGAGGAGATGGTTAGCTTACGCACATGCATTGTCGTCTACGTTTCGCGGGTAGCTGAGGGATTATGCACAGCATCTTCAAGAAATTTGGAAAGAACGAAGGGGGCTACACTAACGCGCTCTTCATTGACGTTCCCCATTTGTTCATTACAGGCTCCCATCGATTCTTGATGGTCTGGGCTTGTGGTACGACATTCTCGGCATTTAAGCCGGGGAACTCTGTCTCGTAGGGCGGCTTCTCGGTCATCCGCCAGAAGAAGCGGCACTTGGGATCGGGCTGGTGAGCAGATATGTCCAGGGGTCGCTCCGACTCGGCTAGCCTCTGGATGACGTCGAGGCACGGTTCGTCAACGGCGCACTTGGGTTTCTCGGTATTCTCGAGCGTGACGCCCACTTGGAACCCCAGCTCAGGACGCTCATCTTCCTTTAGCCGGTCCTGAGGCTGGGCGAAGTAGTCTTCGAGTAGGTCGAGGAACGTCGTGTTGTCATCTTCGGAGACACGCGAATCGTGGAGGACTAGAGCGCCATAGGTTATGAGGGCCTGGGCGGCTTTTTTGCACTCTTCCTGGACGAGAGGCGAGTCGAGAGCCTGGTCGAGGTAGACGTCGAGGTCGATGATGGGAAGTTCCATGGGGAGGTCGTGTGGGGCAGACATGGTGATAATGTTGAGCACGGTCAAAATAGTGATGGCGGGGTTGAGGTGGCACGGTGGGGTTAGTTTGTTAGTGTCAGCACCGAAGTCGAATCAAAGATCGTGTAAATAAACACCATGAGTACTAAAATCCCGGGCAAAGGGTTCCTGGAAATTCAGCGGTTTATTTAGTTGGGCATTGGGGTCTCTTGGATATTGATGTTCACAGAAATGTTGGAGAGAGAGGGATCAATCAATGGATCTTGATCCCGAGATACGATCTTGGCTGACCAACGCGTTCTCGTGATGCCCCAAGATACCAAGTACGAAGGTACACCTACAACAGTTGCCTTTATCAAGGTCAACACTACCACAAAGGCACCACGCAGCCAGCGACTGTCGCATCTCGAAGCATGTGGTCTCCGGCTCCTATCGGCTGGACACTGCCTGGTTGCCTGCATGAACGTTAGCATTAGTGCTCTACGAGAATTCACCGACTGGAGCCGACGAAGCTGCATTGTTATTGGCGGTGACCTGATTGACGCCTGCCAGATTGAGACGAGGCGACATCATGGAAGTCGGATGTCCGCCGAATCAGAAGTGATCCCCTTGCAGAGTGTCAACGATTGCAACACCCCTCATACATCAATATCGATCCAGTTCCTGGACAATCCTTCGTAGTTCAGTTTAGATGCTCAGGGTCGGCCATCTCCGACGTGGACGCCGCCGAAATACTACACCAATGTATATCAACCTATACAGACAACTTGGCCTGTGATTCCAAGACAGGCCACCAGTTGTGTTCAGGTCAAGCATCCTCAGCTCTTCTGGAAAGCTTCTTGGCCCGATACGACATACTTCCGATCATAAGGTCCTTATTTCAGTTGCTTGTCGAAGCCCCGAGCCGGTCGATGTTTGGACCGGGAAACGTCTGCCTCGCACACACCACGCGGGTTTGACCTGAACGGGATCCGGCCGCCTTGCACCGCGTTATGGTCTGAACGATTCGGAAAACGCACCGATACCTGATCCTTAGAATCGTTCATTCCCGTATCTCGGTGTGTTCGGCTCGGGTTGACAAACGGGGACTTATTGAGCTCTGGAACTTTTGCAAAGATACTCTTGTGTCCCTCAACCGAACGGAACTTTATATTGCGAGGTAGTAATTACAGCTCAGCTCTTATCTGCCTTCCATGTATGGCAGTTAGAGGCAAGATCTGACAAGGGAGTTGGGGCTAACTCTTGAACTTCTGTAAATCCAGAATTTAGATGGTCTAAAGCAAGTTTCTGGGCGTTTTGTATATACCTCGGCTCATAATGTTTTGTCTTTCAAACTCCCTACGCAGATCTCCAATGCAGATCTCCAATCCTAGAGTAGATTTGATGTGAGGCCTGCCTCTATCTACTTCGTGCAAGTGTCAATATAAGTGTCCCAGGTTAAAGCACACATTGATAGTATGTTTCTATTTTCGGCTCGTAACTATCTCCGGGTCTGAATTTATAGCTTAAATAATTATTGTTCTTCACTAAATTGGTATAACCTCTGGTCAACCCTAATACTCCTCCATGTCTCGTCTCTCTCCCTAGCAGATCTCGACATCTATCTTCCTACCAAAAGATAGAAAATCGCAGCATGATTTTGTATAGTGTTTCTGCCCCCCATGCCCAGCTCTAGATGTCTCAATGACGAGCCTAACCTGCATCATCCCGATACCCAAGGATCGCATCACCATACCCGCTAGCTCGCTCGCTTCAGCACCATAACCGGAATTTTATCTCCCGTGCCCAAGAGCTCGCTTGAGAGGAGCGGCTGGATCTTGCGTCGTATGACTATTACACGTAAGCAGTTGACGATCTCCTTCTAGCATTTGTACCTACCTGCCCCTCCAGCTGCCGTACGGCCCGGTATAGAGAGGCCACCCTCCTCGTGAGCACTGGGATGCCGTTTTTGAATAACCGGGAAACCGAGGAGAGCTCCTAGAGGTTAAGAAGTGGAGCCCGTTCGGACCGCAATCATCCGGACTGAGCTATTTTCTTCGTGAGACGATCTCACTGAGCTGGCTAAGCAGTGAGCTGTCACCAGCGTTGGTCGATAGTGTCTTGTCGAGAACGTCTCCGGAGTGATGAGTTCCACCCGCGCTTGACTACTAGACTTCTTTTATTTTACTTTCAATTACTAACATCAAGAGTGCCGCTCCCGTTCGTTCATCAGTGACGAGATTGTAGCTGGGGCCGAATATCACGAGAGGCATGGAGATTCACCACCTCCCTAAGCCAAATCACAGCTTCCCGAGCGCGAAAACGAGGCGAATAAATTCCCAAGGTGGTGAAAGAGCATCACTATCTGGATAAGAATTCATCCAACCGAGCTTCTAAAAACAGAACTGAGACGACTCATTCACTGTTTAAACCGCATTGCGTGTAATCCTACGCGAAGGCCCACCATTTCCGTTGGTTTATAGCACCTGGTCATGTTTATAAGTGGACAATAGAATGCCTAATCTCCAACCTGGGTATCTGATCGGCCCAGAGTCTTCGCCGATATATTGCCCTGGCAGGTAAACCAATCTGTTTTCGCGCGACCACCGGGCAGACAGTTGTTATTCAACAACTAAAAACTGGTCCATTCGCCCCCTACAGCACCGGGTAAAACTCACGATGACGAACAAGGAAAGGCGGATATGCTCTCATGGCTCGTTAAAAGGCCGGGTAGCTATTTTGGCTGTTTACAAACATCCTGCCGTGTTCCCGTTTATAACCACGTACAGGGATTAGGCTTTCCAGGCAACGGGGACTTTTCAATTTAGAATGACCCGAACCGTCAGTATTTGGACTCTCCCTTTCCCTATTCTCCGCTGTATGTATCTATAGGACTTCGTCAGCATCTCCCGTCCGGCGAAGTGGGGGACGTGTAAGTTGTCTTTTATGATCATGCAAGCACAAGGGAAAACAACGCGACCTGGTTAACACGAGCCACGAACTACAGTAGTCTGCCGGATATGGGCCACAAGCTATAAAATCATCAAGTTGAACTATTAACTAATTCTGAAGCCGGGATCCTGCACTACGCCTAAGAGATATCGGGCCTGCTGTTGTCTACAGAGCCTCTCCGGAGACAGGATCATGACTTATGAGTTTCCGGTGGCAGGATCAGAGCATCCATCATGGCCATGCGTAGCTTTCTTTTTCTTCCTGGATAAAGTGCCAGGAACACTCGACCGTTGTACATTTCCTGGCTGTCGGTACTTGGCCGTCTCCGGAATGTGGCCCGCTCTTATAGCGGACAACAGAGATACATCGCCTGCCAAGGTCGAACCGAGACCATCCTTGGTCCGGCCGCGGGAATTGTCCGACGCCCACCTCGCCTCTTTTCCTTCTTTTCGTAGCTCCTTCTCTGTGAGCCGGCACCATCGTTCCTCGTTACGAAATGCGAGGCTATATCTTGAATGGGGGTCAGTTGACCGAAGCCTGCATGGGAGTTTGGCAAGGATCGGATGCTTCGCTTCCATCCTATAAAGGGGTAGCGAGTCGCCGGCCTTGTGCCTTGCGGGCTTAGTTCGCATGTCTTGCTCCTCCCTTTCCAGTTCCCCTTAACATTTGCGATATATACTCCTCTACCAAGTTCATTCGTTAAGTTATCTTAATATTGATCTTTACACCATGGTTACAACAAACCTTCTTTCGACACTAGCCCTTGGGCTTCCTGGTCTTGTTTTGGGATTGAGGGGACGGACTTTTACAAGCTGGGACTGGCAAGTCAACCCTCGAGAGGAAGCGGTCTGCCCATCCATCTGGAGACTAATATTCGACGGCACCTAGCTGTAAACCTGCGTGCGCAGATAGCAAGTACATCGACCGATCAAACGCCAAGTAAGAACCAACACCCCTCGCCTCCTCTCATCTCCCACTAAAACATAGACCTTCCCGTCCAGCGGCCTCGTCACCTCCTGCAACGTAAACAACCAACCTCTCAGCAACTCGCGAAACGTCGCCTCGGGCTGCGACAACGGCGGTGCCTACATGTGCGACACTTACCTCCCGATCCCCATCGCCGACGACTTCACTTATGGCTTCGCAGTCGCCCCCGGGTACAACTGCTGTAAGTGCTACGAGCTCTTTTGGCTCAACGGCTATGCGGCGGGCAAGCGGATGGTCGTGCAGGTTGTCAACTGGATGCCCGATGAGGAGGAGGGTACGGATGCGGGGAAGCCTGGGGACTTTGCTATTTTGACGCCGGGTGGTGGGAGTGGGCCTCATTCGCGGGGGTGTACGAGGCAGTACGGATCTACGTGGTGAGTTCTTCCTCTTTCTTTTAGATCTTGCATCGTGTCCCGTTATTTTGAAGAAGTTGGAAGTAACTTACGCCGGAGGGTTTACAGGGGCGACGACTACGGCGGTGTTTCAAGCATGACAGACTGCGAGCAGCTTCCCGAGAACCTCCAGGGAGGGTGCTACTGGCGCTGGAACTGGGCCGGAGGCGAAATCACGGGGTGGGACGTCGAATACAAGGAAGTGGAGTGCCCGGCTCGCCTTACGGACATATCAGGATGCACTCCGGCCCCTTTTCAAGCTTAGGCGGGGGCAAGATGGGATGAAGAAGGAGTAGGGAAGAGGATGGGGAAAGGCGAGAATCAGACACCATTCCTGGATCTGGAAACGCTAACAGGTGGATGGTACGGAAGAAGGAATGGGAGGGGTGGTAATGATGTGTATGAGCGAACAGCTTAGCCCTTCACAATAGCCAATGTTGGCACTACTGTTAGTTTCGTCCGGCGAGGGATATCCTACATAATAGTAATAACAGCTATAACTCGACCATCTTGCAAGTGACATGACCCAACCCCTTGAAAATAGAGAACGCCGAGCATCCCAAATGACCAATATATTGCCTTCCACACTCTCCTACTATAAGCTGCCCGAAAATTTCATTGGGCAGTCCGTGCTATAAACTGTTCAACCTCTGATTACCTTGTTGAGTTTAATCGTCAAATGGGATTGACCATCACGATAGGACAAGAACCCTTCCCAGCTCAGAGTTTCCTTCCCGCACCCTCATCCGCCCAATCGAGGCGCACTTGGCCCTAAGTGTGGTTGGGCGCACGAATTGAGACTAGGAAAATAATGTCTCGACCCGGTTTGTTTTGTGTTTGGGGGGGGGGGGGGGGGGGGGGGGTGCCTTTCTTCGGGAACTCGATGGTGTCACAAGGCCTGCAGTTCTCGGCGAGGCTTGCTGCGCCTCACCCTCCCTTCCTCACCAAGGGCTAAGAGACAGATTTTCTCGGTAAGCGAGGGGATAGGCAGCAGTAGCAAGACGCGACGATCAGACCGGTGCAAGTGGTGTGAAGCTGCAACCCGCTCAGGCCGGAATATGCAGACGGCAGTGTGGGCACGATGCAGGGGAGGACCCATGAGTTTCTTGACCGCAAGGATGAGATGACGGAACCATGCGCCGCCCCCTAAGCGATTCACGGATTTCATCCGTGAATCGCCATTGGGTCTCTCCATGGCTCTCCAAATCATCGCTCTTAGCACTCTTAGTGCTTTTGTCCCGGTAACAAGAAGGGTTCCAAAGTATCTGAACGAAGAAAGAAGAGAGGACAACGCTCGAATCAGAATAATAATATCCATTCAAAATACAGAAACTCGTGCCATCGCTTCCAAGATGCCGCAACCGAATCATACAGAAATGTCCGTCATCCTTTTCCTTAGCAATAACTGCTTTTCAAATGACAAAAGGATGGACTCCGAGTCAGACAAGTATAATATCCCCAGCCCTCTCATACTCCAAACTTGATCCGTATTCCAAAGAAGAAAAAAAAAAAAATCATGTCAAGGACGGTAAGCAATCTTAGCAATCTACGGAGTCTTCGCAGTCTTGTAGAGGCAATAAACTCCCATCCAACCATAAGCATCAAGAAACCAGCCAAAACAGAAAGAGAAAATGTAAACCCGCGAACTTACAGAGCCCACGTTCCGTTAACCGTGAAGCTTCAAGTATTCTTCCACCTAGTAGAGCCCTCATCTACCACCTCCCCCAGTAAGCCTCACCTTCGCTCCCTCAACAACACTCCTCGAAAGAGCCGGCGTGCTCCTCTGAGCCTCCATCCCCTCAACCATGGCAGGTGTGACCTCCCACCGCTTCATGGCCTTATTCATACCGGGCCACAAATCCGTCGGTAGGAACTCGCCCACGTCTTGCATAAAGTTGTCTCGGTGCTGAAGATCTTCCTGCACGAGCCTGTCGACGTTTTCCCTGGCTTTCTTCCATATCATCTGGATGCGGTCCTCGACGGTGCGTCTTCTATCGACTTCGAGAATCAGCCGCTCGTAGGCATTCGCGTAACCTTCGTAAAACTCCCTAAGCTGCTCCATCTCCTCGAGCTTCGAAAAGATGGCCTCCTTCTCGTCGTCCCATCGGGCCAGGAATTCCGCCTCAGCCGCGACGTAGATGACCAACTTGCTCCCGATATCCTCGAGCACGCGGAACGCCTCATGCGTTCCCGTGTAAGCCCGACGAACATGTTCAGCCTCGCGCTGGAGCGCGTCGAACTCGCTTTCCATAGCCGCGAGCCGATCGTTGATCTCGCGCACGACGCCCTCGACTTCGGAGGCGTCCTCGACGACGATTTTAATCATGTCCGCGCGGTCCTGCGACGTGATGGGCTCCAAGTCGGAAACATGCGATTCCTGCTCGGCGATGACTCCGGAGATTGAGACGTTGGGCCCGTCTTGTTGCTGTTGGGTTGCCTCGGCTGCCCTTCTACGGGCTAGCGCGGCGCCGCCCTCGGTTGTGCGGACGGCCGTTACACAGAGATCGAAGTGCTTTGTGAGCGAGGATAAGAGGTCCGCCATGTTCTGCGAGTGGTCGGTGAGGGAGAAGAGAAGTGTGGATATGGGTTGACGCGAGCCTGATGGGGAGGGGGTATTTGTTGAGGTTGCAATGACGGCTTTCTTGAGGTTTCGGATTTCGGTTTCGAAGCGGAGGATGTCGCCGTCAAAGGATGTTTGTATACTCTTTGGAGCAAACTAGGTCAGTCGGCGTCCCTTGTAGGGAAAAAAAAAAAAAAAAAAAGGTGGGAGGAATTGAATTGGTTGGACACACCTGCAGCTCTTTCACACTTCCTTTCAAAGCATCCACTACCGCCAACACACTTTTCTCGTCCACAAAATCCATCAAATTCTTCTCCCCTTCGTCTCCTTCCCCCTCCCTAAACTCCCTCGGCACACCCCTCTCCCTCAACAATGTCGTCGTGGTCCTCATCTTACCATCCGCCACATCCATCATCCGTATTAGTTGCTTGAACTCCTTCTTGCCGGCGTCGTACGTCCTATTCAAGCTGCGCTTCACGCGAGCTAACACCGATAATTGCCTCGCCATGCCACGTCGCAGATACTCCGTCTCGGCGGAGAGGACGACGGATTCCTCGTAGGCGAGGAGGGCGGCGGTGCATATCTCATTGGCGCGTACGACGGCCGTCATGGTAGAGAGGGAGCGTTTCGCGGCGAGGAGGTGCTCGACGAGGGTCTCGATGGGGATGTTGGTTACGTCATGGTCTTCGGGGTCGGGTTCGGTGTGGTGAATCGGTGCTTGATGGAAGTGGTGGAGAGAGGACGCGTTGCTCCGGCTGGAGCGGTGGGATGATGAGGAAGCCATGGCTGAAGAGCGTGAGCGTTCTTTTTTCAAGAAGAGGCAATTCAAAGGCAGCTATGAGCTGCTGGACAAGCGCGCCACAGGCGTATAATGATTGATTGCGAAGGAAATATGATTACGGGGGAAAGATAGTCTTTGATTCATGCCAGCGCAATGCAAGGCTATAGGCAGCCGCTGATCTGATAAAAGCGTCTAAGTGTGCCAAATGCCGAGGATAACGGGAAAGATATAGCGGAATAAATCAATGGGGAGTTTTGGCGTACTCTAGACTAGCACCCATGTGAAGCTTGAGATGGTGCAATCCCAGCATTTGGCACCTGTCTCGTGCATAGGCAGGGCGATAAAGAAGATAAAAACGGTTGTCCTGTTAAGGTTGAAGCTTGGATGATGCTTATCGATAACGGAAAAGTGGAAGATGTCTTGGGGAGTTGGAAATGACAGGGAGCTCCTTCCAGGCCACAGCGGTGCAGGGTCAAATGGGGTGTCTGAGAAGTGGAAAAGTGGGGCGGAAACCGGGATTTGCGGGACGATTCTAGCCACTAATTGCATCAGTCACAAGACCAAGACACGGACCTTGCACCACTTGAAAGAAAACTAAACTTTACACCGCTCGAGTCACGACTACGAATGAATTCCACGTTCTTGAGCAGCTGGGAGCAGTACAGATACACCCGGCACATCCATCGCACTGATGTCACCATTCAAAGGCTCGATTTTGCAACACCAACTCGTCCTGTACCTCAGTACCTCACTCACAGTACCTCACTTAGTACTCGAGCCTTCGAGATGAGCACCACGAACAAGTCACAGATTCAGGGTGTCTCAGAATTAGTGTAGGGGACGTCAAGGTCTATTATTATTACATACAGCCGTGGAATGACGCTAGCCAGTTAACCAACTAACCAATCTGTGGTTTACTCAGGGTCCGGGTAGGCCTCCTTGGAAGCTGCGGGAGGTGCCTCTGCACTACCTTCCGTTGACCTTCCCAACTCCTCGAGCTGTCTCTTGCCCTCTTCGGTGGTGGTGTCGATAATCTGCTCCTCCAAGCTCAGACAGCCCGCCTGTTTGGGTGGGGGATGGAGTTAGTAATTCCTCGTTTGGATTCATGTCATTCTTATGCATCGCGAGGAGAATGAATGAGGGACTCACCTCGCCTAAAAGACCCACAACTTCCTCTGCCTCATCAATCTTCATCTCTCCAAGGACTTTGTTCACTTCATCCAAACTACCCGACTCGAGCGCCTTCTTGAGCTCCGGCTTGAACCCCTCAAACACAGCCCTCGCCTTCCTCACCTCCTCATCCTCGCTATTCGCATCGGGTATCGTAATGTTAATCGTGGTACCGGGCTCCACAGCATGCAGCTGAATCTGCTCCACGCCGCCGGTAGCCGCCTCGTTCGCCCGCTCGGCAGCAATCTCGCGCGTGCGGGTGCGGATCTTCGCATACGTATCCTGCACGTCCTTGAAGAACATGTCGTGGGCGTTGGTCTTTTGGCTGATGCGCTTGAAGAAGAGGGGCACGCCATCCTTGCCTAGGGCGCGACAGTACTGTAATAGCAACGCTTGGTGCACGCATTGGCGAGCATATTGCTCGTGTCCCTCTAGGCTGGCGTCGAATGCTTCGACGAGGAGGCCGTCGGATTCCTTTTCGGCGAGGATTGCAGGGTGAGCGGTGATGAAGTCGAAGCTTCGACGGTAGTCGTTGATGGGGATTCGGCTAAATTCTTTGGCGTCGGCGGACGCTTCCACGGGTTCGTCGTCATCTTCGTCATTGTTCGCCTTGCTCGTGTTTGCGGATTCGGACTGTGCTGCAAGCATCTTTTCGTAGTTCGGGTTCAGTAGCTCCGGCTGCGACTGCTTGGCAGTGGACTTCGAATCTGAGGACGTCGACTTAGACTTGTTCACGTAGGAGCTATCAAAGCCCGTATGATAGCTTTCGCTCGTAATCTTCTTCTTATCCTTCTCCTCGAGCTCGTCTAACTTCTTCTGCAGCTCCTCTTGCAGGCCCTCCACGCGCTTCAAATGAACACCAACCTCCTCCACCATGGCGTCAAACCTCTTCTCAGGCGTAACTTTCTTCTCCTCCAACGCCTTATTCACCTGATCCAACACGGACGCCATCATCTTCGAATACGTAGGCAGCGGTTCGCTATCGGGATGTACCCCCTCAGGCTTCGGGGGCGGCTTGTCATCGTCAGGGTTTTTCGGTGCCGTCTCCATGACGGCCTTGAAGGCGATCTGGGCAGCATGCTGAACCGGTGACGTCGAGGATGAGGCTGGAGCGTCGGAGGCGTGGGCCTTAAGGGAGGTTAGGAGGTCGGAGATGCGCTTGAGAAGGCCGTCGTTGATGATACGTTCGTACTTTAGAGTGGCGATGTGGTGCTTGCGCTGCTCGCGTTCCATGTGGATCTGGTTCTGCTTGGCGCGGATGAAGGACCGCTTGTCCACATTGGGATGGACTTCGATATCAGAGTCATCGCTGAGCTCTAAAGCATCCTAGAAAGCAAACAACCTAAGGTCAGCAGGCTTTTACCCCTGCATTTTGGCGCTCGTTTACTGCAGATCTTGTCGATGATCCAAATGGTGGGGTGAGGAGCTCTGGATGGTGGGGTAACAGAGACAGGGCAAAAAAAAATATCAACTCACCCATTTACTGTAATCAACAGGCATGGTCTCTTCGTGAATGGAATATCGAGTTCTGATGATGATTGCAGGTTCAACGAGGCTGGCAGGATATACAAGAAAGTCTGTAATAGATAATGAAATTGATGTTGACTATTTTCAACGTTGATATTTGGAGAAGGCTCTGGGGAACGGGGCAGAGAATGTTCTGGATAGGACTAGAGCTCCTGTAACAATAGCGGGGTCGAAAGCCCGCCTCGCAAAAACTGGACTGGACAAAGGACAATGGAGCTCCCTCAGCAACGAGACAGAGCCCAGGCATCGAGGCAGCGCAGCTTTCCATTCCACCCAGCCCCCAGTTGCCGCCTCCGACCTGACCCAGCTCGTCAGGTCATATTATTATGTAAAGGGGCAGTTTACAGACAATACCAAAACAATTCTTCTTGTTTCTTGTCTTCTTTGCAATTTTTGATAAGTGCAGTCACCAATGATGTCATAACTTGTTGCGGGTATGGCAAAGGATAAGAGGAGGAAGAGCACTTCAGGTCAACAGCCGCCATAGCAAGAGAAATGCCTATCGTTAAAACCAGAACATTCCTTGGTATCAGCAGTCATCGCCGGATTTCTCCGTGGAGCAGAACATAAGAGTAGAAAAGATGTTTTATTTGCTATTGTTACAAGTACCAAGTATCAAGACACCCAAAGTCTAGCCATGATGCGGAGCAGCACCCGCCTTTTGGTTATGCCCCATCACGCCCCTGCCAGTTTTGTACCTGAGCCGAGATAGAAACAGAGAGAAAAAGAAAAGAGGGGAAAAGAAACATAAGTATGGGAAACATAAACATAACAGTGGCATGAACAAAGCTCGTAAGATGACCTGCGACTAGAGAGGCGAGATGCAGCTGACAAGGACAGACAGCCAGCCTTTCCCCTCGCCATTCCATGTCGAACATCCAGGAGCAACCGCCTCCCTTCATCACTGCATAGTCTTGAGGAAACCATCTAGGTCAAAGCTTTCCTCATACTGCTGGTTGTCCCAGAGCTCTCCGAGCCCTTCCAGCCAACCCTTCTTGCCCGTTACCCGCACTTCTCCCGTCTCAACATCTATGACGTCCTCCTCACGGCCCTCAATGCTCGCTGCACCTTGCTGCTTATCAGGCGCAATTAACCCTTCGTCTCCAATATTGAAGAGATCCAAGATCTGGTCCGTGTCCATCGTCGAGAGACCCGCATTTTGCTGGTTGACGACCGTCGACGCCACGTCAATCTTGAACCGTTGGAGGTTGAGAATCTTCTCCTCCAGAGTGCCGCGAGTGATGAGACGGTAAACGTTGACCACCTTCTTCTGCCCGATACGGTGGGCTCGGTCCATGGCCTGGAGATCTTTTTGCGGGTTCCAGTCGTGCTCGACAAAGATGACCGTGTCAGCACCAGTCAGGTTAAGTCCGAGACCTCCCACGCTTGTCGTAAGCAGGAGGACATCGTATGAAGGATCGCTATTGAATTTATTGACAATATCCTGTCGTTTGTTGGCCTCGACTGAACCATCCATTCGGAGGAAGGACACCGACGGAAGCAGCTTCTTGAGGACTGTGTTCTGGACCATATCCAACATCTCCTTCATTTGACAGAAAATAAGGGCACGGTGAGGCTTGATGGGCTGGTAGAGTGGATCATTGTTGTCCCCCTCGACACCGATACCGCAATCGACGAGAAGATCCTTGAGTGCCGTGAGCTTCGGCGCGTGAACCGGGTCTTCAAGGCTTGTGCCTTGCTTTGCCAAGATTCGTTGCGTCTCGGCATAGTGTGCGTGTTCGGGTCGCATGACTAGAGCGGGCGAGTTGCACAGCTTCCGCATGTATTGGAGGGCTTGGAAGATGTGCTGCTTGGCTTCCTTGTCGTCTCTGCCCGCCTCCGCCTGCAATTTCCTGCCTTGCTTCTTGGTGAAATCCTCGAAGAGTTTCTTCTGTAGGTCGCTCAGATCGCAGTAGTAGTTTTGCAGAATCTTGGGCGGGAGATCGTTGAGTACCTCCTCCTTAAGCCGGCGGAGTAGGAACGGGAGAACCTGCTTATGCAGTGCCTCGATGGCCAGTGCACCAGCTTCCTGCTCCTTAGATGACGCCTTGCTGAAACGACTATTGGCGATGGGCTTGGCAAATCGATCCTGGAACACCTTTTCCGATCCGAGGAACCCCGGCATCAAAAAGTCGAACAGCGACCAGAGCTCTACCACGTTGTTTTGGATGGGTGTACCGGTAAGGATAAGTCTATGATTGCTGGCAAGCTTCTTGACAGCTATCGATGTTTTCGCTTTCGAGTTCTTGATCAAATGTCCCTCATCAAGCACGATATAGTTCCAATTGTACTTGTCTAGGATCTCCACATCGTTTCGGCAGACATCATAAGAAGTAATAACAATGTCAGGCTGGTCGAGCTTGTCTTTGAGAAGCCGTCGTTCTGAGGGAGGTCCCACGTAGGCCGAAACGGTAAGGAAGGGAGCATAGGCTTTAATTTCTTGCTGCCAGTGTCCTGACAACGTCGGAGGGCAGACAATGAGAGAGGGAAGCCGTCGAACGTCGGGGGCTCCCGTCTTTGCAAATTCCTCGGCGCGCTGATGATGGTCGCTGGCGACGATGCAAAGTGTCTGAAGCGTCTTGCCCAGACCCATATCATCGCAAAGAATACCATGCAGATGATACTTGTTGAGGAAATGCAGCCAGTTGACACCTTCTTGCTGATACGAACGAAGCTCAGCTTTGATTGCGACGGGAATCTTGAAGGGCTCGATCTTCTTCGGGTCCAAGAGTTGGCCAATGAACGTGCGCTCACGTTCTCTGCCCTTGAGAAGCTCCTGCGAAAGGCCGGGGGGGTCGGGGATGCCTGCTTCAAGCGGTACAAGCTTGACCAACGTGGCGAACGACGTTGTGGCGATGAGGCGGATATCGTTATCCGAATCGCTCATGCGACCTAGAACGGGGACGATGAGGAAAATGACGTAGGGAAGAATTGCATCGCCCATAACCGCGATTAGGTGGTATATCACCTCAATAGCGCCTTGCCGGTAGTGCAGGTCGAGTGGATTGTTGATAGATGGTAGAACATTTTCGACTAGGACGGTCATGCACTCGACAGTGAGGACACTACAAAGCGTTGCCATACACTTCGCCGCCATATATCTGAAAACCGAGAGTTCCGAGTGAAGCGCCTTGGTCACGTACGGGACCAGTTGCATCAAGAAGGGATGGATGGCTGGATCGAGTGTGGGCGCCATCGTTCGAATAATTGATAGCGAGTCGATGACGTCCTGGCCAAAGATACTCTCCGGATCATGCACCTCCGCTGGAAGGGTAGGGCTGGAAAAGCCCTTGACAAGCGAGTTTTCCATAAAGCCCTTGAGACTAGGGACATGCGTCAAAAGATCCGGCCCATATGAACGGGCCAAAACTTCTAGGGCCTCCTTGGCACCCCGACGCGTGATGCGAGCCGCTTTGGCTTCTCGTGCAAACTTGGCCGCATCGGCATGGTCGACTCGGTCCTCTTCCTTCTGCATTGAAAGAATGACGTTCTTCTTGGTAGCGTGGGGAGAGAACTCGGGTGTCTCAGCGACTTCGACACAAGAGAATTTGACCAGGTTGGAGAGGACCTTCTCGGCTGGGCCACGGCGCCCCTTCTCGGTGAAAATTCGAACAAGACCAGCGATAGTCGTGGACGAGCGGTTTTGAAGCTCCTGGTTTTCCTCCGTCTTGACACTATCCATAATCGCTTTGATCAAAGTGCTAAGCTTCTTCGGGAATACCTGCATGGCAACCAAAGCGGCGGCGGCGGCGGCCTTGATCCTCACGTCCCGCGTGCCCTTGGCGAGCTTTGCTTCCTCAATAGTTTGCAGTGTCAACTCTCGGGTTTCTTCGAGTTGCTTGCCCGCAATCAGCTTCTGGCCCGGCGGCACGGCCTTCTTTAATCGCTCAAAATCGTCACTGACGCACTTCTCCGCAGTCGCTATCGAGAATGCACCTGGTCCAGCCTCGGGCTCGCCTTGAACCACAACGGGAAGGACAGGAAGTTTGCTCTGGGATACCTTTCCGTGATCGCGGAACAAATAGAAGAGGGACTGGCATTGAGACCGAGCCCGCTGGATATAGCTCGTCAAGTCACGATAATGGGTCGGGCGCTCAGCCTCGATGATCTCGCGAAGAGGGGCGACGAAGCCCTCCGCGATCTGGGGAGAAGGAATATTCTTCGCGAATTCCTCGATCAGAATAGCTGCTGTCATTTGTGTTGACGAGTAGGGTGACGACAGCCCTTGAAGAAGGGGGGGTGCATATTGTGAGAGGGTCTGGGCGGGAAGCAAAGCCATCAAGAAGCCCATGGCGCGCGAGGCGGAGACGCGTGAGCGGATCAATACCTCGAAGCCAACCAAGTCAACCTCTCCTTGAATCATATGTCCGTCGACATCGTGAGTGTGGGTCGGAACTGGAGCCTCTTCAACCTTTGTTGACTTCCTCCTTCGTTTCGCGGCCCTCTGTGGTTCGGGTGAAGAACTCCGGGGACCAGCGCCAGCAGCGCTCGGCATGGTGTATGTTCCACCTGATGGCTTCTGGAAGAGGGAGGCATTCATGGGGATGGGGTGCCTGTGGATACCAATGGGATAAAGCGCTAGTTCCATCATGGCATCGGCGTGTGGGCCGACCTCGACGGCCAAGTTGCCGGGATTCTGACCCAGGCATTGGACCAGGGCGAGCCACAGTTCGATGGACATATTCAAGGTATCCTTGTCTCTCTCAACCACGATATTCTGGAATATCAGCCTCAGAATCCTGCCATTGAGCCATCCTTGGGACGCATCTTGCCCAAGGTGGGCAAAGGTCATAAGTGCCTTAAGCACAGCAAGGCGAACTGATGTGATGGTGTGACGGAGGAAAGGGTAGAGGCGGGGCACAAGAAGAGTGAAGGACCGTTCTTCGTCCATGGCCGCCGATGCCTTCATGGTGTTGAGGACTTCTGGGAAGCTGCACAAAGTGGCCAGAAGATCCATGATCTTGCCAGTGCTGGCTGAGAGATCATCGCCCAGGTTAGAAAGACTCTCCCACACGATGTTGATTAGAGCGTCAAGGGAATCCGGACGCATCATAACAACTTCCTTAGCCATGGGAATCAGGGTGGCCGCGCTAACGGAACGGACATCATCGTCCATGTCGCCGAGTCCTTTCATAACGGCATTGCAAACACCGTCAACCAGTTTGGCGTCTTGTAGTAGTAGATCCTTCCTCACAGCGACAACGTAGCGGAGTCCAACCATGCCGCCGTGGCAGACAGCCCAGGCGGACCGCTCAAATGGACTCCCCTCTTGCATGACCATCTGATACAGAATATTGTAAATGCCATACACAGAGCTAGGAGGAAGGTGGCGTAGGGCTGCGCCAAGAGTTTGACCAATGCTCTCTCGGATGGGAGCGACTGAAGTATCGGAACTGTAATCGGTGAAACGATCGAGCATGAGTACGGCGCATAGGCGACAGGCCAGATCATCAAGCCAGACCTTGTTCAGTTTGTCATTTTCGGCCCTGGGCTTTCCGCGACAGCGGCCGGCGCCACCACCATGAACCCTCACAACCTCTCGAAGAGCCAGGGCAGCTCCATGGCGTGTTTCCCATTTGGGATCGAACAAGTCCATCTTGAGGAACTCGGAAAGACGTTCGAAGGGCCATTCAGCACCTTCGAGACCACCATCCGCCTGGAGCTCTGTTTTGATTTCCACCGCGGGACCTTTGAATTCAGTAACGACTTTGGTGTCCTCGTCGACATCTGCCGGGCGTTCAAGACTGAAGTAATCGTTAAGTTTGCCGTTCTTCTTCGACTCCGGATCTGCGGAGGGCGTCTCGTCTCCACCGAAACCTTCGGACCCTGTCGTGCCCGATCGTCGAATAGACAGATCGCCGAACCCGGATTTGCCTTGGGCAGCCTTTTGCGCCTCCCGTTTGCGCTTTCTCTTTAGGACATTGAGCTGCCGCGAGCTTAGGCCGGCCTCCTCACCTCCTTGATTGTTGCTGTTGCTGTTGAGGCTGTCGCTTCGGTTGAGAGTCGGGTGGTTGGCCAGCTGGCCGGCTAGAGTTTGGGCCTTCCCATTGAGAGGAATTGGGGGAAGCTCGCCATCTTCGACCCGTCGTCCTAGAAGTCCGAGCCTAGCATTCAGCGTTTTCTTGAGATAAGTGAGACGCTCATGAGGCTCTAAAGCGGCTAAGTTGAAATCTACTTGACCGCCTCGGAGGAGCTCATGACCATATTTGACAATTGAGATGACGGGAAAGTTCTCGAGCTTGAGAAACTCCGCTGATGCAAATGACACATCATCATCTCCCTCTTCCTTTTTTATCTGACCATTCCTCTCAGGATGTTCCTCCTTCTTCTCAGCCAAGTTGCTGAGCTGACCGTCATCTTCATTAGGATCATAAAGAGGTGCATGCTCTATGATCTTACCAATCGCCTTTGCCGCTGTCGAACGGGTTTCCCAGTCCTTGTGTGAGAGGTAACCGACAACCCGTGACAGGATGTTGAAGAGCTCATCGGGGTGTTGCTTTTGCCAGTCGGCAAGCTGGTTGACGGCAGTTTCTCGGATGAGACGAGTGCTGCCAGTCTCTAGGAGACTAAAAGGTTGTCAGTAACAAATAGTACTCTCCTTCGAGGGAACTAGGAAGGATAAGAAGAAAGCAGAGCGTGACAATGTAACAATTGGGAGGTAATATACTCACGTGACTAATCTGTCAAGTCTGTGATGGATTGAGATGTTAGCTCAGCACGGAAACGGATTAATCGAGCACACCGAGCACACCGAGGCTCGGTGGCCAAAAACAGGAAAACAGGGCAGGGGAGTCACTTACCTTGATGCCATGTTTGGGGTATCACAAATCCTGGCGCGGCTGCATCACCAACGCCAAATTCAATCGAATTGAATTTTTTTTTTTCTCTCGCTTTATGTCCAAGGTGGGACTGGTCGATATGATGCAGAGGAGCTCGCGAGGATCACAGATCCAGCGTAATGGAATCCCACGGCTTACTTAATCTCAAGGCCTGAATCAAGATGATGGAGTAGACATCAAGCGTGCTCCGTGGCGTCAAAATAAAACAAGGTGGGAATGAGACTGGTGGAAAGACAGAGAGGTGGGGTAAATAAGTAGAATTAAGACTGATTCGAGAAAATAAAGACGTGATGAGATTTCGAGTATCGATGCTCGAAGGTATTAGTCGTCGATGAGGATGATTGAGAGCGATTATGCTCGATTTGGTGGTGGTGCTACCCCAGGAAAATGGTGGTGGGTATCAGTGATGGGTCGCATAAAGGACGAGCTGAGAATCGCTGTTCAGGTGCTGGTGCGCTCGACTGCTTCGCACGGCGCAAGGCCAGAGGGGTAATACTAAGAGGCAGGTATGGTCCAGAGGGGCGGGCGGCTCTATATGTAAAGTGCCATCTATTTTATACACAATCGATGTTGGCATCTAGGCTGGGGTTTTCGCGTCCTGTGATTCGCTGTCGGCGACCCACTCAAGTTGGTACGTGCGTCGCACCCTCCCCCGTGGAGTTCAAGGGGCAATGCCCACGATCCAGTGACAAGAGGAAGAAGGATGGCTTGAAGTACCCTTGTACCTTCCTCTCTGGTCTGCTAATAATACCGGGCTCCAGGAGCACCACACCCAGCCGGTACTAGTGTACAAGTGCCAGTATTACCGTCGCATCATTGGCTGACGCGACCAGTTTTCACTCTATCTTTTCAATCGTTCAATCTCTTCATCTCTGCGGCTCCTCTCATCTTCGGAGTCCGGTGTTGCCCATCACGAACGGAAAATACATAAAAAAAAAAAAAATTTTTTTTTTTTTGATAATAGAAAGAGGAAAAAATGGGAAACGCCGTGACAGCGGGCAGGCACCAGCATATGCCCCGAGGACGACGAACTCACCTTGAAGAATAGAACTTTTATTTTTATTTATTTAATTTTTTTTATTAATGTCACTCAGGGGCGGCTGGGACATGACAGATTGGATCTTCTTCACCAGCCCCAAATCCCAACCAACGACAACCATGGGTTCGAAACGACCAAATGCAAGGAGTGAATTGTGAACCCCATATGCTGTGAGTCTGTCCTCATCGACATGGCTTGGATGCTTATCTGTTCAGGGCGCTAAGAGATCGATCTCCCGTTGTCCACTCCCTTGGCAACCAGAGCAGACATCAGGCCAACTGTCAGCCTACGTTGTTCTCCCACTGGTTTATTATCGCACCCACGAAAGAAAAAGAGCATGAATGTCATCCAAGACCCTAGTTGTACCAGACCACAGTCGAGGTGATACCTAGGACATATATGTACCTATATATAATTAAGCTTCAGCAAAAAGCTTCGAGCCTTTCATAAATCGAAGTACTGTGTACAATCAGAGATTCCTGATCAAATATGTGCACCATCAGTCGAGATTCTCCTCTCTTTTGAGGGGCTCTGCGTCTACGCATACTTTGAGGAATTTGGGGAAGCATGCGCTTGCACCAAAGAGGCAACGTCTGACATGCTGGATATATCGGCATTGGACACTGGATGAAGGGGCGACTGAGCTTCGGAGTATGAAGTACGAGGTACGAAAGGTACGAAGGCGGAGTGTGGTGGGCGATGCGGGATGTAAAGATGAGGCGCAACTCCGTTTGCCCTCAGCCATCAAATAGCAATTAGCTTGCTGTATTCTTCCTCGTACTACTTCGTAGTCCACACTGAATGGACACAGCCAAAAAGCAAAGTTTGCCCCCAGCGTCTAGAGGCAACATCTCGAAACTCTGTTGATCGGCCCATCAGTTCCACTATTGCTTCGGAAGGCTTGTAAACTGATAGTTCTTCATTCAAGAAGAATACATACCGCAAAGAGCAAATACGTGAAAACAGAGAATCAAATCCTACGTGGTCCACAAAGTCTTGGAATTTCAGGGACCTGCTGAGACAAAATGAAGTCGAAGCAGCCCCTTAAGACCCAGTACTCCACACAGGTGCACCGGCTATTATGAATCCCCGGATTCGATGGAAGACGGCATCATAGCACTGATTAAGTCTTCTAGCATTGTGGAACACAAGAGCTTACGAAGGAGACAGATGGCGCTGATCATCCACCCTCGCCAGAGAACAATTACACAGGGTGAGGCAAGAGATGATTTGTTCACATAAACAAATCCACTACCTGTAAACATCATGCGCCCTCGGTCAGTCAATAGACTACACATTTGTCCTCATGCGTCTATCTGAAATCCGATTCCATATTAGTGTATCGGAAGGTTTTTCTTGAATTGAATTGAGAACGAAAAAAAAAAAAAAAAAAAAAAAAAAAAAAAGAGGCGAGAGAACGCCAGCAAAAGTCTCAGTGTAAGTACCAAGTAGAAGTACTTCGAGCCTTAGTCCCCTGGATCACCATGCTTGTCCAATCAAACCCCGGCCTGGCTCCACTACGAAGTACAAAAGCGGCTCATCCCAGCCCCAGACAAAGCCACTTGAATTGCTTCTGGCCGGTTTTCTTCGGATCAATGGTTTATCCGGTATTGACTCCCAAAGTATCCAAGCGCAGGCGTGATCTGTCTTTCGCCCCATCACGAATCACGAATCGCGGGTTTCGACGCGTCGTCGCAAGGCAAGCTCTGACACCCACCCTAAGATTTGAAAGTCAGCCAGCACCCTTCAGAAGTGTAGAGACGAGCCACCCCCACCTTAGCACAGAACGAAGTGAATTTCACGCAACCATATTTCGGCTCCCTCTTTTTTTATCGACTGGTATCGTGAAACGATCGCTGCCGCGCGGCGGCAAATTCTATCACAATGCATATCAAGCAAATCATTATTCAAGGCTTCAAAAGGTTTGGTCATCTCGATCCCATGCGACTTCGTCGGCTCGCGCAGTAACTGACACTTATCTAACAGCTACAAGGACCAAACCGTTGTGGAACCCTTCTCCCCGGGAACGAACGTAATTGTCGGTCGCAATGGATCGGGCAAGAGTAACTTCTTCGCCGCGATTCGCTTTGTCCTCAGTGATGCCTACACCCAGTTGAGCCGCGAGGAGCGCCAGGCTCTTCTCCACGAAGGCTCAGGCTCCGCTGTGATGTCGGCGTATGTAGAGATCATCTTCGACAACTCCGACGAGCGCTTCCCAACCGGTCATTCAGAAGTCATTTTGCGCCGTACTATCGGTCTCAAGAAGGATGAATACTCCGTGGATCGCAAGGTTGTCACCAAGTCAGATGTCACGAATCTCCTCGAAGCCGCCGGTTTCTCGCGATCAAACCCCTACTACATCGTTCCTCAGGGACGCGTTACCGCGCTCACGAACATGAAGGAGTCCGACAGGCTAAACCTCCTTAAAGAAGTTGCCGGTACTCAAGTCTACGAAGCGCGTCGCCGAGAGTCCTTGAAGATCATGGATGAAACAGCTGATAAGCAGGCCAAGATTGATGAGCTTTTGCAGTATATTAGAGAACGACTTGCGGAGCTCGAGGAAGAAAAGGAAGAACTTCGGGGCTTCCAAGATAAGGACAGAGAGCGGCGCTGTCTCGAATATGCCTTCTACCACCGCGAGCAGGTTCAAGTCCAGGATGCGCTCGATGAAATCGAGAGGGTCAGAGAGGGCGGCAAGGATAGTACCGATGAATATCGCGCCGAATTTGTGCGCGGGGAGAAGACGATCGCGAAACTTGATGCCGAAATCCACCGACTTCAGCGGGAGATGGAACTCCTCGGAATCGACAAGCGCCAGCTAGAGGAGGATCGCCGTGAAAACGCCAAAGCACGCGCCAAGGCTGAGATGATGTACAAAAATCTTGTGGACGGGCAATCTGCCCGGGAGCAGGCGAGAGCGAGCCATGCGGCAGAACTGGAGACCGTCCGTGCCGATATCGCCGCCAAAGAACGAGAACTTGCCACTATCATCCCAGATCTCAATCGACGCAGGTTAAAGGAGGATGAGGTTAAACAGAGCCTCGATGCCGCAGAGGCTAATCGTGCCCGCCTCTTCACGAAGTCAACCCGAAGCTCGCAGTTCAAAAACAAAGCCGAACGAGATGCCTGGCTCCGCAAGGAAATCGATGAGGTTACGATGACACTCAGCAATCAGAAGGCCAATCGAATCGACGCCGATGAAGAAGTCAAGCGCGTTGAGGCGTCAATTAAGCAGTTGGAGCAAGAGGTTGGGGCACTAAGGTCCCGGCTCGAGTCCTGGGGTGGAGATCGCTCGTCGCTCGTGGACGACGTCACCAAAGCTCGCGATGCCCTTGATAGGCTAAACGATGAGCGACGCATGCTCCGACGAGCTGACGATAAGCTTGATTCCCTTATAGCCGATGCGCGTCAGGAGCGTGACCAGGCCGAAAGGGATCTCTCTCAAGCCATGGACGGCTCAACCGCCAGAGGCTTGGCGACGATCCGCCGCCTTAAGAAGGAGCGGGACATCCCTGGCGCCTACGGAACGCTAGCAGAGCTTCTCGAAGTGAGCGATGCCTACAAGTTACCTGTGGAACAAGTCGCGGGAGCTAGTCTGTTTCACTACGTAGTCGATGACGAGAAAACAGCGACATACCTAGCCAACATCCTTTACAAGCAACAGGGCGGACGGGTAACCTTCATGCCACTTGCCCAGCTGAGACCGAGACCCATTAACCTTCCCAGAAGCGCCGATGCTGTGCCCATTATCAGCAAGATCCAGTACGATTCGACGTACGAGAAGGCTTTTCAGCAGGTATTTGGCAAGACCGTTCTCTGTTCCAATCTCACGGTTGCTGGCCAGTATGCTCGTAGCCATGGTGTCGATGGTATCACGGCAGAGGGTGACACATCGAGCAAGCGAGGCGCGATGACCGGTGGCTACATTGATCCCAGGAAGTCGCGTCTTGATGCCGTAAAGACTGTCAGCAAGTGGCGAGATGAGTATGCTCAAAAGGTCGAGGAATCCGACGAGATAAGACGGCAGATTGAGAGGAAGGACCAGGAGATCACTCGTTCTATGGGTGACCTTCAAAAGGCAGAGCAGAAGTTACGCCAGGTTGATGACGGGTTCGAACCACTCAAGGCTGAGCTCCGTGCGAAAACGGGACACTTGGAGAGCGAGAGGACACAGCTTGACTCGGCGATAAAGCGACGCGAGACCATCGATAGGCATATGAAGGCATTCTCCGAGAGCATCTCTGCCCACGAGGCTGAGCTTGCGTCAGAATTTAAGAAGGCACTGACGCCAGCCGAGGAGAACCAGCTCGAGGAGCTCGGCCGTAGAGTGCAGGAGTTCCACAAGCAGTGGATCGACTTCAGCAAGAAGAGGAGAGAGTTGGAGCAGCGGAAGCAGATCCTCGAGGTTGACCTTCGTCACAACCTTCAGCCCAAGCTCGACCAGCTCAACAGCTTGGCGTTCGAAAACTCGGCTTCGGCCGGCACCAGCCTCTCCGAGGCCGAGAGGGATCTCAGGCGTCTACAGAAGGCTTCGGGTTCTATCGACAAGAAGCTAAGGGAAATCGAGGCTCAACTAGAGAGCCAGCAGGTCCAGATCATCGAGCTAGAGGGTCAAAGGAGCGAGCAGGAGCAGTCCCAGCAAGAGATCGCCTCCAGGATCGAGAGGCAGCAAAAGAGAATCGAGAAGAACCTCCAGAGGAAAGCTCTTCTCACGACTCAAGCTACTGAATGCGCCAAGCAGATCCGAGATCTTGGCGTTCTTCCGGAAGAGGCGTTCGAGAAGTACGAGAGGATGGAAGGCAAGACAGTAAGTACTTTGTTAAACCGAACTCAGTTTGTGAAGTGCAGCTGTCATTAACCAATCTTACTCCGCCACAGATCGCCTCTCGACTAAAGAAGGTCAACGAAGCTTTGAAAAAGTACAAGCACGTGAACAAGAAGGCGTTCGAGCAGTACAACAGCTTTACCAACCAGCAAGATCAGCTTCTCAAGCGCCGAAGTGAGCTCGAGGAGTCTCAAGCGTCCATCGAGCAGCTCGTCGAACACCTCGATCTCCGCAAAGACGAGGCCATCGAACGGACATTCAAGCAAGTTTCAAAGGAGTTTGCTACCATCTTCGAGAAGCTTGTTCCGGCCGGCCATGGCCGACTTGTGATTCAACGGAGGACCGATCCCCGCCACGAAGCTGAGGAATCTGCTGATGACGAGCAGTCGGCCAGTAAAGTGGACAACTATATCGGTGTCGGTATCAGCGTCTCCTTCAACTCCAAGGAATTTGACGAACAGCAACGCATCCAGCAACTTAGTGGTGGTCAAAAGAGTAAGTTCCTATCAATCAGGCAGTGCGCGCTCGCGTCGATGATCAGAACTCTTTAACACTAACATGTGTGCCTTAGGTTTGTGCGCCCTCTGTCTCATCTTTGCCCTCCAGCAAACAGAAAGCAGCCCCATGGTCATCTTCGACGAGGTGGATGCTAATCTAGATGCGCAATATCGTACTGCTGTTGCGGCGCTCCTTGACTCCATCTCCAAGGAAGCCGGCACGCAGTTCATCTGCACCACCTTCCGACCGGAGATCGTACACGTTGCTGACAAGTGCTACGGTGTGACTTTCCACAACAAGACAAGTTCCATCGATTGTGTTCCTACCGAGCAGGCGCTAGAGTTCGTCGAGGGTCAGAAGAGGTGATACCGGCGAAAGGGAGGAGCGGGTCAAGCGTCGGGAGGTTGATTCTCTGTTTTCTTTTCTTTCTTGGCTCTTTTTGTTTCCGCCCGAGGGTATTTACACGGAGGATCCTGGGAGATTTGATGGCTGGTGTTGGGGCGTGTTTTCTAAACTGCAAGGTGTACGAGTGCAATGATAATGTTTTCTGCGGCGGAGGATATCAATGTTTATAAAGTTCGGCTGTTCTTCTTCTCGTCACAGCAAGCTTAGCACCTTTGTAAAGGACTTGATTTATTCCTGTCTAGTTTGCTTGCGACCGCAGTGTTCAGTTTTGTCCCACCCCGACGTGAGTATGTCCTTAATCTTGATCCCTCTTTGCCTTTTGCTTGTCATGTTCTAGCCCACCTTAACTTTCATCAGGATCTAGGACAAGGCACAAGGCCCAAGGCGGTTGTCTATCATTGTGGCGAAAACTGGAAATAAGTGTTAATGCCTCCCCTCACAGCCACAAATACTTGCTGTGATCTTTGAAATCTCTCTAGTCACCCACTCGTAGACCTCATTCTCCTTCACCACCACAAACTCCAATGATCACCGCGATGAGCTCACCTCAAATCCAGAATGGCCCTCCCCTTGTCCCTGTTCCTTATTTCTTCTTCGAGGCAGCCGCAAGCTGGAGCAGGATTCGATTCCCTTTACTATCCCATCCGTCCATTCCCCAAAAAGAAAACCCAGTCCAGGATACCCATAACACAGACCCTACCATCAAGGAGAGTGCTACTTCGTTTATGGCCTTTCTTTGAAGTATCCACTACTAACACTCGCTCATCTCACTCCCACCGTCGGTTTACCAATGGAGACGATGGATATCACACCTTCCAACTTCCTGACCCGCTTTCCCCAGATCCTCAATGCCTATAACAAGTGCTCCATTGTCGCCGTAGATGGCGAGTTCTCGGGTACAAAGTTTGACCAAGACCTCGCCGTCGAAACATATCGAGGCATCCTACCCGAGGAGCAGTTCAAGTTGTTGGAAGACTCTTGGGATAAGCCCGGGATGGAAGCTCCCTACCAGAAGCTAAGATGGGTTGTCCGCCGTTTTGCGCTTCTCCAGCTAGGTATCACCTTTGCCTGGCCAGCTAAAGGTATGAGTGGCACTTTCTCACTTTCCCGCCTAAGCAGTAACGGGGTCGAATTAACTTATCGAAAATACAGACGAAAAAGGCTACCCGATTCTAAAGACGGAGTCCTACAGCTTTCTTGTCAGCCCCTTGGTGGATGGTCAGATAAACAAGGTCAAGCTTTGGAAAACCATCCAAAGGGTCGTATCCATGAATACCAACTCCGCCAAGTTTCTGGACCATTCGGGGTTTGACTTTGAGGGTCTCTTCAAGAATGGATTGCCGTATCTTACGCATCCGGAGGAGGCGGAGTTGAGGCGAGCTCTCGACCGATCCGATAGGGGACAGCGAAACAGGAATGTGTAGGGATAAACTTGGACATGGAGTCCCGTGTAAAACGTAAAGGGTTGGTTGCTAATATTTCCACCACTATCTAGAGAGAACGACGTCAACAAATTGCGGGGAAAGGAGGCCCGTGAGCGAGACAGAATCCGGACCGTAATTGAGAGCCGGATGGGGGCTCGTCGTAACTCTCGTGTAAGTCGGGCTCTCCTCGCTTTCTCCTTCACTGACGGAGGGGACCTTGGGCGCTAACGTGGGATATAGGGTCTTTCTATTTCTATAGATCCTCCCAAAGACACGGACATGGACATCGCTGATTGGAAAACTCTTGTCCACCATGTCGTGGATCAAGACTTTCCAAGATGTCGGGTAACGAATGGGCGGTCTAGTCCTGTCGTCGTCGTCAAGCTCGTTGAGCTTGAACGCACCCATAATGTGGTAGCATCCGAATACACCTTGAGGCGGTCTTCAGGCAGTTTACTGACATTGGTGTAGGACGACCTTGCTCGGAAACACAATATGGAGGCCGATATTCGAAAGGCCATTGGTAAGGGTTACCAGGACTGTTCTCTAATACTTGCCACAGGCTAACATTGCAATGCTCATGTAGGAGCCAGAAGCCTCCTCGACATGTTGATTGGGAATGACATCGGAACCCAGATTCAACCACAAGACATAGCCAAAGCACAGCTCGCCGCCGAAAGACAAGCAAACGGACAACCCGCGAGGATTAATACCATAAATGACCCAGAGCTTAAAGCCCGTACCGAGGCGCTCCAAGAGCTCTTCGACAATCACTGGAAGAGACAACAGCCCATACTTATCGGCCATAATCTCGGCTGGGATCTTGCCTTCATGATCGGCACGCTTTTTGAGCCTCTTCAGGACACGTTTGCGGAGTTTCTTCCCAGAGTTGACGGCCTGTTCTCACGCATCTTGGATACACGCATCATCACGGATGCTTGCATGCCGGAAGCTAAGACGGCGAATCTGTCACAGATCGTCGCGCAATTGAAATATCGATCTGTGGAGCCGCGATGTCAATCGGAAAGTGGCCTGGGGTATGACGATGGTGACGGAAAACCCCACGATGCCGCGTACGACAGTAAGCACCTATGTTCAATTCACAGCTCATCCAATCTATCAAGATGAAACTAATCCGGCTAATGTTTAATGGACTCTAGGTTTTCTCACCGTCGAGGCATTCGCGAGGCTTGGACAAGACCTCGTTAGAAACAAATGCTGGGATGAAGGCGCTCCCTTCCCTACTCAGGAGGAGATGAACGAACGGATCATGAACTGGAGAGACCCGATATGGGACCCCTTTCGAGGCCAGTTCAAGGTTATGGGAGAACTTGTTCGCGAAAAAGCGAGTTGGGGGCGGCATTGAACGCCCGTAAAAAGCTGGGATAAATATCCCAGAAAGACTTAATCATGACTAGAGACGAAAGACGATACCAATCACGGAGCAGACCATGGAACAAAGAAGCTATGGCGTGTTTTCCAACGGGTAGATACACTAGAATACATAGAGTGGCATATTTCCCCTCATGCCTCTATTCCGGAGTAATCGAATTCTATGACGCCGCAGGTATACAATGGATAAGCTATATAGTACATGAAGGTGACCTGGGTTCAAACTTCTTCTCTCCCTCTCATACATCCCGTCAAAACCCAGCATCATCATCTCTCAGCCATCATATTTCGTACACCGTGGAAGTACTCCGGAGCCAGCGTCTCCTTGAGCTCCTCCCTAGTAAGCCACTTGAAGTCTTGCAGGCCGAACCGGTTCTCGTTGAGATCGGCCTGACCCGCCATGATCCTGCCCTTGAGGAAGAACGACTTGACGCCGCGCTGCGTCTCGTTTCCGTCCTTGTCGGTGACCGGCTTGTTGACGAGGTGCGCTACGGGTACGCGGCCAACGATCCAGGTGTTCATGTTGACTCCGGCGGAGTCATCGAGAGCACGACGGGCAGCCTAGACAAATTCGTAACGTTAGTTTCAGGGGCCCATCTTTGCATATCTTCCTAGGGCCAAAGAAAAAAAAAAAGAAGAAAGAGGAGAAAAATGTGGCCTTCTCACCTCGTGCAGCGCTTCATCTGTCGAGACGGGGGCCGTAGGGAACTCCCACTTGCCCTCGCTCGTCTTCACCACCAAGTACAGAGTGCGATCTAACTGCCTATCCAGCCTCTGTACATCGTTCTTCTGATCCGCCTCCGTAACTCGAGGCATCGGCCTCTCGACGGGCACCCGCTCCTCGGGAGGAATCTCCTCAGCATCTTCGCTGACCCTCACCTCCGCATCCTTCAACAGCGACTCCATCAACGACTCGGGGCTCGACAACTTATCCCCCACCCTCAATTCATCGTCCCAAGCAGTTGCCGAGCGGCCATTATATTGGCCGATTTCTCGTGCTACCACGCCGTTGCGCTCCTTCAACTTCACGGCCCAGTCGAGCTGCGGCGGCGTGTCATGCTTGAAGTAGGCCTTTTGGCTGAAGGGCAGGACGAGACGCTCGTTGAGCCTCTTTTGGTAAAAGTAGTAGGCGCTCTCGAACGAAGTCTGCTCCTTGGTAATGAGTGGTGGGCGAGTGAGGATCACACCGGCCTTGATGAGGTAGCGTGCGTTGTCTGTGGAGATCGAGGCGGGCTCGGGAGGCGGCGGGCGAGTTGTGGTGGGAGGCGGAGGCGAGGGTGAGGTCTGGCTCGGGCTCGACTCGGCGTTGATGGCTGAGTAGTACCGTACTGGAAGGGGGCAACGTCTTATCGAGCATCGCGGCGTCAACCTAGGAGTTGCTGATCGTGTGCTTTGTTAGCTCGAAGGGAAAAGGGACCATGGAGCTCTCCCAATTGTAAGGGCGACTTACACCTCGAAGCTAATTGGAAGACTCTCTGGCCTCTACTTGATGCCGCCATATTGAAATCGTCTGCTTGCTCCGGGATCTTAGAGCAAACAACAGTTGTCGGCCACAAGCAATTTATGGGAATAGCAAAAAGAGTCTCGCGATGCGCGGAACTTTTTCTTCTGAGGTACGTACCTGCCAGGGATCCACAGCTTGACATTTCGAGGCCATCTTCCTGCCTCAGGCCGGAACATTCATCATTTCATGTTGAGCCTCTTCTGTATTATATAAGCACCTCGATTGACAACATTTGACTAATTAATCTGTGCATAACCTTACTTGCGAAGTAGTCTGCATCCAACTATACACTACATAACAACTACTCCGCAGGGTCCACGGCTAACATGGATCTCCGATGTTGGAAGAAGTACTTGCTAGCCTCCACAAGGCGCCGCGATTGTCCCCTCCTCCGCCGCCCCGGCCGCCTCCATTTCCACTTCAATAATTAGACTCGCGGGCGATAGCCTCCATGAAATCGGGAGCCTCTACACCGATGGCCCTCAACTTGTCTATCGGACCGGAGACAACGCCCTTGCTGCTTTTATTGACGAATGTTGTCGACTTTCCCTTGTGCGCAAGGCCAAGCTGATCCAGATATCCACTGAAGTCCGCAGGGAAGTCGTACGTGATGATGTGTCTTCTAACCGATAAACTGACACCCGGCACCTCGGGATGATCGGTGACGAGAACGGGCAAACGACCCAAATTAACAAGGCGACAAACATTATCCTCATCCAGAAGATGTTCGCGGACTAGGGACCTGGCCGAAACTCCGCGTCGGTCGAGAAACTCCACTAGATCGTTGGCTCTGAACTCGCTTCCCACGAAGATGATGGTCATGTCTGTGTTGTGATGGGTGTAAAGTGAGCTTAGCAGCGCAATGCCCTTGTCGATCTCTTCGACGCGTTTAACCACAATGTCTACAGTAATGTCCGTGAGCTCAAATTTATAACTTGATTCAAGCTCGCCTTGCCGTGCCGGAAATGATTCTAGAGTTGTCCTTGGAGCTTGTGATGCTTCGGTGCTTGTATGGTCTCTCAAGCTTTCGTTGGGATCGATCACGCCTGGCGGCTGTGGGATTTGCGGATCTCCGGGTGCCGATGCATTCTCCCAAACCCCGAATTCTTTGGTCCATGTTTCGTACCTGGAGAGGTCATTCATGCCGGTGGATAGCTTCACATGCCCTACCCTCATGACCTCGAGGAAATCATCGGCAGTCAGGGGAGGGTGCTGTGGCATAGCACCAATGGGCAGCGTCCTCAACGTCATTGGCATCGCGCCGCCATCTTCAGCTTTGCATGGAGCATACATGGCTATTCCGGACACGGTTACCTGCCGAAGAGTGGTCAGCTCGCTTACCATCAAATGGTCCTTATAAGAGGCAATAAAAGGGGTTTGCCTACCATTCTGAAATACTCAGCTGTGCGCATCTTCTTGGTCGAGGCTATCAGCGCAAGCTGGGTAAGGTGGGACATTTCTGTTTTCGAATATCCGTTCGTCATCTCAGCGACCTTAGAGAGGTCCGCCTCCGACAGCATATTCCCCCATTTCCCAGCATGGACCTTGATTAACTCCATTCGGGCCTGGTGGTCGGGAAGGGTAATATACACCCGCCGGTCGAAGCGCGTGCGCACTGCGGGATCAAGTTCCCACGGCAGAGTGGCAGTCGCGACAACTACCACCCCCGCGTTGGTGTTATCCATGTCGCCCAACTGGGACAGAACCTCCGCTATCATCCGCAAACCCTTTTCTTTTCCATCATATCCGTAATAGAAGTCTTCCCAATTAGAATCAATCTTGTCGCAAAAGATGATAGCTGGCTTTTTCTCCCTTGCTTTAGCGAACAGCTCCCGAATGAATCTAGTCTGTGTCAGAGAGGCTATGAAATGAGAAGTGACGAGGGAATGAGAACCGTAGGTAGGGCTTACTCTTCAGGCTCGAGGACTTGGTACAATGGCACCTGGCTCATGGTCAAAAATGTGTGGTTGACCTTCTTCGCAAGAGCCTTGACCAGATCGCTCTTTCCGGTGCCTGGAGGCCCGTAGAGGAGGATTGCGCCGGGGGCCCTGTGTTTATCGTCGTACGGTTGGGGCCACATTCTGGGGAGGAAAATAGACTCGTGGCGAGTGGCTTCAGACTCCGGGAGACCTGAATTTCCTAAGCTTTGCTCGCCCTGGTTGCTCGACGTGCGCTTTGATACCTCAAACAAAGATGGCTTGTCCGCCAATAATCTCAAGGCGAAGCGAGCAAGGAGCCTTGTCTGATCGGGGGTATAGACGTGACCGCAGCCCGAAGTCGGACAGCTATACTGGACACCCGCGGCCATGGAAGTAGCCGGCTTCATTGCGCAGCTACGACAGTACCCCACGGAGTGCTTTGCCGCGCATTCAGGGAGCATCCAGCTGGGTACGAGCGATAGTATCATCCAGGTCCAGTCGCCGGGGAACTCTTCCTTCAATGCCCCCCACGCCGCGTCATCCATTTTGATATTCTGGACGCGCTGGGAGCATGCGATGCATTTGCTCTCCTCGGTCCAAAGCATGCCGGTGCAGATAGGCACTGACAGTACTGACCCGTCGCCCTTGGAAATTACGGGAAGCCTCGTAACAATATGGTCAATGTCGCCCTCAGAAAGACTCTTTCCGAAATAACTAAGGGTGTCCAACATGCCCTTTCTAGCAAGTGCTTTGTGCAACTGTCTTGCAACCTGCCACTCCTCAGTTGTTGGTCGAGGGGCGAGCTTAAGCAGTGACTGCCGAATAGAACATGCAGCACTGTACAGCTCCTTGAGTGGTTCAAGGCGTCGAATTCCCCTGTCCTTCTCTACAGCCGCAAACTCATGATCAGCTCGTGGAGTCGTGCGATTTGCACAACATGCTGCTGGGCAAGGGAGCCAGTGTGGTGACTTAATGTCATACCACCATTCACGTTGAGTATTCCTGCGAAATGCCACTGCGAAGCAGCCTGTGCACAAGGGCTTGTTACAACAAAGCGTTCTGATTATACTAATCCCAGTGACACCCGACCCAGGAAAGTGCAGCTGAAGGTTGTACATTATTTCATCGCTTTGTTTCTTGCATACTTGGCATTTCTCACCATTATTAGGGAGTTGGGTGCTCATGATCTAAACCAGAACTTAATAGTAAATCGAAGTATGATGGGGGGATGAGCTGCGCAGTGAGTTGATGTTAAGACTGTGATCGACAGTGGTGCACAAACAAGTGATAGGGTCTTTCTCATAAACAGCCGCAGATGGATAAATGGTATAGGATTTCGGGAAATGGAGAGGAATCAGGGTTAACATACTGGGGTGTTTGTCTTGATCAAGGCTTTTCGTTTGAAAGTTTTTGAAAAGCAATTGACTCTATGTGCGGACGAGGGTAGTGAATAAATAGGCTGTCGACGGTTGAGAGAGGAAGAGAGGAAGAGGGGAAGAGGGAAAGAGGGAAAGTCAATGGGCCTGTGGAAATGGCATTCTATGCTTTGTTTCCGCGAGATCCCCAGTATCGACTGACAGACCCGCCTACTCCAGGTAAAGCCCCGACCTCCTAGCCACAGAAGAGAGAAGGTATGGCCTCTGCTATTATCGAAAGCGTCAAACCCCCCCCCCCTCCAAGCTCCCGCTTAGAAGAGTGACCAACCGCTGGCTACGCTAACCCCCCACGGTCAGCGAGCTTGTGAGATAATGTCATTGATCAACGATGCTTTGCTTCAGTGGATTCGGGGCCTGAACCTTTATTCCTTGGGTTAGAGAACTTATCAACATACCAATACACTAGCCGTCAGCCTGATGTTTGCAGTCCAACACTCCCTTTTCCCGTCCATTCCGCATTATACAGCCCGCGGCACAGGGACGTCGCTTTCAACATTGGCAGAACAGACTGGCGTCCGAGGAAAGACTGCCGAGTCTCGCTGCTTTTAGAAAACATCAAAAGATTGGATTCTAGGCCCACTTCTACATTCCAGATGACGACGTCTTCGGGATCAACAGACGTCGGCTCTGTTAGACGGTCGTTCAAAGAAAGTGCCAGGAACAAGGTCCCGGGGAATTTGGAGCTGAAGCGGGCATCAGTAGTATCGGCTATCGCAATTACACAAGACCTAGAGGATGCTCAGGGAATCGCTCGCTTCGATCTTGATGAGCAGCAGCCGCTTTGCCATGAAGAGCTCGAGCTTCGGAACGATCAAAGATCGACAGGAACAAAGAGGCGACGTCGAAAGCGCCGAAGGGGCCAAGGACCCGCTCCAGCCGCTACAAAGTTCGAAGTATAGTGTACATTTCCTATTGCATTAATCCTTTGACCTGCGAAGTATGAAGTACACACTAGAGGCTCGGATCGGCATTCAGCCACCCTGGATTGATTCCTTGCAACTGTAACGGACTGTCCAATGCTGCCAAGAAGAAAATGGACCATCGAGCCCGCTTACTAAGTTTACTAATACATTCTATAAATCCCACAAAAATTCAATCCTCTTGTCTTTTCCCTTCCTTCCTCTCTTCACCATTCTAAGGCGCTCATTCCTTATCATCAAGACCTGTCCATTCCTCCATACTGTCCTGATCGTTTACGAGTGCCCAGATCGAGGCAGATTGCCGAACAGTCTTTTCGCTAGCAGTACCTCCTGGCCACTACGTGCTAACTCCTACTACAGGGTCCTGTTAGATAGATTCTGATCACATCACTCTCTCTCTCCGATTTTCGTGAAACCCTAGGTTACTTTAAAAAAAAAAAAAAAAAAAAAAACTTGGTCGTTCCGCCCTCGCGTCGAGACGACCCTTGCGGCCTCCACAAACGAGCTTGACATCCCAGGCCGCTCAATATAAATAGCTTGAGGAAGACAATTTTCTCCTCTGTCCTGGTTCGATCGAGATTCTGCGATTCGCCAGTCTCAGAATAACTAAGACGGTTCCCGCCTGGCATCTGAGCCTTGACGGAGAGACCACACATAGGAGGGATCCCTCTAGCTTTTCAAGCATGTTGAACAACCCACCAGTCTTTGGGTTGCCGCTTTCGTGCGGAAGCTGCGACATCGCCTTCGCTCTCCAAAAACTAAATCCCAGAATGCCGGGGCTAAACTCTCTCTTTTGGATTCTAGGAACCGCTTTATGCTACGATGGCTCCTTCGCCCGTTTACGTGATAATCGTACATGTCTCAAGTCTCCTACGGCCAAGCAAGTTGGGTGAATTGAAGAACAAAGTGTTATACTGTGCAAAGCTAAACGATTAAACTGCTCTCCACGCGATAGGGGAATTATCGAGTTCGAGCTCCAGCCGACTGGCCCGACCTAAGTACATGAAAGGGAAAAAAAAGAAACCCAACATAATCACGTCTAGTACGGCGGTGACTCTCGTCTTGAGCACGCTTCCAGGTATCTAAGCCCAGCATCCCGTACTCCCAAAAAACGCCCCCATATGAGTACATTCCGTCCAGTGGTTGGAAGATTTCGTCCGAAAAAAAAGAAGGTCCCCGTCCTAGAAATCATTGTCCCTTGCGCCGAACCCAAAATGCAAACCCGCTCGAGTGTTTGTGTCGTTATTTTCTTCGTTACGCCTTGGATTCCGCAACGGCGCGAGCCACCTCCTTTGAGGCGACCTTCTCCCAAGTCTTCATTGCCTCGTCATCTAGCAACGAAGGATCCTTAATTTCTTCGTAAAGTTTCCTCGAGACATCTCGATTGATGTTGGAATATTGTTCCGTCGTCAGCTCTCGAGCATGCCAGTGCGGCTTAAGCGCTGATCGAACGATGCCGTTGATGCTAGCCTTGGCCTCCGGCGATAGCTGATCTCGGACCGGTGATGTATCGATGGACCGAGCAGCAGACTCTTCTTGAGGCCGCCGCGGTCGAGGCTGGCGAATCTCGAGGGTTTGCGTGTTTTGTACACCATTCTGTACACCATTTTGTACACCGTTCGGTACACTGTTCTTTTCGGAACGGGTCTCCGTGTCTGACTGTTCACGGGGACTGGCCTGCTGGCGCGTCGGTGAGTAATTCGCCTTCGGATACCGTGGCTCTACGTAAGAGCTGAGCGACAACGGCGGCGAGCTTGGACGTCCGAGGCTCAAGGGTGGCGGGGTGAGAGATAATGCTCGGGGGCTGTTGTGTGCCGACACCGTTGGCGAGCTGGCAGGGGAAGCCGCGTCCGTGGGTGCTCGTCCAAAGAATGTCTTGATATTCTCGTCATCGGATGCCGTGCCCATGCCGACCTCTACCTCCTTAAGTAAGGCCGACAGAAAGGACGGAGCCTCCTGTTCAGTGGATCGTGAGCTTGAGCCGTTCTCTGCAGATCGCCCAGCGGGCGGTACCGATGACTTGGAGCTCGATGCCTCGGAGTGCGCGGGGAGAATCCTCCTAGTTCTCGGCCGTTTGAGCTTCCGTTCTGGCTCTTGAGCGGGTTCTATTGGTGACGCAGTTGCCGACGGGGCTCGCCGCTTACGGCCGGCCTGGCTCGAGCTAACAGACTGCTCGGCGACGCGAGCACGCTCTAACGCACCCCATGACCTAACTTCGTCCCGGGATTCCTGTACAGGTTGGGTTGGCGGCCGCTGCTCAAGCTGCTGGCGTGCTGCCCGAGGGAGGCTGTTGGTGAACACTTCGCCCGCACCGAGGCGATTTGCGATGCTCACACGCTGTTGCCACCTCTGGTATTCACGCTGCTCTCTTTCGCGAAGCATTTGAGAAATGCGGAACTCTGCAAGAGCATCATCGTCCTCATGGTTGTCAAGATCGATTTGAAGAGCGTCATAGACACGACCGGAAAATTGCCCCCAGGGTCCAGTCCAAGCAAGCGAACGAGCTTGGCGTCTGGCCCGCCGCATTCGTTCCCGCGTGCGTGGGAAGAAACGTGAAGCGGGCCTTCCAACAGTTCGACGCCTGTTAGGCCTTCTGCGCACTGGTTGTTCTTCTGCATCTTCTTCCTGAACTGGAGGTTGGAAGTCGTCGGCACACTCAATGCAATACCAGTTGCCGGAAGGAATGTAGTCCAAGCCAATGCAGTATGTGTGGTACGCCGCATCGCACCCATCACAGAGAAGCAAAACATCTTCCCTTTCGCTGGAGTTGCAGACTGGGCAAGGTTGCTCCGGTTCTTCTTCCTCCTCTTCCACATTGTCTGCGAGCCACGTCTGCGGATCGAACTCGGCGACTTGTTTTTTTTCTTCGATTTCTATGCATTCGATAACGGTGCCTATATAGAATGAACGGAAACATGAGTTAGCCATCATTTTCTTTTCATTTTTTTTTTCTATTCCATGGCATATGGGGCCAAAGAGGTGCAGGAGTTAGTGGGAGGGGGGGCTAATGTGACGTACCAGATACACCATCGAAGACTTGGAGTTGACGAAAAGGCTCACGGCAAATTGGGCACGTATTTGTCTTTTGAGCCCATAATCGGATGCAAGAATCATGAATAACATGATCGCAGCCGTCGAGGGAAGCGATTCTGCTATTAGTGTCGGAATTTGCACCATCTTGACCCAAGAGCGCTGAAGGGTCGGGTGGATCAGTGGGCACCTCGAGTGCCGTGTCGAGCTGGGTGGCAGCAGCGACAGAGGGGGGCTTGGCCAGAATGACCAGTGGCTCGAGGCAAATGATGCACTGGTCTAGTTCAGTCATTTTTGGGTGTTCGGCGACGGCGACAGGATCGTGATGGCTTCATAAAAATGACTGTGAAGAAAGCCCGATTAAAGACGGATTGAATAAATCAATCAGATTTTGAAAAATCGAGGCAGAAGGAGATGAGAATCGATGGCAAAAATGGTGTAGAAGAGGCAGGTGGATTGATTTCGGGTATGCTTCAAATGCTCAGACGCTCTCAAAAAACTAACCAACTGCAGTGTGCTGGAAAGTAATAATGACAGGCGGTGGCGGTAGTTTGGTGCGGTGGGAGATTTAGAGTGGACTGCTGGGGATAGTGGAGCCGTGGGTAAAGGTGGAAGGGAAGTAGGGAAGAACGGTTGCAGAATTGGGGCGTTGAGTGGTAGCGGGAGCAATGAGAGCTGACTGTGAGGGGGGGAAAAGTTGAGGGAAGGAATGGCCCGTCCGGGTTTTTGGAGGGAAGGACTGGCCCTGCGCTAACCTCGCGTGCTGACTAGGCGTCAAGGCGTACAGTGCGGATAATGAATTGGGAACCCCGCCACACTGAGAATCTCGACGACAAGGACCCGAGTGCCAAGTACTGCACCTTTCATAGGATGCTCACCCCCTGTGGAAGGGATCTAAAGAGGATTATGCAATACACCGGGGCGCCAGACAGTGCGTGACGTGGTTGGTGCTTGGTGTTGTGACCTAGCAGCGCAGGCTATTGGATGAAGACATGAATCAGTCCAGGATGCCCTGCACAACTGACTTGCAGACGACCTGAGAGCAGAGCTCCGGGATCAAGGTCGAAGCGTCCAACCGCAGGATAGAGGCCTAGCAATAATGGCGATCAGAATTGTCCAGTTTAGATGGCTCTTAGGCATAGATGTTCCGGTTGATAAAAAAGCGGTTGGGAAGGAGGACACTTCACTGAGAGGGAAAAGTTGCGTACCTTAGAGATGTAGGTTACACTGTATCAATAATCCGGAGAGTGTTTTACCACATGGAATAGCGTGGGTAGTATTTCCGAAACTTTTCCCAAACTTAGCATATCTAGCATTAAGACTGGAGTGCACTCGTCCTGCGTGTGTGCACTATGCCAAGTGACCATTCCCTCATCAGTTCTTCGCCGACTCGAAGGATGCTGAGCTGGTTTGAATTGCGACCTCTAGGTGCTGTCTTTGGTGGGCGATGGAGGTCTCTTGGCCTCCATCTAGGCCTATTGAAAGACGTAGATATAAAAGCAGCCACTGCACTAATAATACAGAGTTCTACTTCAAAGGGAAATGGTCTTCCTTTTATGGAAGACTCGGAGTCTCTCTGTGAAAACCAAGCCGTATTGTACACGTAAGAATAGAACGAAAACGTACTTCGTAACGAAAGTACAATTGTACCGTCCAAAATCAAATGATCACCATTATTATTAGTACCTTGCGAAAGGAAGGGTCATCCCAGGCAGAACCAAAGTGGGGCTAAGCAGGAGGCAGGAGCGGGACTTTGATCTTATTCCGGGAAGGGCAGAAACGACCATGTGGAAGACGAGGTGAATGTTGAGTTGAGGATGCGAGAGGTGCGTGACCAAACATTTGGAAGTACATTTTGCATGCCGGTTCCAATACTTCCCATACCCTCGGCCCTTGTGGATGGAATAATGGTTCGAAGACCACTATTCTCTCTGGTTCCGTCCTTCCGGTTCCTAGATCCAACTGTTAAGCCAAGACGTTAACTCCTCCCATCTAGATTAGTATAATGCACTCGCGAGCCCTGATACACAGGTGGAAACCGGGGAGGATCAGCTAAACCAGTCCCCTTTTCGTGTCTCTATTTGGCTCATTTGATCAATAACGGACACTAAGCCAATAATTCACAGTAGATTTGTCCAATTCCTCTCGTAATTTCAACCTTACCTTCACGCAGGCGCACCTCCCCAGTCCTCAACTGGGAAAGACCACGGCTAGTATTAGCCGCCGATCCTGCCGAAGAGCATCTAGTCTCATCAAGTGATAATATTATACTATGTACCAATGCCTATGCCCGCAGTGAAGTTATGGAAGGAGTCAATATGCCGGGAAATGCCGCCACCAATGCTTTCCTTAAATCAATATGTACTACTATGAACGGTGCTTGGAAGTGCTGGGAATGTGTTCAACACAACTTGGATCCTGCTCCAACCACATGGTTTATTTATTAGCCAGGGACAACGGGCGACGTCGTTTCACGAAACATCACTATCTCCACCTGGCTGTCTCAAAATAGAGGGCTGTTTCCGTTTCCCGTCCGTCTTAGCCTTTGAAATAACACAAGGCCCAGACCTAGTTCAGCCACGACTTACTCCGGAAAGGCTATCTCTTAATTTAGGAGCAGCTCAGGAGATGGATAATACCAGGTACTCTTGGCCAGACCTGCACCAAGAGAGCCCTCAAGGTTCTATTTTCTCCGATGATTTTGGTAAGAAAAGTCTCATGTTGGCCCCTTCCGGGCAATTAAAAAGAATACGTAACATGAATTTCCCATCATACTCTCATTCGTGGACAAAGTTCGAGGGAGATGACTCTTGTGGTGGACGATCTCCACTCGCTAAAATGTCTGGTTCCTGCACTCACAGAATGGTGTAATTGCAACCTCCCAGATCGAAGTTCTACGATGGAGAGGCTGCCTTAAACTACGTCATTATTCTTGCGTAAGAGACACCTTGATCGATCAATTCTTTACGCGACACTCACTATAAATGAGATACTGGGGCGACATACGTAGCTAATAATCACGAGGCTTCGTGTGACACTTTGTATGTGTTTTCGAGGCTTTTTGTACATTGAAGTACCGGTTCACAGAGCTCGAGGAGTCATCCTTGACTATGCACGCAAAGGCGGCAAATGATGGTGAAGAGGTTAGGCTACCAAAGGGCTGGAGTTGTAGCCTTGCTTGATGAGATGACCGTCGTGCAGATGCCTAATGGGCAATGGCTCATTCACGCAGGTACAATCGAAGAGGGAAGCTATCATATCTCCGCATCCCAGGGACCATGTGCAGAGCTACTCGGTTTCGACGTGATAGGCAGACAAGAACTCGTCATAAGCCTGAGCTCCTTGGTGTGTTAAATGGTCGCAACTGTCTCATCGTGAGTTGCCGAAGGATATCCGTCTGGCATCTGCTTGATGACTCTTAAAACCAGCTGACGTAGCACCCGGTCATTGGACGTTGCGGGCACCGCGATGATGCCCTACGAAATGGGTGGAGATCTGGCCGAGTCCACAATACGGTTCTCCGATCCGTTTCGAAGGACCTAACTATTACATATTGGGAACACTGGGTAGAAAGTAATAAGGCCAGGCCGGTCGAAAGCTCAGCTTCTCATTGTTCAGGGACAAAAGATTCTGGTATCCGCCACCCCAGTAGGCGACAGCTACTTCGTAGGCTTTTTCCCGTAAACATACCAGACACAGTACGCAGGCCGAAATGAATATGCCCAGTTCATCTCAGAGTTGCTTTCAACGGCGGATGTTACGACAGGGCTGGTGCGAGCGTGCAGTTTTGAAATTACAAAGGGGCGAGAGCGAGAGTTTCGTTGAGATCAATGATCAATGATCAATGAATAAATGAATTGATGTCGTCGTCTTCGCTGAGACTAAGACCGAAGCTTCTGATGGGTTCGACTTGTCGCCACGCTGGTTAAACCCCGGCACAATTTTGGCGGGGTTGCCTGCACAGTCTGCACACTAATGGCGGGCAGCTTCATCCATCCCACCCCCTTTGCTAGAAAATTTGGAAGCCTTCAGAAGCCCAGATCAGAACAACCACCAGCAATCAAGGGTGTTGAATTGTTGGTAAAATCTCGTAATAAAGCCGATCTCGCGATGTCTCTCAACGTGCCCGATGCCCCCAATGCGGGCCTCTTCAAGGGCGGTTATAACAAGTATGCTCTGCCAGTTCATGCTACCATTTTGGAGATGCATTTCCCCACCATCACAATGTGAAGCTAATCTCATGTTGGGACAGCTACGATTCCGAAGATGGAGCCGTCCTCCGCAACATCGACGCTTGCCGCGCCATATCCTCCACCGTCCAGACCTCTCTTGGCCCATATGGCCGGAATAAGATCGTCGTCAACCATCTCCAGAAGATGATCCTAACCTCCGACGCCGCCACCATCCTCCGCGAGCTCGATGTCGTCCACCCCTGCGCCAAGCTCCTTGTCATGGCCAGCCAGCAACAAGAAGCAGAGATGGGAGACGCTACGAATTTCGTCATGGTGTTTGCCGGTGAACTTCTGAAGAAGGCCGAAGAGCTCCTACGCATGGGTCTCAAGACTGCGGATATCGTAAGCGGTTACGAGCAGGCGCAGAAGCATGCCCTCGAAGCGCTAGAGGAGCTTGTGGTTGACAAGGTCGAGGACATCCGCTCGGAAGAAGAGCTTGCTAAGGCTATCAGGACAGTCATTGCGAGCAAGCAGAGCGGGAGCGAAGACATTCTTGCCGATCTAGTCTCCCACGCTATTCTCGCCGTGCTACCAAAGAACCCAGCGAACTTTAACGTTGACAATATCCGAGTCGTGAAGATTATGGGTGGAAGTCTAGAACAGAGCCGACTGGTCAGGGGTATGGTATTCCCCAAGGAGCCTAACGGCTCGGTTAAGAAGGCGAAGCGAGCCAAGGTTGGTGTGTTCACGTGTCCCATCGACATTGGCCAAACGGAGACGAAGGGAACCGTTCTGCTCAAGAACGCCAAGGAGATGCTCGACTTCTCCAAGGGCGAGGAGAAGCAACTGGAGGCCGCCATCAAGGAGCTTCACGATGTTGGCTTGAGGGTGGTTGTGGCCGGTGCGCAAGTTGGTGATCTCGCTCTTCACTACCTCAATCGTTACGGAATCCTCGTCATCAAGATTCTCAGCAAGTTCGAGCTCAGGAGAGTCTGCCGTGTGGTCGGTGCCACTCCCTTACCTAGGCTAGGTGCCCCCATGCCCGACGAGATGGGTACGATCGACGTCGTCGAGACTCTCGAGATCGGAGGAGACCGCGTCACAGTTTTCAGGCAAGAGGAGGAAGCCACGAGGACAGCGACGATTATCCTTCGAGGCGCTACGCAAAACCACCTTGACGATGTCGAGCGAGCGGTAGATGATGGTGTGAACGTTGTAAAAGCGATCACGAAGGATCCCCGGTTGGTGCCCGGAGCTGGCGCAACAGAGATTCAGCTCGCCTCCAGGATCACGGCTATCGGCGAGAAGACTCCCAACCTTCCCCAGTATGCTATCAAGAAGTACGGAGAGGCCTTTGAAGTTATTCCTCGTACTCTGGCTGAAAGTGCCGGTCTTGATGCTACCGAGGTGCTCAGCCGACTGTATGCTGCGCATCACAACCAAGAAGACTGGGATACTGGAGTCGATATTGAGGTAAGATGAATCTATTCTTTCAAGACCTCCAAGTCGGACGTATTGCTCACTAATTTTAGAACGAGAATCGCACTGGCACTCTAGACACCGAGAAGGAAGGCATCCTTGACCTTCTCATTTCGAAGCAGTGGGCCATCAAGCTCGCTTCCGAGGCCGCGCGGACTGTGCTGTCGGTTGACCAAATCATTGTGGCCAGGCAAGCTGGTGGACCGAAGCCACCTGGTCCTAACCCTGTACGTGATTCTTCCTATACCTCTTGAGCAAACAAACTCATGCTAACCATCTCATCCCTGCAGAACTGGGACGAGGATTAAGTTATGATGAGGAGTTTGGGTGTACCTTTGTCGAGAACATGAGGAGTAATTTCAAGGGAAAAGTTCCAAGTACTGAAGAAGTTTGTCTCTCCACGGCCGCTCTAAATGGTTGTTTTGGGCTTTAACAGGTAGACGAAAAATCTTAGATAGGAAACTCAAGACAGTATATACCCATGCTGTGCTTTGGTAGTCACCACAGCCAAATTTCCCAACCTTATTATGAACAGGGGCCGTCTTGGATAGGATTCAAGATTGCCCGGTTTGCGAATAACTACTCCCTCCATATCCACACTTTGCATGACCAAATATTATCAAACAACCGGCAAGAACCTCCATATATGGGCCCAGCCTCGCCCTTACCTCATAACAGGCTCCTATTTTCCAATCTATTCTCGAATCTCGGATTTGATGGCAAATCCCTGCTTAGCCAGCCTATCAATGTACCCTTGGCCCAGACATGCAGGTGTATAACACCCGCCTTCCAAGTCAAGCTTGTCCTCCAAGATCGTAAGTGCCGCCTGCGAGTTCAGCACGGCCGTAACTACCAAAGGATGTCAGAAAAACAAGGACATAGCGTCTAGGAGGAAGTCAGAATGGATCCGAACTTACAAGTATACATGCTTCCATGGTACTCAGCCTGACCAAAAGCCCTCTTCCCCTCCTTCGGGGGATCAGGCTCGGCAACAGCCCTAAACACAACCGAATCATTCTTCGCCGCCTCAACGCTCGGACCCGAACCAGGAGCAAACACGAACTTCTTAACAAGCCACCTCACGGGCGGCAGAAGAGTAAGAACCGCTCCACCGACCATGAGACCGAGGTGTCCAGCCGCGCCCTGCAATGCACTCGGAGCAGAAGCATACTCGGCCCAGGAGAAGTGCGGGCCGTAAGCGACGCGGGCCCTCAGAGAGGGCAGGGTCTGGTGGAGGCCCCAGGAGCGCTCGACGATGTTGCCGTCGACGCGGTTGGCGATGGAGGTGGTGACGCGGCCTAGGTCGGGGAGAGTGCGCAGGCCTGTGAGAGGGGTGAGGAAGTTGGAGGGGTCGCGGGGGCGGCGGGTGGGGTTTGCGACGGGGGAGAAGTTGTAGGGTTTGAAGGCGTTGCGGATTTGGGAGAGGCTGAAGGTTTCGAATAAGGAGAGGGCGCTGGCGATGGTGCCGCCTGAGGGTGCGGAGCTGTAGGAGTGTGTTAAAGGACTTGGATTAGAAAATGGGGAACGGTTGGACTCACTCTATGGATGTGACGACGGTAACTTTACCGGTATCTGCGTCGAGCTTCTCTTTGAGGTTCTTTGCTAGTGTCCAGGTGATGATGTCGGCGGGTGCGGACTGCACGGCCACCTGCGAGAGCATGATGGCGCCAGAGGTCTTGGCTGCGTTTTCGTACTTTTGGATCATGGACTTTGTGAAGGGCGCTTCTCCTGTGGTGTCAAGGTAGTGAGTGCCATGGTTGGCGCAGGCCTTGTAGGCGAACTCTCCATGCTTGGCGAAGGGTCCGACACAAGTGATGAGGACGAATGATGTCTTTGCCAATGAGTCTACCTCCTCCTGGTTGAGATTGCATATTTCGATCTCTACCGGTTTCCGAACAAAAATAAGATTGCTCCAAGTTAGCCACGATAGATACGCGTAGATGGAGGATCCTTAAAGAGAGCTTCTTGGAATAACACGTACGAGGCTGAGTCCTGTCGGGATTTATCTTCTCACACTCCTGGGCGATCTCGTGGAGCTTCGCCTCTGAGCGTCCGGCGATGGCCCATCTTAGATTTATAGGGAATTGTGAGGCAATGTGCTGGGCGACACGATGACCGGTGTAGCCTGTTCTTCAGTGGTTAGATCCAACTGATCTCTTTTGGTTCTATTTTCCGAGCTGTTGGCGGTTGAGGCCAGGCTCTCATGATACGGACCAGTAGCTCCAAATACCACGATGTCGTATTTACGACTATGATCCTTCAAAGGCATTTTGGCGATATTGGGAAAGAAGAACTAGAATATTGGGTCGGAGAGAAGAACTAGAATATAAATTCGGAGAGAAGAACTAGAATATAAAGTTGGAATACAATTGCTCAATATATATCAATATTTACGAACTACAGAGAAAGCTATTTACTACGGAGGCTTTCGGGAGCCTGAGCTCCGGCGGCCTTTAAATGCCCCGAGGAGAATACCGGTGCGGCTGGTTGGCGTGACATTGAATCAATCTTTTGTGGCATCTTTGGGGCATCTGATCAGCATCAAATGTTCAAAAAAGCGAGATACGGAGGGAGCTAAGTCGTATGCTGTAGATTATATCGGAACATAACTCCTAACGCCAAGAGTCGTTCACTGGGAGAACTCCGAATAGTATAAATGATCTCTACGGATGGATGCTCAGTGGCAAAAGCTCAACTCTCAACTTAGGAAGACAGCACATTCAATGTTGACGTAGTGGCACTTCTGCCAGGAGACAGATGCCTGAAGGCTCCCCTTAACTCATTTGGTAGCTAGCCAAGTCAGGGATTCACGAATTGGGACGAACGAAGTGAAAACGTGAGTGAGGAATGGTGTGATGGAGATGTGGCAGGCGTCATGAATCCTTCGAGCGCCCACGTCTGCCAGCTGCGTCATCTGGGTCGACAGCCCGACTGGTACATTGGTATTATGAGCTGTTGGTATCCAGTGGACTTGTAAGTGTGTTCAATGTTGGATCGAGTTATCGTGAACAATGCAATTTAGGACCGATTTGTCACTTGCTTCATAAATCCATGCGGTCGCACAAACATATTTCAATTAGTCAGATATTATTATCCGAAGATCAGCCATGTTAATCCTAAATACAGTGCGAAGTGCATTGTTTGTTGATGGTTCCGCATCAAGAGAAGCAGCGCCGAGACGCTGTTTGACGGAGCGGTGGAGGAGGCAAGTTGCGAATGGTGTCGCGCCTTCCGGAAAAAAAAATAATAATAATAAAAATCAAAGAGCAGGTGCATCCCATGTTTGGTTATAATGCAGCTTACTATTCCCAACTTCTCTCCATCAAATTGTATCCATCGATCCATCGATACAATTCATCTTCACCATCATTTCCCCACGATATCATCATCAACCATCAAGCGTACATCTCCAGGAATACCATCTCGACTTACACACAAGTTGCCTCCTTAGCTTCAGCATCCTAATTCCACTTGCTTAATTTTTATTTCATTTTTCTTTTGGATATCTTCCAATTATTAAGGAAACGACTCGGAAGGTGCCATGCGACCTCAAGAAACCAAGAAATCATCAAGCTGTAAGTCTGCTCTAGAGAGGCCTTCCTCCCTTTGTCTGTTATGACCCGTGGATTTGGAAACTGCTCTCTTTTGAGACTGTTTTCTTTTGGTTTGGTGGCACAGGTTTTGTCGCAAAGCGCTTGGCCCAGTTGAGCAGGTTGCTCCAGATCTCACATCCCGCCCATGCCCACGACACAACGCTCCAGACCCAAACCCACCACCACAACATACCAATGGCGCCTTATTACCCCCTTACCTGGCTCGATACGCGGTGCGGTACGATAGTACATTGATCCATCCAACAAGGCAATCGAGCTCATCAGCTAAAGGAATGGATACTTTGCTACCCACCACCGCATCTCAGCCTGTTTCTCATTGCCAAACCATCACTCACCCTTTTCCCATCCTCGATTGATTTTTTTTTTCTGCCTCCAATACATTCCATTCGCGCCCCTCGTCATTTTCGCCATCGCATTTCCCCCCCAACATCATCATCAAATTAAACCCCATTCCTCCGATACCTTTCATTCTCTCGACTCGACCGACAACTTCTTCCATCCGCCATGGCTCCCAAGGCCTCTAGAAAATCTACACAAGCTAACGCGAAACCTCCTTTCGTGCCCCCAGCCAACGCCATCCCTCAACCTCTCCCTCCCTCCGTCGAAGAAGCCTACCGCCGGAAATGCTGCCAGCTGAGGCATCGCTACAACCAAATCGAAGAACACAATGACGCCGCAAGGCTGCGCCTGCATAGGCTGCGTCGCCAGCTCGATAAGCTGCGCGTCGAGAGGGCTTTCCTTCTTGAGCAAATCTCCAAGAGAACTAGCATGAATGTCGAGGACTCAGATGGAAGCCCGAGCCCGCCACCTACGGTATGTTTGCAAGAATTGAATTGATGCCACCTTGAGGCTGCATGGTTTCTCTTCACCCGTGACAAAGTTCTTTACTGACTCGAGGCGCGTTGCGCGTACGCACTCTTTAGCCCAAGGAGAAACCCCTACGGACAAAGCGGGGCCACAGGAAGCCCTCTTTGATTCCCGATCTCGATTTATCGAAGCCTGCCGGCAGCACGCCACTCTCCCAGGGCCAGAACCTATCACCTAGCTCCGAGAACTTCTCCCAGGATAAAGTAAACGGCATTGCAAAGCCCAAGAAACCCAGCAACGCCTTTGAGATTTACTGCAGCGATAAGACCGACGAGTTCAAGGAGAAGAATCAGGACAAGGAGGACTTCAACCTCGAGGCAGAGCTCGCGCGTGGCTGGAAGGACCTGCCCGAGAAGGATAAGGAGGAGTTCCAAGCCAAGTACGAGGATGCCCTCGAGCAATATCAGAAGGACATGGAGGCGTATACGAAGAAGAAGGAGAAGGAGGAGAAGGAGAAGGAGAAGGAAAAGGCGGCTAAGAAGAGTGGTGATGCCGATACCCAAGGGGCTGATACGGAACCCGAGGGTGATCGAGATCACGACGTTGATATGGATGCCAAGGAGGCTGCAGCGGAAGAGGGCGGTGACAAGGAGACTCCGTCTGCCGACAAGGATGCGGCGGGAAAGAAGAGCGCGGAGAAGACGCCACCAGTCGACCATGACGAGGAGATGGAGGAGGCCCAAGGCGATGACGAGAAGGCCAAGGCCAAGGATGCCGAGGAGGAGACGGCTGAGGAGGGCAAGCAGCCCCAGGACTCGGGTTCCCAGGACGATGATGTCGAGATGGTCGACCACCCTGATGAGAAGAAGTAACTGGGTAGGGGGGAAACGGCTGTATCATAGGGTGTTTATATGTATTACCACACTAGGTAGTGCTTTGCCCTTTTCCTTTCTTTTTCTTTTCGGGAAAGTGTGTTATAGAAATGGCCTGGAATGCTCTTAATCACCGATTGTATTCATCGCCTCAGTGGTATCTTCCTTGTGTCAGTTAGTTTGGGGTTAGAACTAGCTGTCTCCCAACAAGAGTTCAATCTCGGCTCATCTACGCGTTGACTTAGGCAATGATCTAGCAATGATTTGAGATATACAAGGCTCTTATCCAGTGGAAAAAAAGAAAACTGCTGTGAAGCATTTGCTAATGGTCTATGAGATGATTATGCGTACACGGACACTTAGAAGTGCGTATTAAAGCTCATGTTCCCTCCGCGCTCGCGTTCGCTTCATTCCTCAATTTCTCCAACAGGACTCGCTCTACCAACTCACTCGCTTCCAGGGCCCTTAGATGCCCACGTACACGTCGATAATGATATTGATGATGGCCACAAAGATTTCCGCCGCAATTAGGATGATGACTATTACGTTTTCCGCGTTAGCATATCAACTCAGAAGAGAAGTCCGAAAGCCACTCACCAATCCACTCCAACTTCTCGCCATGGCGATGACTCAACAAATCCTTCAAAACAGCCAACAGATCGGCAATGACGTCGAGCCTATCATTCAGCAAGCCGACGCGCTGGTCCATCTCGAGGTAGCTCCTGACGGCCTGGTACACGGGTTCGAGCTGGGGCTCGACCCAGAAGACCTCGGGGGTGTCGAGGACGGAGCCGTTGAGGTGGATGTTGATGCGTAGGGTGAAGAGCTCGCCGATCTGCATGTTGATCTGGGAGCGGGTGAGGGCGACTTTGCCCGAGAGGGCGATTTGGTTGGGGATTTCTTTGCAGGTTTCGATTGTGGTTGTTATGAGCTCTTCGAAGAGGGAGGTCTGGTGTAAAATCGTGTTGGTTAGCGCTTGTGGTCATTATCTACACTTGATATTTTTGGGGGGTTAGAGGGGTTAGTTTACCTTGACGCTCTGGGCTAGGGCATGCGAAATGGCCAGTTTCGTCATGTAGTTATGCTTATCCCTCAGCGTAATAAAATCATTATATATCCGCGGCTGATACTCCCGCGTATAGTAAAAGTTGAACTCCTCCGTCTCGATCACGTCGGCCGGCAACCCCTCGAGCTCGAAGCGGCCAATCTCCTTGAGGAGGCGCTGCTCTTCGGCGACGGACATGCCCCATATCACGACAACGCCGTAGTCAAATAGGAAGATCTCAGGCGTGTGGACCTGCGTGTCGAAGTCGGGCGTATTCTCTGGTATGAGGGTTCCTGCTGTCGTCGTAGTCGTCGAGGTTCGTTCCGGGGCGGCTGAGTGTAGGTCGCCGTCTGATACTCGCATGGTGGTATTAGCACCACCGTATGCATCGCCGGGCGCTGCTTCTTCGGGCTCACTCGCAGCCGCGACGTCGGGCCCATAGCCTCTCGATACTGCACCCACATCGTCGGCAGAATGCCTCCTCTCGTAGCTCGGCACAGAAGTAGTCTCCCGTAGCCCTAGTCCCAATCCGCTATCCTGCCTCCTTGCAACATCCCCCTCCAAGTCATAGCTATACGGCGTATAAATACACTCATCAATCAACTTCGGATTCGCGCCCCTCTTCTTCCCCTTCCCCTTCATATACCGCATCAACAAATCCAAATCATACCGATCCGCCGTACAATACGCCGTCACCCTCGGCAACTTCTCCCGATCCGCCTTCCCCAACCTCGCCGCATCCCGTCTGGCCGTCGGGTCCTTGATCCGCGTAAACTGCGAGTACACGTCTCGCCCGCTCTCCTCGTCCACCTCGTCCCACGGATCCGGTTCCGGGAGCAACTTGAGCTTCTGCGCCGTCTTGGAGCTTCGTTGCGGTCCGATCTTCGGCTGGCCCACGCCACCCATTCCTGCCGCTGCTGCCGCCGCGCCGGCAGAGATGGTCGGGAGGGATCCTCCGCTGTTTCGTCGGCGGAGACGGCTGTTGAAGGCTGCGAGGACGGGGGGTGTGGGCGCCGAGCCGGTCGAGAAGGCTGGGTAGGATCCGGATGTGAGGCGGGCTTGTGACGTTCGTGGTTGGCGGGAGGAAGGGCGGCGGATGGGGAGGGGATCGATGGTGCGGGTGACGGGGTTTGGGTTGAAGGAGACGGATCGGGGGGCCTTTGCTTGCGAGGGGTCTAGGAGAGGCGTTGTTTCTGCCGTGGCAGTCGCCGAATCGGTCTGGTCGTCCATCTTTTCTGTCCTTTGCCCAGGGTTGAAGCTATTCTCGTCGTGCTTGATGCAAGGGAGCTAGCTGTTGAAACGGGAAGGACGGCAGAAATTGAATGGTGCAAAAGCTTCAATTGCCAGGATGGAAATGCTCGTAGGCGTAAGAAAGCAAATCAATCGAGCTGCTAATGCTAATTGATGCCGACGCGTTGACGCAATGGCGAGCGCAAAACGTTTATGGTTGGGGTTGTTGAGGGCCGAGTCGGGGATCAATTGAAAATAAAAAAGAGGTTAAGTTATGACGTCCTGCAAACGGGGGGACAATCCGAAACCGTGCTTCGGGTCTTAATATAATTGGCTTGAGTCCTTGATCGAGCCACTGCACTTGGAGTACGAAATTTCAAGGTTCTCAGTGGTCAAGGTCACCCGATCCGGAGCGTTTGATGGCGCCAGCTCCAAATTTTGGTTTGCTAACGTACTAGAACTCCTCTTTTTGCAGTTTAGAAACACCAATTGAACTCGCCAAATTAGTGCAAATATTACAGCACAGTATTTGAGAAAAGAACAGCTAAAAAGTACCAAGTCGGTGTTTTACCTTAGTGCAATGGCATGGGGACAGACATTGATCGAACTTCATGATATTACCTTTGTGCACAGGTACAAAGTACACTACTACTTTCGCGGGTCGATGTCTGATTTTGTCCAGCCGTTGCTGAACATTCCAATGGTCGTGGTCGAGAGAGTTGCCGGCTTATGTAATCCGGTCCATCAACCAGACTGCAACTTCATCCTAGCAAAAGGAAGCCAAGTCGAACCGGAAGCACACGCCTGCGAATAAAGAACTCCCTCACATCACGCCGTCTCTAATCTAAACGCCCGAATCCTTTCAGATTTATGGGTGGGTAACCGCATAGAGATTGCACCCAAGGTAGATGCAGAACCCATATCCCTGACCCCCTCCTCTCACCCCCCTCCCATCTCGACTGCTCATATCCTTCTCTATCATTCCGACCTGTCACTTTTCCCCTTCTCTACGAGTCTTGGTAACCATCCAGTCGGGCTCTACGTACATATGTTTAGTTATCCTCTGCGTCATCGCCCTACCCGTGTGCTTTGACATGCCAAGTAACACCTCCTTGCAGCCCGAGCCGATATCATACATTATCATACCTCGGTGCCTATTGACAATGCGCGACTTCCGAAGATACTAAATGTTAAAATTTCTCACTGGAACCTGCAGAGTATTGGTCTCCTCGGCTAGACCTCTCTACACACTGAGATGTCGGACAATGGACCGGGACGGACCGCAAAGCTCTTTCTGCGAAGCAAGAATATTGTAGGCAACATGAAACTTCCTTGTAATCGGCAAGGCTGAAGGCAATGGATATTTCAGTGCCACACGAATAGAAGAATGTAAGAGCCGGAGAAAAGAAAAAAGGAAAGAAAAAAGTACTTCGGTGCAATAAGCCTCCATATCTTGTTGAAGCATGACCCTGACTGTAACTAGCCCTATATATCTGGGGTTAAGTCTGCGCAATATCATTTGCCCGGCACGCCGTGACGTGTCTTTCGCCATTCGATCAAACGCATTAAAGGATGGGATTCCGGAGTACCAAAATTGTGGCAGCTGAGATCAAAAACCTTTCCGAACTGTCGACGTAAAAAGGAACAAGAGAGAAATAGATGGATGAGGAAGAAAAAGAAAAAAATACATGAAACTCCCGGCGCACGCTTCCAGGCATCCGTGCAAGCATTGTTAAAACAAACAGGATAAAGAAAGATAAAAAAAAAAAAAACAGCGTCTTTCCCAGAATAAGCGAAATTGGAACGATTCCATATCATTATCATCAAGCGCCGCCCCTTGCATCGCCCCCAATGAAATTCCCCAAAATTCTGAGCTCCTTCACTCGCTAAATGCACGCCTTAGACGATACCTGCTTCCAAACGAAAAAAAAGGGCATCAAAGAACAACCACTAGACTCGTTCAATGTTCTATGCTGCGCCAAGTCCTATGCAATAGGTGGATGCATTGTCGGCTCGAGAACAATCGTGAGTCGAATAATCCGAGAATAAAAAGAATAGCTCGCCCATCAGTGCATGTGGGACCGCGGGAGAGATTCCGGTTTGATGCTAGACCCAGGCAACCCCCTATTATCTGACGATAGATAGTTCGGATACCCTTGCGTATGGCCAACATTCGGTTGAGTCACCGGCCCCTGCCGGTATAAATGTGGATGGTTTGGGTCAAACGGTGCTGCCGCTCGCTGGAGTCCTTCATATTGCTGAGGAAGATACTGCTGCTGCCCCTGTTGCAGGCTCATGTTTGGTTGCGCGCCGTAGTTAGCTTGGGGCGCAGGCGTTTGCTGATGTGGAAAGGAGTACATCGGAGACGTCGCGGGCGCAGTAGATGCCGGCTGCCACTGTTGCGAGTACATCGCCGTATTCCCCGAGGCCGAAAAGTCCGTTGGCGAATTAAATACAAGGGAATGCCGTCGGTCGGTGGTATCGTGGGGGCTTGCCAAAATCTCTGACATGGGCAAGCTAGGAGCGGTGTGATGAATCGATGTATTGGCAACTCCGCCAATCCCAGCACTTTCCACGTACGAGGCTTGCTGCTCCGAGCCCATCTCTGGCTGAACCAGTTGCGTAGGCAAATGCGACCCTCCACGCACAGGCAGCTCTGACAGGAACTGTGGCGCCGAGATGTTGCCTGCAGTATTCGTAGCACCAGTGGCGGCGTTTGTCGGTATCATCGGATGCGGGGCGACAGGTTTCGGCGGGGACAGGCCCCGATGTCCGATGGGCGCATCTTGGTCATCGTGCTTCTCTCGGCCCGTCTTGAGAGAACCGTCGGATTCATTTTGGTAAAACTCGGGTATCTTGTCATCGGCCATCACAAACACCTCCGTGTCGCCATCTAATCGATGAGGGTTAGTTAGCTCGTCCCACCATCCAAAATCTCGTGCTGTCAAGATGACCGCGACCTACCAATTTCGCCATTCTTATACCTCTCCTCGTACTTCGCGATCTTGAATATTTCGGTCAGGTACGGACGCTTTTTACTATTCCCAGGGTTCTCGGGATCTGAGAAAAAGCTAGAGAGTGCTTCCGCCGTCACCTCTTCCAGTTTCTTCACATTCAAGCATGATTTCTGGACATCCGGATGCTGCTTGTGACTGGGCTCCACAATCAACCGGAGAATATGGGCTAGCAAATGCACTCGCTCTGTTTGACGTCGCATGACGTTAGCAAGCAGTACGCCGGGGCTAAATGAAGAGAAAAAGAAAAAAAAAAGGTTGAGCGAGCAACAAACCCTTCTTGTAAAGATGATCGGGCTCTTTGTGACGAACTCGCTCATCTTTCATGGGACCCCATGGTTTTGGCCACCACTCCGGCGCCTTCTCGTCCTTGCCGGTATAAGGGTGATGTGACTGCTTCTTCGGCTCCACGGCCTTGACCCATGCCTTGGCGATGAGCTTACAAGCCGTCTGCTGACAATTCTTGAACCGTTGCTGGTAAAAGCTCCACACAACATCGGTATCGCCGATCCGGATCGGTTTCTTGGTCGCAGCTATCGTTAAGGGGATGTCTCTGTCATCGTTGAGAAGCTGTCGTGAGGAGTGGCTACGAGGGCGCTTTCGGGCTTTATATGCCGCGTCACTGTCCATGGCATCCAGAGCCGAAGTTCTGCGGCGTTCCGTCATTCTGCGGCTCGAGAAATCTCGCCCAAATCCTGACCGAAATCCACTGTTCTCACCTCCGTAGTCGGAATCATCGTAAGGAGCTAGAGGCGGAAGATATGATAAGTAAGCTCCCAACACGATCGATAAACAATTGATGAACGCTGCACAACCCACCTCCAGTAAGTGCCTGTTGTGTATAGTTCCTAAATGTCTCCATGTGGAAGAACTGTTTGATCTGGTTTATTGACAGGGCTCCCGGCCCTGAAAATGTTGCTGAGCTGCCATCGTCGAGGATGGCTGCGACGAAATAGGCCTTCACAGGAATATTGCAGTTTTCCCGCAAGGCCTTATCAATGCCCTATGCCGACGAGTCTGTTAGGTTATTTTGGGAGAAGTCCTCTGGGTGGTATTTTTGTAATGGGCCAAGAAGTATGGATGGAACAGAGAGGACATGTCATTAAGAAAGGAAAACTAACCACGGGTGGCCGTCGAAGTTCTTGCGGCTCTGAATAGCGAGCATCGTCCTGTGGTTGCTCATTTGGAAATCCCTCCCGCTGCCAGGAAATTGGCTGCCTGGGATACTGGTGATCCCTTGACCATTCTCGCCCCATGGTCGGAGGCGGGAATGTTCGTGACATGCGGCTCGAGATAGACGTTAAGACGGAAGAGTATCAGTCAATCGAAAACGAAAACGATTGACCGTAAAATTCCGCAGGTGCTCTTGGTAGCGGAGATGTGTGCTGTCCGATTCTAGGCAGTCTTGGGAGGAACCAAAGCTCTTCCTCACAGCCCGAGGAATCCTCAGCTAAGACCAAAAAATTGATGTACTAGCGCCTGTGGGACACTCCTCCTCTCTTCCTTGGATGAGGGTACAGCCTCGAATGCCGAGATAAGGAAGTAATGTCGGCGATCTCTGAGCTGATTAGGGACGATACGGAAAGGGTTGAAGGTCGCCAAGTTGTTGGATGGAACTGAAGATGGCGGTCTTCCGTAAAAGATGAAGAATGCAGGCAAGATGTTCGGAGGTAAGTAAGACTAGCACATGCCGTAAGAGCTTCGGGAGTTGCGGTGGCGGGGTATCGGAAAAATATATACACACGTTCCTGTGAGAGGGTTGGCCTAACACGATCAAGCAGAGATGTCGGGAACTGGTCGTTGTCCGTGCTCGCGCAAATCGGCGTCGACGGACTGATAGTTATTGCGATAAATGTTTCCTGTACTAGCAGATACCCAAGCTCGGCCGAAGTCGTCAATGAGAGGGACCTTGCTTATGAAGTACTCATCAATTCCTAGGCAAGGACGTGACGGCAGGTTACTGTGTGTAAGAGGGGACAGCGAAGACCTGTAGACCCGGGCAGGAAGAGACACTTCTGGGAACTGTGACGACTTGTCGGGGAGACCCAGTCGCTCGCAATCAGACTGAAGATGCTCCCAAGGGCCGACGGAGTAGGGAGTGAAAAAAAGAGCCGGGAGGTGGCGGATAGGAATTAGTAGATCTCCTGGAAGAAAAGACTAGATATCTCTCGACGCAGCAAAATGTCGGCCAAGATGATGAACTTAGAGGCCGGCGAGCCCAGAGTGCGCTTTGTCTCTCGAGTTTATCACTTGAGACATTGGAGATCTCCCGAATGGTTCTTCGTCGCCCACGGCCCAGCTCTTTGCCAGTGTCTTGGAATGACCGAAGACGTCAGCAACGACAATCAACTTTGACACCAAGGTGAGGACCACGAGGTAGAGGGACGCCTAGGATGACTGTGGCGTCCACGGCAGCAGAACGCCGGGTTCTATCTAGGAGGTGACTGTCGCTATCGCGAGCTGTAATGCGCTTCCGAAAAGCCTTAGGTAAAAGAACAAGTGCGACTGGGCCGCGAGGGTAAAAATATCAGCCAACACGGCCTCGATTGTAGTTGGTCGAGATAAGCGGCGTCCAGTCGAAGAAGTGAGATGGCGAAGGGTTCGTGAATTGCTCAGGCCGAAAATTCGGAAAACAGCGAAGCAAGAGAAAATAACACAAGGCCAAATGGAGACCGCGGAACCCTTGGGAGGGGGCGGGAGCTAGGAGGATAGACAGCGACGTTGAGAAACTTGCCGATGATATGGGCTCGGAGGATGGTGATTTGGAATCCAATCGCTGGAGTCGATTAGAAGGCAGTTGATGGATGGGACGGCACAAGGCAATAGTACTTTGTTAGGTCTCCGTATTCGGTGGGGAGCGATCTTATGCAACCCCAATGTTGGGTATCTAATACTTGCAGTTCGTCCTACTGATGTCGATCGCAAGGAGCTTCAGAGGCGGGGTTCAGCGCGTGCAAGAAGAGGGTGCGACCTCAAGTCATTAAAACGACGGCTCGACGCCTTTTTGCGAATTTTGTAAGGATGGGGGCAACGCTGGGGTATAACAACAACAATGGATTGTGCGTGGACGAGTGGTCCTGGGAGCTCGTTCGGCAGAAATGATGAGCGCCGTCGTCGGTCCGGACGACAGGGAAGGGGTGGTGATTTGGCAGGGGAGGAGTGAAAAGCGAAGTGTAGTGTATATGTATTGATGTATATACCCTGGTGGGACGGGAGTGTATGTACGAAGTAGCAGTGTAAGAGGAGTGCGAGAGACAAGGTCCCGAGAGAAAGTGAGAGGGCAGAGCAGAAAAAGAGAAAGCCAAAAGCGAGAAAAGAAAAAGAAAAAGAAAATAAAAATAAAATAAAAAAAGAAAAATGGCGATGGTGGTGGAGTGTGGTGCAAGCAGGTACGAATCTAGCTGTGTACCCTGTAAATTGATACTTTCTCGAACTGATCCTTGTAGTGTAGAAAGGGCTCGGCTAATAGATACCAGAACAAGACAAGACGTCTTGCTGGGGTTATCGGGTTCGGGACGGGTTTATCTGCAGCGCGGCGGGGGGGGATGTAAAAATTTATACAGTTGTGGAGTGCAGTCGAAAGATCAATGATATTAAAGGAGCACTTCGGCACTAGAAAATTGAAGCCAAGAAGCTGGAGGTGAGTGCACAAAAAAGCGTAGACTCGATCGAGAATGCGTGAGAGGGAGGAGTTGGGGAAGGAAAACCAGTGCTGCGAAAGGGCGATCAATGATTCGACCAATGAGTATTACGAGTTGCTCCTGGTTATCGGTCATGTCAGGCAGCGGACGGTACAGTCTGGTTGGAAGAGGAAGTGCCCATCCAAATCCGTCCGGCAAGCTTATGGCACATGCACCGCCCAGCTCAAATACAAATTGGAAATATGCAAGAACGACCCGGTGGCTTTGAAGACGCGATCGATGGGGAAGTATTTCTACCCCCTGCGAGCTTCCAAGTCTCCGAAGCCCAGGGGAACGGTTAGGTAAAGCTGTGGTGTTGCCAGTACCAGTTAGTACGAAGTACACTATCAGACCAAGTCCCCAGTCTTGGTCCCCGGGGCGGACTCCGGGGCTGCTTGGGATGACCTGGCTTCGGTGCTCCTGATGATGATAAGAAGGTGGGGCAGGTCTAGGATCAACCAAACTGGCAAGAGCTCCCAGACTAGTGGAGTTAGCAACTTCGTACTCCAAACTTCGTAAAAACGACAGGGCGCGAGAGGCCGTCGAACAGGACACCCACTCCTGAGCCCCTAGGATCAGTGGCCTGTCAGGCGGGCTCCGGGGTCCCTGGCCCTAGTCTAGTGTGTAAGGACGGGGACGCTAGGGGGTGCCCTAGTGGAGCCTGCTAGTGCGGCGAGCCAGGCTGATGGGGGTGTGATGTGGAAGTACGAAGGAGGGTACGAAGTACATCACAAAGCTCGACTAGAAAGTGTGAGTGTGCTGGCCCTCGAAAGTTTATGTCCACGGATACCAACGAATCATATAGGGAAGAGCATCCCAAAAGCAGCTCCTGGCAGACAGGCTAGCCCCGGCATGAAGTATGAGGGATCAATGTACACTTAGGTGCTTGGAGTCCCCTTTGTACGAAGTAGTGGGCAAGGAGATACCAGCAACCTCCGTTGAAGTTTAGCCAGGCAGGAGCTGTGGGGCAGGCATGCCTCCCCTGGGGAAATAAAATCGAGTGAAGCAGCACATTTACCACGGTCAGTGTTCTCCGAATCTCGAACTCGGCAGGCGTTCAATGGCGGCAGACAGTAGGTGCCTCAAACGCGAACAGAACTGATATAGAAAACTTTCAGTCTAGTTCAATCTAGTTTCTTACATGTCGCAAGTAAACCGCAAGTAAACCTTTGCAGTAACCTATACAAGGGACACGTATAATACTCACCTCAGTCTTGTGACAAGGTCGGGGTGCATGGTCCCTCTGTCCACGTCCACGCCTGTCAGGAACCCTCCTGTCACCAAACATCATTGTCTGCAATGAGACAGAGACGGAGAGTACGGAGGTATGTGGGCTCGCAGACCCCCAAAATTGCGTCAATTAAACTTCCAAGCTCTTTCTGCACCGAATACACGGTCAGTGTTAGTTTCTACCTCAACTAGCGTGTTTTAATGAAATAAAGAACCATCTTTTGGGCTGCTCTGCTTGTTTGCCGCGAAGCATTCAACAGCTAGGGCTGCAATGATATCGAACGGGTTCATCCGGCCCATAGAAAAGACAATCTTGGATAGAGGCTCACTTGTTGTGTCTCGTTCATCCTAAAGAGAAGGAAGCTAAGTGAGAGACGTAATTCTCCCATCAGCACCGGCTCCGCCATGTCGGGTGGGAGTCAAAACAAAGCATATTTCGGAGGCGGATAGCCACTTCTCCAAGATCACGGCAATTGCGTACTTGAGAAGGCTTGGCATCAAAGTCACCGAGTATTTCTGGTATTTCTCAGGGGATCTAGCCCTGTTCATAACGATGGGGCACGGATATAATATTGATATAATGCTAAATGTGAGAGAACATGGTTGGGATTCTGAAGTTCACAGAACATCAGATGCAGGTGGCGGGATGGAAGAATCCCCCACCGGAATACAGCGTATGAAGTACTTCGTTGGGGGCGGGCGCATGTTCCCTCCGTTGGGTCGCATTCGTCAGACACGAGGAAGTCGACACAACCACACCATTCAAGCATGTTGCCCCTGGTCGACGTGAGAGGGCTCGCTATCAGTGAAGGGATTGGGGTAGTATACTGCTAGGATCTTGCAAGTTTCTGAGGCAGGAGCATGGCATGTCCCATCCTCTTTTTAATCGATCCCACCCCTTCCTTGCTCGTTCTTGATTCGATGGGGGGATGGTACTTCGGGATTAAGTTGTGGGTTGCTCCGGGTGTAATCCTCCCGTGTATTGATGAAAGTCTGGGTGATAGTCGCTGAGGGATCCCAGAATGGCGGTACCTCGCTTCGCACACACGATAATGGATGGATCAACGGCAATGGTGTGGACACCTCCATGCTACGAAACCCTTGAGAGCCCGGGATATTATCCTTGCTTCATCCCAGGATTCAAGGACCTCGTCGTTCTCCAGAAAGGGGGGTTGACTCGTTTCGGAAACAACCTTCCTCCTCGTTCGACAACAGAGCAACCAGAACCATCATCAGTCGAGCACATCAAGCTCCTAAAACATGTTGCGAAGCACAGGATGCCTATGAGTATGAACTCGAGTTGGCGATGGTGAACAGTTTGATGCAAAGAGTGTCGTTTCTTTGGC